TTGAAAGTTGCTTCTATAAACCATGCAATTGATCAAGCAATGATCCTTACAGACAGCCTGGGAGCTGCCGTGCCCCGTTGTACCGTTCACGTGTCTTCAATCAATAGCTGCTTCTGTGAAAGCTAAGAGGCTTTAATGTACTGGTAAGTTATCCGAACACGACATTGCAGGGATGAATTCTAAATTCCAGATATTGTTGATAAGAGGTCGGATCAAAGTGACCAAAATTGTCTTCAAAACATTTTCGGTCACATGGTGGTTAAATACGTTCGTTTTCGATCCTTCGATTCTCTGGTCTATTTGGAGTATTTCTGGGAAGATGATCTGTGCTCAGTAACAGGCTTGTCTCAGGCTTGGAGTCTCAGAGAGACACGTAAGTTAAAAAGCTTGTTCCTAAAGCTCTCCACTCGGTGAACATAACACCAAAACAGATTTGGCTGGATCTGCACATTTTATATACTTTACCAGCTTGAAGTAAAAAAGGCCATGGATCACACGGGAGATACTTTTGCTTTCTGTCATCGGTTCTTTTCGAAAGTCTTCCGTAATCTACTCTTGCGCAAATTTGGTCCCACTTCTCAAAGAAAAGCCCGAGGATTTTGCGAAATATCTCGGATTGTGTCACGAGACATAGCGTGATGACTGGGACCACCGGCAGCCCCACTCCACCAATGTGGCATCCGTGAGATGAATACTTCTGAGACTGGTGTATACACTGTTATCTCTACGGTTTCAGCTCGTACCTCAATCTCTTAAAACTAATCAGTATTCTAGATACTAATCTAATCAGACATTCAAGACAATCTCAGATTCTTGTTACTAGATTCATCATCGACAAATGATTGGAGAATATGGTGAGGCACAGTAAAACAATGCCATCTCTGTTTGCAATTCCGAAATCACGATCATGTGAAGTTTGATGCCATCGAAAACTTCCATCTGATAGAATATATATTCGCTAGCCTCGGAAGAGTGTACAAAGTTTTTATCTCTTTTCGATGAATTTGTGAACGCCGCCATCGTATGTGCAATCCTCAGATTTGTGTGATTGTTTTACATACTCATGAAGTAGTATCAGTAAAAAAGTCTCAATTTGGAATACCTGAACACTACAGTTCTTACGAGTCAGTGGGCTAGTAAAAAGTCTCAATTTGGAATACCTGCACACTACAGTTCTTATGAGTCAGTGTGCTAGTCAAGTCCGTTACTCTCTCCTGGATCTGCTCCTGCAGCAGGTCCAAGATCGACCTTCAATTTGGAACAGCAGAAGACCAGCAGAAGACCATTACAACTGTGTTGCCATTAAAAAATGGCAACCTAAACTTGCCATTATCCATTATTCATAACGCTTCAGAAAAAAGTTTGTGTCTTCTTTAGAGACCATTCGATCTTGGTGGCATCGAGGAAACATCCACGGAAATCCTCAGATCCTTCAGATGTTTGCCAGCATCCGTGAAAAAAAAAATATAGTACTGATGCGAGGATAGGATCTCGAAGCCAATGACCGAAGGAGGTCATGATCACTGTATGTATACGTTTCAGAGCAGGCATGCATCGCCGAAAGGTGGCAAGGGTGGAATTTGAGTGAAACTATTCATGCTACACATGAATAGTGTCACTCGAATACCTTCTCGAATAGATTGACTGGAATGGTCATGGATTCTTTGCTGCCCAACCTCCGCAATAAAGTTTGGTCTGATATTTAATGCGTCTGGAAAAGAAGACTGAAAAAGAAAGGGGCTCCATTAGTTTTTTATAATGGACATGAGATAGTAAGATATATGGGCTCGATGACGTACACCTTCTATTGCTTGATACCAGCCTGAGAATGTCGTGTAAAGCGGCATATGAAGCTCGACACTCTCAGCTACTATGCTCCTCTTACAGAGTATGATTGTGGAGAGCAAAGCGGAATTTGGGGAACGCTTTAAAATTTGCAGAGACCAACAAATAAGTGACCGTCTGATATTATTTGGTAGATGAGATGGACATTACTAATATGGGTCGGCAATTGCGTTAAGATTATAACAGAGTGTCAAGAGTAAATCATGGATATGATGATGATACTTATTGGTACCGTTATTTGTCAGACTGTAAGTCCTCGTTAGTGGAAGTGGAAGACGGCTCCATTGATACGACTGGAAAGAGTTTGTGGACCTTGTTACAAGGTCATGCTCTTTCTCTTTCTCTTGTTCTGCATGCCTAACCGTGATTGAAGATACATGCCCCAGAAGGTGGGAGTTGGAAATACAACAACAACAACAAGCGTTATATTGCTTTGCCTGGTGTCGTGACAAACTGTATGTAGTCCGACATCTTCTCGGCCGCAGGGCTGAGGTGCGATGTGCATGGAAGTGAGCTTCGGTTGGACCCGATCGTTCCACATCCAGTCTGAATTTGGGGAAAAAATCCTGAGAATCCCCTGTTTTCTGTAGATCGACGAGGTTCATGCGAGCATAATTTCGTGAACCACAGCACCATTCCGGCGTTTCATGGCTGGTCATGATTATTGTACTGGAGCTGATCCTAATGTAGGTTGCATCTGGTATTTATTTATTTCCTCTATCATCTTCTTTACCATTCATGTCTTGTTATCTCCAACCTACTACTGGCTTCCTAGTTATCTTTCTCTGAGCACAGTTTACCACAATAATATATAGATATATAAAATATTATATTAGACTCTAATCTGTTGGTTCTTCCAGTTTTATATGTCAATGTGATCCTCTTCGAGATCTTAAATTATAATCTCTTGGTTAAGCCATGATTTGTCATTTCAATTGGTCATCAGTATGTGTACTCAAGCTGGTAAAGATCTGTAAAAAAAGTAGGTAGAGTTCGTGAATGTCGACAAGTTATTTTCTAGCCAGAAAGACAAATGTCTACTACCGTTCGGTCTCCAGGAACACATTTTGTACATATGAAATTGGAAAATGGGAAAATCGGGTATCGGCAGAATGATAGAAAGTTCAATGGTGCTGCAAACTGCAAATTATGAAATTGGAAGTCAAATACTTTTCTTGAACGTTAAAATCTTTGGTAGTGTTTGGAGCACTCTATTTTGAATTGGGGTTTACTTTAGAAAACCAAAATGCTCAACAACAATAACATGGCAAAGCTTGGAACCAGATCAAGATAATTTTCAATGATCTTATTCTTTACATCATTTTAGTTTGATGTATTTCATGTAGCTCATAGTTGAGATATGATATGAAATATTTGAGGTGAAAAAATTGATCACATTTCACGGGTAGAGATGCCTTTTTGATTTTGAAAAAGACAAGCCCGCTATAATGCTAGATTACATGAGAAGTGTACGGTATGTGATGGCTACAAGAGTGTCAAATGAAATTATGGAGGATTACAACTTGAAGAATTAAAAATATGAGCCAAATTGGAGATACGAATGCTCAAACTTCTTAATTGATTTTTTAAAAACATCAAACTATCTAGGTCACTGTAATTATCAAGTCACTGTAACCTCATTCAATTTTATTGGAGCCTAAAGAAACTCTTGGAGGATACACTAGATTCTTCATTGCCATACATAATTTGTAAGCATAGTTCATCCATTAGCTTTTATTATGAGCATATGACAGAGTGCATAGAGTCTCATAACTCATTTTGTAAATTATTTAAGATGTGAATGTACACCTATGCACTTTTTACTGATGGCATGACATTTCCATGACCACTTAAATGAACATTAATCACATCGTAGAATCATCTAGCTTTTCAGTACTATCGAGAGAAAGTATATGTACTTGGAATCTTAGATCATTCGAGTAGAGATGTATATACTCCGCAGGTATCATTGCAAGATAGTTGTTGAGTTATAATATATTTACATGTTACCAACCAAAAGTTTATATATCAACCTTCAATTCTGAATTTCATTTTGATGATTTTATTTATTTAGAGTAAAGATTTCTATTCATATTGATCTGAATGCTACTTGCAAGACTTTACAAGTAACTCATATTTTAGTTATTTTCTGTATATATATATTAAAGTACATGATAATGTGAAACAGAAGCATGAGTAGAAATGTATCAAACTCTAACTATAAAATCAACTATGAATATTGTGCATGAAATCTTGACATTTTGTTAGTGAATTTGATGTTAAAGGGTTTTTATGTTGAAAGAAATTTTTGATGGAAAGCATGATATGTGGTTGACACCAGTATTATGCAAGTGCACGATACGAAACCTATCACCCAGCAGACTGATTTAACCTTTATATTGTAAATATGAGAATAACAATTGATATCAGTCTCACTCTTGATTTATATCCTTAAAGAAAATATCATGTTTATAATCTATATAGATATGATATAACAATAATCTAACGACAAGTCATGGTATCAATGATATTTTTAAATGTATAATCAAATCTGAGAATATATATATATATATATCTCTCTCTCTCTCATTCATAACAATACACACTAGAGTTGCGTAATTTTTCAACCTTACCACTTACATTTAGATAACGAAAGAGTCTATCTGGTCACTAGATGGAAGCATGGAGCATGTGGATCCTTTATTGTAATACCAAAGTGTGATTTTATATTGTAATACCAAAGTGTGATTTTATAAGTCTTCCAAGTATCATGATGAAGTTTAGATCAACGTAAAAATCTCAATATTTGGGTGTACACGTTTTAATAAACAAATTTGTTTCTCATAGACTTCAAATGTAATACAGTTATTTTCTGTATGAGACAATTCTTCTTCCCTCTATTGACGTATTAATCTAATCTGCGAGCCATGATGTAGAAAGAGAAGGAGATTCTCATTTTAGACATGTGATATTGGATTGGTTATATGATTCGACATGCAGGATAGCATCTGCTATTAGACTGTACAAACTGTTCTGAAATGTCTGAGTTTCGCCTTTACTGCTGAATACAACTGTGGAATCTGCCACCGGCGTATGTGATGCAGCAGGTTGCCTTTTCCGTGAAAGGCAATTATGGCAGACGGAAGGTGCAGATCAAGGATCACCAAACGCCCCAGGTGCTGAGGTTTTTCTCTTGAAGCGCGGACTTCAAGTAAGAAAATCCTCCCCTGCGGAAGCCCGATCTTCATCTGCCCATCGATCTACGACTCTCGGCATACATTTGTGCCACACAGACCAGTTTATGTCATCTTCACTCTGGCGACTGCATTGCGTTGAATTGTGTGTGGCCTGGTATAGCATAAAGTCTAATGCGTGGAGTTCTGATGCAAACCTGTGGCAGAACCAGCCGTACCGTACCTCCGGAAGAGTGGTCTTTGATAATGCTCAGATATGCCGGGTCTGGACAATTGATAGAAAATTGCTTGCGTCTCATGCTCGTATGCAGTCGGAAACAATGGCGACCCTGTATGGCGTTCGTTTGACAAAGCTTCCTGATCTTCGTAAGCCAGTGTTATAAATCACACGCGTAGTTTTGCATCCGGTGTCTGACATGGGTCTGGAAGATCAGAGGAGTGGTAATGAGTTACCGTTGGATAGAGCTGTCGGAGATGGATCGGTCACTCTACGAGGAACACCATCGGACAAGACGAAGACGGGGACATGGAGAGCGGCTGCGTTCGTTTACGGTAACATTTCGCACCTATCCCACCAATTCAGGACGGTCTAGAGTTGTCTGTGCCACTCCTGGTCCTCCTTCTGAAAGCGTTCTGCATGAACGCGACAGTGGAGCCTTTGCCTGAACAACATCAGTTTCCGAAACGTCTCACGATGAGAGCTTCAGCAGCCCTCCAGAACCGAATTGATACCATGTCTGGCTTCTCTCTCCTCTCAAGTTCTGATATCCCGTGTGATATTTTGATGTATACACTGGTCATGGTAACGAACTGGAGAGAAAGTCAGAAGTCTGTGATTAGTAACAGTTTCTTCATAACAGTGTATTTTGTTATCTAACATTTGCTTAGAATTTCTGTTAAATGAAAAATTTTATGGACCGATTTCTTCAGGAAACAGCCTTTCCCTGAAGTCACGCTTAAGTGGCTTCAGTTTTGATAATCATATTGAAAAATTGATGAGCAGTGCTTCAGTTTCTGTGGTATAAAAGTCAATAGAAACGTCGAGAATTTCACTCTATGGTCTGAGAATCGCTCAGCTGACCACGCCAGAGGTTGGATCATGCAGTACAAATGCTATTCCTCATATGTAACGATGTCTGAGCTTCGTAGTTATTGTGTATCTGGATACCTGAAAATCATCCAACTTTGATGGTTCCGAGCATAACGATATGCCAATATGCTTATGATGTGACAGTGCTGGCCTTCGGGAACTCTGTCGTCCTGATGGTGATTACCGGAAACCTCATGGAATACACTGTCAACACCCTGCACTTGGACTTTGCCACTGCTGCCAACATGACCTCCAACCTCACCGGAACATCACTGCTGCTTCCAATTTTCTTTGGGTTCCTCGCAGATGCCTTCTTCGGTCCATTTTGGGTCATCATAGGAGCATGTGTTGTCTACGCTGCGGTACGTTGCTCTTCTAGATTAATTGCGAAACTAATTGCTTCATTGATTGCCCCATAATGTTAGATAAATAATGCTCAGCTGAAAATCCAGAGAATGGCAAGCTGATCTGATGGAGTGACAATGCAGGGCTTGGTAACTCTGGTTCTGTCGGTATCGCTTCCAGAGTTGGTGCCTCCTCGATGCGATGCGGTGGTTTGCAAACCTGCCAGCCAACACATCCAGAGTGTGTTCATGGCAGGGCTATTCATCACATGCATGGGGACAGCTGGGGTCAAGCCCAACGTCCTGTCCTTAGGCCAGCAGCAGTTCGACGACACTGATCCCGTCGAGAAGGAGAAAGGAACTCTCTTCTTCTCGATCTACTACGCCGTTTACAATTTCGGTCTCTTTGTGGCCTCCACGCTCTTCTTCTGGATCCAGACCGATGTCGGTTTCAAGCAAGGATATGGTATCATGGCCGGCTTTTTCTTCTTCAGCGCCATCGTCTTTTGCTCGGGCATTCCTTTTCTCAGGTATATATATTCTATGGTTATAAAATCTTCAGCAATATAACGAAGCTCAATTTGACTGGACTTGTATATCTTGGTCGACAAGCGGGTATCAAAAACTTGCAGCAATTTTTTTTGTGAACGCTCGAAATCTCTTTCTTAATTGATCTTAAGAGTCCTTCATGAGCTAGACATTGCGACGACTGACAAAACATCTATCAAGATCAACTGATAAACTCCTCCTGCTGCACATGGTTCTCGTGGTTTACTTCCACGGATCTGAAAGTTCACAGAGCTAGTGAACTTTAGTCAGTCACGAAGAATATGAAGTCATTGTGGACCAACACGGTCAACGGACCCGACAAAAGACCTGAAAACAACAACCAATACGACAATATAAGAAGGAAAACAATTTGGAATCTTGGCATCTGTGCGTAGTCCAGTCCAGTCGTGGAGAGTTGTCAATGGCTGAGTTTTCATTGTTTCTCACTATTCCTCACGCTGCAAAAAGTGTAAATTATGGTTTCCGTTAACCAGAGCGCCATCCATTGATGCAGACATCAGCGGCCAGGCGGCAGCCCATTGACAGCTTTGGCTCAGGTGGTCGTTGCGGCCATAAGGAATCGTCGTTTGCCACTGCCAGCAGATGCTTCCCAGTTGTACGAAACCAGTACAACGGATCGAGTTCGAAAAATAGCTCACACCAACAGATTGAGGTAAGGGGCAGTCTGAGTCTACCTGATTCTGATGATATTCTAGTAATCACTCTTCAGGACTCAGAATCTGAACTACAGGCTTTATTTTTCCCACAGTTGTAACTCAGACTTTGAACAGAACGCGAATACTGGAAAAGTCGGGGAGTGCAAGTCATGAATGTCACTGATTTAAATAATTAAACCGACACCTAAATGTGCAGACGCTTCTTTTGGGTGCCCAATTTGAGTTAGAGCTTGACATGCTCAGCTTCAACTCTCTATTGGATCTCTCAGACATGTTGGAACTTGCTAACATCTGGAGATGATGCACAGGTTTTTGGATAAGGCGGCAATCGTCCGTCGTGATGCTTCCGGATTGCCTACTGTAGAGCATAAGCAGCAGCTGGAAGACAAATGGTATGGCTGGAAGCTGAGTACGGTGACGCACGTGGAAGTGTTGAAAACAGTGATTCAGCTATTCCCAATCTGGGTATGCTGTAGTTTCCTGTACCTGATGGCGGCCCAGGAATTCACATTCAACGTGCAGCAGGCATCCGGAATGGATAGAAGACTGGGGACAGGGTTCAAAATCCCTCCGGCAACGATCACATGTGCAAGCATGATCGGAGCTCTGGCCTTCATCTTCATCTATGAGACCTTCCTGGTGAAGTTTTTTAAGAAATACACGGGTCATCCACGAGGTCTATCGCCTTTTGTAAGAATCGGCATGGCTCTGTTCCTGGCGACCTTAGTCATGGTGGTGTCAGCCCTGGTCGAGATCAGGAGGGTGCACACGATAAAAGCTCACGAGCTGACGGCCCTCGATGTGAAGCAAGGCCGAATTCCCATGAGCGCTTACTGGCTCCTCCCTCAGCTGCTCATTAGCGGCATCTGCAACCCGCTGCTGGGAACTGCGCAGCTGGAGCTTTTCTACCAGGAAGGCCCTGAGAACATGGTGAGCCTGGCCATGGCCCTGACATTCGGGGGTCAGGCACTGGGCAGGTTCATCTCCACTGGCACAGTGAACTCTGTCAAGAAGTACACCGGCAATGGACCCGGCCAGAGCTGGCTCACGAGCGAATTCAATACTGGAGGCCTGACCAAGTTCTACTGGCTCATCGCTATCATGGAAGCCATCAATTTCCTCGTTTATCTTCTGGCTGCACACTTCTACTCCTACAAGCAGTTGGCTGTCAAGGATCAACCCTTGTCTCCTCTGAAACCCCTCTTAGAACCCCCCGCAGCTCCCGCCTCCTCCGACACGAAAGTCATACCGCCCGTCCTCGTCCAGGATTCCCTCGGGAGCGTACGTACGTAGGAGGATATATTGATATGTACTGTACGTCTATATTATACGCATCATGCTCTCACGTGAAGACGAACAAATTCGGAATGCGGAATTAGACGTACGGGATCTCGTAGCCTACCCGATTCGATGTATGTATAGAGAGATTCCGTACTCATGAGAGCCAGAAGTACGCACTATTTAGTACTATACGGGTTGTAGAATATGTGTACAGGTTTGGTCAGTTTTGAGTACGAACAGAAATTCATTCTCTGAATGCCTACGTTCCTCAAAGCTTTTCTACATTAGCTCACGGTGGATGAGACAGTTTATTCGCACTTGTCCACATCTACGATCTTACAAGCCTTTCTTTTTTTGGTACATTTCAGTCAAAACAATTGTGACTCGACACACTAGTATACTGTACAGTTGCAATACTCGATAAACTGGTGAATATATTCTATCTAATTATCAATCTACCCCTGATAAAAACATTATCATATTCATGTTGAGGTAAATACCGAGGATTTATATCAGTATGTAAACAAAAAGACAGAAATCACAAACCCTACACGAGAGAGTTTTAGCTGGTTCATCCCGTCAGGGGTACGTCCACGAACGAAAGTGAGAATTTAACGAACTCGCGAGGGAGAAACAAAGTGGTATTTATAGCTGACAGCTAACCTGGCAGGTAACTGTGCTTTGTTAACTAGAGGGGTTAACCCGAAACCCGAGTTAAACCACAACACTCCAACGCTGTTTACTTATTAGATTTCAATTTTCTTCACCACTACAATATTTAAAAAGATGTTATCCCATGTAACAACATAACTAAATATTTTTTTAGTGTAAAAATGAAAATATAATTTATATTTTGTTGTTATTTTATAAATGTTAAAATTTCAATGAATAGAAATGTTTACTTTGGAGTAAATCTTTGAGTTTCAGGTTGACTCTACTTCTTGACTTCCTTCTCGGCATCTTGAGTTGATTCTCAATATACCGTTTCATCTTTGGCAAATTTCGTTTTGAGGTTGGATATTTTAGTTCATTTATATAAAAACTATAATAACATGTTTTACCTAATACCAAAGTTTAGCAGCATTACTTAAGAATAATTGAGAATGAAAAAAATAAAATAAGAAATGAAGGATTAATATCGAGAATATAACAATAAGATCATATTGATGTTTTATCGACAACTTGAATATATATGATATATTGACTTCAGTACAAATATCAAAATTCAATCTTTCTATAGTTTATGACATTAATTAATGATATGCAAATATTTTCCTTGATTTATCTTACATAATTTGATTAAAACGTGATGAAATATATTTCAATATGATGTAATTGATATATCTGAATTTACAAGAAAATTATTTAGAGAATTTTATTTTATATTTGAAAATACTAATAATTTGTACGTCAATTATCATGATGTATAATAAATGAATATTTTAATTTATTTATAAATACGTTAGTTCTAATTTACAAGTTAAAAATTGTGATATTTAGAAAAAAATAATTTCGTATCATCCATTCAAAAAATGAGACATGTATGAAATTTTATTCCAGGATATATATGTTTAAAAAATATATCAATGTAAACATTATATCATATTTGTCCGAACTTGTTATAAAGGATTACTCCAATAACACTCTTATGTGATGAAAAATACACTGTTATTGTAACCGGATACACTGGAAGGTCCCACTAAGTAAAGAAAATACTAAAAAAACCACGTTACATTCAGACGTAGATGTGATGCAATATATTTCCGTTATCGGAAGAGCAACATTACTCAAGAATTGCAAATATCTACTCTCAGCCTTCTAGACTACGTCTCACAACTACCCTGCAAGGAAAGTTTAAGATTTCTCAGAAGTACACAAGGGAAGCTGGCTGCTAGAAATCTACATGCATCACACGAGGAAAGTATCACTAACTTGCGTCTCATCAGCCATGACGAAAAGAAAACAGACACTACGTCTTGAGCTCTAAGCTTGTAATCTCATGATGCCACCCCCTCTCTGATCTCTCAAACACTGAATTATATAGTAGAACAAAAGTCCCAAGCATCTCCGAATGTCCAAAGTCAAAGCACCACTAGCCTTTCTCCAAGGTCAAAGAGTATTTCCACGAATAAAACACTGGAAACCCATCTTATCTCACCTAAAAATACTTTCACCTATAAACCTGTCTCTTCACCTTGATCGGGGTAACTTGATCCTTGGTGATGTCTAGGAATCATACTCTCTCAAGTCCCTCCAAGTCTGACATCTAAATTCTCTTCGCCCGAAGTTCAAACTCCCTTCATCTGAACTCCGAAGAACCTTGAGCCAAAGTCCGAAGACCCTTCATCCGAACTCCAAAGAGCATTGAGTCGAAGTCCGAAGATACTTGAGCCGAAGTCCGAATATACTTGAGCCGAAGTCCAAAGAACCTTGAGCCTAAGTCCCTTCTCGCCTTCATCTATTCGTACCAGCCACTTTCGACACTCATAACTCGATGATTACTTATCCGTTTCAAGAGTTTTTGGGCTCGTTAGAACGACCATGCCAAGTTCTATCTATAAAAAGTCGATTGGTTACGAATTGAGAAAGTTATGAGGTATTTAATCTATCAAATCAAAACTCTCTATTGAAAAAAACTACTATATTTCCTATCTAAAAATAGCCACGTCACAATATTTCTTTGTTAAAAATTTCTATTATTGATCAACGATACAATCAACTTGAAATATTTTTTTTAATGTGGATATTAATTCATAAGATAATTAGAAAATAATCATTATTTTCAATTTTTGAAGATGACAAATATGTTGATTTACATGTAAATCTCAAAAATGGACATTTTAGTGATTCATAAATACAATATTTACCAACATAAATCTAACAAAGATAAGTATTAATTTTGAGCTATGAATATACTTCTCCCATTTCAGCACTGAAAAATCACTTTTCACCATTGCACTGTTTGAAAATGAGTAAGCTAATACCGCAAAAAACTCCAAGAGTTGAAGAAATCTATTCTTTATATCTCCGAGCTTCATTAAAATCAAGTTGTTTAGTCAACCAATTTGAAGCATTACGAAGTCGACGTTCTAGGTTCATAAAAACCAAATGTAGTTTGCATTCTTTGACTATTTTATGTATGAATTTTTATTACCAAGAAAGTTTGAGACGAACTTGATATTTTAGAGCTGTTTGAACAACTTCTCATGTAATTAAAGCTACAAGTTCATGAGATAAGCAAGGAGTCAAAATACTAAAATTGGCCTGATTGAACTCATCATGTGTCACTTCCACCATATTTAGATTGCAAAGTGCTTCCCAAAACAGGTTGTGAACTAAATGCAATATTTAATTTTTGACTCTATGTCAAGCTCTGCCAATGATTGGGTAGTTAACAAACTTGATCTTCAATTAATCTAATCAAATTTGCATGACTAACATGCTTTCTGTCAAGATATTGATGTTGTACGCTAGGAACGAGTTTAACTCAATACCAACTCGCTCTACACATGCAAAGTGTTGTAAGATAGCTAGCAAATGTTGGAAATTTGACTTTTGTTGTTACAAAGTGGTTCTTCTACCTGGTAAACCTTCCACACATTCACTCATATGGAATGAAAGCTCACTTACAACTGCAATCAAAATCCACCAAGACAATGAGGCCATGTAACGAGCCCGTTGACAAGTATCACTCTAGACAAAATAGGTCATGATTTCAAATTTTCTTTTGACCAAAAAACGTGATACCTAGGACATTGATGCCTAATGAGTAGCAGATAAATTTGGACAAATGGCTTGCATTTCATCAATCAAATCTTTTAATGTCGTAAAAAAAATTCATTAAGATCAAATGAGTAAGTTGTGAATTTTATAAGAGTAAAATCCACAATCAATGTTTTTTGAATCTTCTGCATCACAATTTCTATCTGATGCAACAAACACCAGACACGAATGAAATATGATCTAACCACCTCATAAATATACGTGACAACTCCATGTAAATTTCTACTCATATTTGTAGCACTATCAGTTGAACATCTAAATAACTTGTACTTCCATGAGGAACAAACTACATCAAACAACTTTCAAAATATCTCAAACTTTGCCAGTCTTGTATGTCTACCAGAATAAGGAAACTTAATAGAGTGAAAATCTCAAGAGATGATTCTTAATAAATTGAATTTGAATATCAATCCAAAATACTTCTTGTAATTCACAAGATACATCAAAGTCTACAGAAAACGTCCATACAGAGTGAAATATCTGTGAGATATTTTTAATGTATATGACGCATGCGATTCTAACATGAAAATCAATCAAATAATCACTGCAAAATCCAAGTTTGGGAATGTCACAAACCTTTTTCGCATCTTGAACAATATTAATAGCCATCAAAAAAGACATTTTTTGTGCAATAGAACAAGTTAGTAGCCTTAACAACTTCATTTGGCTGATTTGAATAATATGAAGAACAAAGATTCCAACAATGGTGAATTTGTTGTTTAATCCTTATTTTCACTGACAGTATCTTCCAGGGATCACCACACAAAAACAAAAATGCGCATCCTAGATTATTTCATAGTTTATATCTGTATATGATCTAATAGACTTGCTTGCATTGCAAGCAAGCACTGGTTGAAAAGTTATTCAATCGTTTTGGTGACCTCAAATTTTGTTCTTCATTTGAAAACAATCATCGCATTACTTGCAAATCACTTGAAGGCGTATTGTCAGATCATTCTTTTTAAACCACCTTTTCAAAATCCGATTTATATTTGGAAGTGCACAATGTTCTAGAAGACAAAGCAGAAACAAATATCATGACGAGCGTAGGAGATTAGATGATTGACACGTAACAAAACTCTTCTTCAGTGGAATCAGTCTACTTATGACGAACACTTTAAATCAATTTTGGCATAACTGTGTGCGCAAAAGTCTTATTGGTGTCATATATGACGAGATAATTACTACAAGCAAATAATTTGTGATATTGTAGAAGCAATTCCAGGAAAAGTTACAATGACTTGTGATGGATGATCCATTAGAACTATGCTAAGTTATTTTGCAATTGCGCTTCATTAGATTGATGATACATGTATTTTGCATGACTACATTCTTGACTTTAAATATTTTCCACCACCTCACATTCAGTGGTCCACAATGTCATTTTTTTTGGAATCTTTAGTATCAATAAATGTGCACAAGAAGAATATAGTTGCAACAACAGACAATGCTATTGAAATGATTCTTGCTTTACAGCAATTAAGCGACGAGTTGAAAAAAAAATTTGATGTTAGTCTTGACTATAGATGACACTTTTCTTCTATGTGTTATATCATGCATTGTGTTGTGAATGACAGTGAAGCATTTCTCAAATCCAAGGTGGAAAAAGCTTTGAGCAATGCTGAAATCGATCCGCTTATCATATCAAATGCGAGCTGATTCCAAGAAGGTCCAAGTTCTTCTAAAGGCGCAAAAACAAGAGACGAAGAAAGTTCTTGGGCTTGATGTGGACAATCAATGGAATATCATGTTTACAATGATTGATTTGTACTAGAATTTCACGAAAATCTTTCAATTTTTATGAAACGTCCAAACACTACATTAAGATTATAACTGTGACTTTAATTGAATGGAGTGTATCGAAATGCTTCAAAGATTTTATTGCTTTTGGTTATGAAATGATCAATCTATCTAGTAGACGTTATGCAATCTTATCAAATCAACATTTGGTTTATGAATTGTTGAAGACACGTTATAAATAAATCATCAACGATACAATGAGTTCTAGTTTCTCTGCACCCAAGTCTAAGGATGATGCAAGAACATTGATGGCAAAGCTGAAGAAATATCAAGAACATTTGACTGGCCTGCTACCAATGTTAGCATTAGCACTTGATTCTCCGATTTTAAAGACAGATAAAGAAATAGAATCTTTAACGACACAGATCCAAGAAATTCTTTGATAATAATATGTTATTGAATGCACACATAAAATTTTTTACTCTTTCAGAATTCAAAGTATTTTTATTGCTGCATAGTAGATTTACTATGCATTGGATCTTGAGTGCCATCTGAGTCTGCATCTTCAAATTGGAATGCTATTGCCATCGCGGAGCAAAAGCGTTTGTGCGACACTTCTATCAAGACTACTATGGAACTGCGATAATGGAAGCAAAAATTTAATGAAATTAATAAAACAACTCTGTGATTTGTTGTACCGACATTTGATTTATTTATTTTTAATGATTTCATTTAAAAGTTTCAAGATTATGCGTATGAAGTGTAAACGATGTTTAATTCTTGTTATACTTGTATCTGTTGGTTTTGTGAAGTATAATCTATGTTAGATTTGATTCCATTTCAGACAATTTGCAAATTACTCAAGTTGTAAGATTACTTGGACTAGTTTTTCAAAAATGAAAAAATTGAATGAAATCTAACTTTAATTTAGTTCAATTGTCATCTAGATATTTTGTGCAGGATAATTTGTGTTGAACATCTATTTTATTGATTGTTGCACTAGATTCTTTGTGTACTTTTTTCTTTGCTGCTCAGCTCTCGTCTCTTCTTTCAACTTTTGTCTATTTTAATGCAAAAGATGATGGATTGAAGAGATATCTCCGATTCAAACATGGCTTGTTGTTTGAAGCAGATAATCGATCATGATTTATTCGAAATAACATTGATATGTTTTGAATTCATTCATATTACAGGTTTTGAGTGATATATAGTACTTACCGAACTTTAAGGCTTGGGTCTAATTTGCCAGACTCTACACGTTTTACAAGATATTATTATGAAGATTAAATACAAACGGTTGGAGAGCAAATAAAATTTACAAGAGAAGATACTCTTGTAGATTGTATGCAAAATGCGTTGTATATTGTGCACTTAAGCCACGAATACAAAATAATGAATGACAATTTATTACCTTTTCAAGAAGAAACAATGGTACATTTATACAAATCCATCGGCTAAAAACACCCTTCTTTGTCGAGATTTGGAAGATTCTTCTCCGACATAGAATCTTCCAAATAGATTCTCCAGAGAAGTCTATTACTCATCGACTCAACGGCTAGCCGGCTCTACAACCGACTAGTTAGCTAAGAGAATTTTTTAGCCGGCTAGTCATTATTCAAGCCGTGTTCATCCCAACTTGCGATAGAAATTACAAAATATTGAAATTATTTTCTTTTGAAATTTTTTGATATTCTATTCATCTCTTTTAACGAGTAATGCAAAGATGTTTCATGTAGTTGTGTGAGATTAAATAAAACCATTCAAATGTGTTACAAATCATTTTCATTGACAAAGACACTTTTGTTAAAAATGAATAACTTTTCAAAAATAAAATATGAAACTTGAGAGTACCATTGCGAATTGCTTATTTAGAAAGTACGGATATAAGTGATAATCTCTTCGCTCGTGACGCAATTTTCATCGTGCAAATTTGAATATAGATTAATTGTAATAACTTCAAAGGATTTTAAAGCTTAAGTACGGAATCTTGTTGCATGTACCTCGGCACTCTTTTGGTAAGTGGGACCAAAAATATCTCTTCCCCAAATGTGCAACGACTTTAATGAATGACCTTGGATTTTGGAATAGAGCACTTAAAGCATACACGCACTTTTGAATAGTAAATGAAGCAAAGGACTAAATGAATAAGCCAGCTCCATTACAAGTGTCTTACATGTGAGAACTAGATTTCCACGACCTACAATTAAATATAACGGACCAGACATTCAGTACATTAATTCATTAATCGTACCATGTATGTGACCCGTGTCTCCACTTTTAAACATTTTTCACAGACCCCGGTAACACTTGAAAAATTGACAATCGCTAGGTGACTAATTGTCAGCTTGCTTTGTTACGTTCAACGGTGATGATCTCCATCCAATATATAATCTTACCTTTCATACTAGAACGCATAATAGATAATGGGACAGATACCAAGTTAGATAATCAATGACCTGGATAGTTCTGGTGGCCAATACAAGATCTAGACCGCTTGAGAACAGTGCTTTCTGCATATTAAGTTCTAGAAAGTGCAAGTAGTATATTGTGTTTGAAATAGCACTAGGCAAATAGGATATCGAGCTGTAGCCCTCTTGTCAACTCACTCGGTACTGTACTTCTATCAATTTGATCGACCGTACCTTAGAGAAATCCTTCAGTATCATGTTATTAAAGGTTGAGATCGATAATCTCCGTCGGCTGAGTACTTGAAAATGCATTAGAACCATTGGCCATCACCTTAACAGACCCTTGATTTCAGAGGAAAGTAAAAAGAACATGCTAAAACTGAACTAAAGACGCTTGTGTCAATCACTACATCATGTGATCAGAACGGGGGAATGCAAGCGGTGAAAAAACATATGCAAAGTACATAGGTGTATCTTGTGGAACAAGTGTGGGCATATGGAATTTCTTGGGTTCTTCATATGGAAAGAATTTGTCATTACCTTTGTAGTATTAGCTAGGATAAGAATTATAAGATATAATATATTAGAGCCCATTATGCAATTAGCACCGTTCCCACTGTAACTGCTGTTAGTGCTCATGGACTAGAGTTAGAATTGATGTTATTTACGTTTCAATTTTCAAAATTGAAATTCAGATGTATTTAAGATAGAAGAAACCAGAGACTTCGAAACACACAATGGATTTGACCCAATTATGATATATATATATATATATATATATTCTTACTATAATATTGAGTTTCAGTTTTTGATGGAAATTTTGAGAATGTATATTTATATATTCATCGTTAGGTACTGTATGTCATGAAAAAAATTGGGGAACAATTGGTTATCTTTCGTTTAGGGCTAATTAACCTTCGCTCTACTATACGCAATTTTCTTATTGGTAGATGCAATAGAAACTATAAAATGTTAGACCAATCAAATAAGATCACCAACTAAAATTAGTAGGGTGAGTGCAAATTAGCCGCTGTGAATAATAAGTAAACCCACCCAAGAATTATTCAATTCACTCATAGTTATACTCTTAAACACATAATGAACATTCACTCAAGCACAATGTTCAAATACGACGTAGACCGCGACACACTCCGACCAAGACCCGGTACAAACCCAATCCATTCTCACTTGCACGAAGAAGCAGCCCATCTTGCATCTCCATCCCCATCCATATTCATGCAAATTCTTCTTCAGTGGCGTGTCAAAAGACATCGAATAACGTGGAGAAGATTTTATCTTCAGTCCTGGAACATGCCACAGATACCGTACACTGTCATCTAACCCAAGCCTTCGTCTAATGCACATGGCAGGAATTTGCTCCGCTTGGCCAAGCTCTCGTCTCGTGGATTCCTGTTGGCCGGCCGGCTGACAAGGTTGCGGTCAAAGCTCAAACGCAGTGAACTTCTATCTGACGTCCTTGTTGTAACCGGATACTTTCCAGATATAAGAGTCCGGAGACGAGAAACCATCAACAAGCGCGAGCAGAAGCTGGTCTCTGGAAATCGGCTACCGGCTACCGGCTGTAGCCTCGTGCAACCCCAAGTCCAAACGGTTCCTCTAATTCCAGTGCCGGAAATTGGCCCAACAGCCAACCACGTACAGTCTGTAGTTCGTGAGTTTCCGCCGGTCGTGGGCACCGCGTTTGCCAGTGGGGTTCGGGGTTTAGGGTTCTGAAGGCAGCGAATTGAATGGCGAATTGCTTGACGAGGTGCAATCTGATTCTGTGAGCGAGTGCTTCGTTTTGCATCGAGAGATTGATTTCTGGTCGGGCGCCATCGACGGAGCTATGGCTGCCGCTGCAGTCGCTGCGTCTGGCTGCGGGGTCTGCCCGGTCAGCTGGAGTTCTTCGGCGGTCAAGAGGAGAGCTGGCGAATCGGACGGGGCAGGAATTGACAGATTGAGTTTGGGCTCACGGGGAAGCCGAATTCGGGAGGGTCGAGTTCGTTGTGACAGGCTTCTGAGGCCGCGCTTTACTCACTTGCTTGCGCGGAGGACGATGGGGAGTGGTTCGGTCCTCAGGGCGATGTCGTCCTCTGCCGCTCCCCAAGTGGAATTGGAGTCCCGGCGGTCTGAAGTCTCGGATGCGATTTCGCAGTCTCTTTCTAACTGCCTGACGGAGACACAACTCGACGAGACCGTGAAGGGAATTGGGAAGAAAATTCGTGGCAAGGTCAGTCGGGGTGTCAATCTTAAATCGTGTGAAGTCCGAGAACTCAAACCAACAAAACAAAATTGTAACGAATGATTTTTCTCTTTGGGAGGAAAGGAGACGACTTGCAACAATCTCATCTTTATTTGAATGCACAGGAGAGGTGATGGGCAATTTTTTTTTTATCAAATACTGGCTTGGCAATTGGATACGTGAAATTTCCAGCTGCCCGCAGAATAGTCCTGCAGAGATTTTACTCTCTGAATGGAATTGGAAATGTTCAGGTCAGAGACATCTACGATGCTGGTGATCACCTTGTACTGGTAACCACTGATAGGCAGAGTGCGTTCGACAGAGTTCTAGCCTCCGTGCCCTTCAAGGGACAGGTGAGCACTGTCTCGATCGCCCCATGAGTCTTACGGTGCTTTTATCACCCCTGTCTTTTCATCTGGTCATGGTTGTTAGGCAGGGGAATTGGCTGATTTGAATTTTGGCCCAAGCGTATCTGCAATGTCAGTGAGGATCGATCAGAGAATTAGACGATCAGGAACGAATCTCATTTGGCAAGATATGATTGCGCCTTCAGGTCTTGAATGAAACCAGTAGCTGGTGGTTTGATAATTCACAACATATCACCGCGAACGCGGTGGTTTCCATCCCGGATCCGAATGTCACCATCGCTCGAAAATGCTCTGTCTTTCCTGTCGAATTTGTAGGTGCGCCTCCTTCCTCGGGCCCTGGGCAACGCAACCTGCTTCCATGAATCTTAAATAGTTTTGCTGCTGAACCATGCTATTCAATTACGCTCTTGGAGGAGTCTTTGCTGAAAGTGGGATGCAGGGCAGTGAGGGGTTATGTAACAGGTAGCACCAGTACATCTCTCTGGACAGTATATCAAAAGGGCGTGCGCAACTATTGTGGCAATGAGCTTGTCGAAGGTACAATTTTCACGTGCTACCGCATACTGTATCTGATGAGTGTATCTGGTTATCAGTTGAGTATGAAGTTCGTAGTCTTATTTCTGTTATCTTCATTTTGTCGTTCGGTTGATTTTTCAACTTAATAAATGAACGTTCACCTCTTTACACAGGCCTTGTAAAAAATCAGCGATTGGACGAGAACATCCTCACTCCAACTACCAAGGCCGAGGATCACGATATGCCTATTTCTGGTAAAGAGGTATGATTGGGAATTGTTCTGTAACAAGATGTCTTACATTTAGTTCGGGATCACAACGATACCCAGGACTTAGGACCTCTGAAACCTTACTTTGATTCTGCTTTCTCTATCAACTCACTGGTTACGTGCCCTATCCTGCAGATCGTGGAGCAAGGATTGATGTCGAGAGAGGACTACGATGAAGTTTCTCGAAGAGCGCTTGCGCTTTTTGCATTTGGTCAGGTAGCTTCAAGTTTAAAACTGCAGTGATGTGTGAGCAACCTGCTGGTGTAGCAATGGATATCTATTGTGGGAGACGAAAAGTGTCTGAAGAATTCTGTCTTGAAAGCTTCCACCACAAGTAGCTTGCTAATTGAGTGATTGGAAGTACCATTAACTTTTCTGTATCGAAGGGAAATGGGAGAGGAAGGATTTGGCGGTGTTCAACCAAGAATGTTTATCTCATTCAAAGTATACATTTGGCTGTGCGTTTTGAAAAGGGCAGGAAGTTGCAAGAAAACATGGTCTTCTCTTGGTAGATACGAAGTACGAATTTGGAAAGACATCTGACGGCACCATTGTTCTGCTGGATGAGGTAAAGAGATTTGTCTACCGATTTATGTTTTGAGGAACCTATGATGGATTGATGTAAGCTGGGAAAGTTCTGAGACACTACATGTCGTATACAAATTGTAACAACATATGTACACAATGTTGTAACAAAGATGTATTCTTATCCAACCGGATACATCCCTTCATAGGTACATACTCCTGATTCCAGTCGTTACTGGGTAGCTGCATCATATGAGGAACGCCAAAGATGTGGTCTGGAGCCACAAAATATCGACAAGGTAAGACACAGTTTTTAGTCGTGAGATGCACTTGCATTAAATGCTGGATGGGATCCTCAAAGTTATGTATTTGATTCTCTTCTTTCAAGGTTTGACTGCCACTAGCTCGATTGACTAACACCACATTGCACTCTCCATTCACTTGTGTACTCTTTTGTTGTTTCATTGTACAGGAGTTTTTGCGGCTTTGGTTTAAGGATAATTGCAACCCATACGAAGACAAGGTACTGAAGAGTAAACATCTCAATATTCAATGACCTGTGTTCTTCCAATTTATCGTGCTGAGAATTGACTTTGTAGATGCCGTGCTTCCCTCTCAGATCCTTCCAGATGCTCCAGCGGAACTTGTCTCGGAGCTTTCATGGAGGTTTGTCCATGACCGTCAGTGTTGTGTCCAATTTCTACGCGAATAATATAGTACGAGGGAAACTGTAGCCCTACAACATACTAGAGCTTCACTTACCTTTTGTCAATCACATAGAACGAACATAAGAAAATTCTCACAGGAGTTTTCGCGTAAATCTAACTATTTGAACATTGATCTGATCCAGGTACATTCTTTTGTTTGAGACCATCACCGGAAAGAAAATTGAGCTTCCCAACACTCAGGTTGGTTATACGATCTATTAACCAAAAACCTCAAGAATCTTTGAAAACTAACGCATTGAAGTTGTCCAAGAGTCATGCTGACTATTTCTTTTCATGCACACAGGAGCCCATTCACGATCGGATAACGAGGAACGTAGAAAGAGCTCTTCAGGAACTACAGCAATAGCCACTTTCTTCGGGTACACGCAAATCGAAGCTTTTGGGAAAGTCGGTATTTGGCTGGCTGCGCTGGTCACGGTTTTGGAAACAGGATGTTTACATTTTTTGAGCACAGTTATGAAGAAGAGTACGGTGAACTGCGTAGGCGTGGTTTCCTTCTGTAGGTGTTCCGTTCCCTAAAGTTCCAGAAGGAGGCTCGGCCGTGATGAAGTCGAAGTTCGCTGACAGTTCGTAGCTTCGCAATAGCGCAGATCTACCCTCGAGATAAAAGTGTTCCTGAAGGTAAGCGACCGTTGTCAACGGGAAACTTCCACGACAGATTTGCACCATGGAAGTGAACTGCTGCATGATGCACTGTTGTCACGGGATTTCCCTCTAGAAGGAACCACTGTATCGTATGTATGTGTTGTAACGAATATTGGCACGTATTTCCTGGACAGCAGCACGTGTGTGACAAGGATCATGAGAGAACTGTAGTCGGCGATCCACTCATTGCTCTGTCGCAGCTTTCAGGACACAGCCGTTTTGTTACTCGTTGTCTTCTCGCATGTGGACTTTCTCACGTGAATGGCCCAGGGAGATTCCTCACGCTCGAAACCTGCTCTAGGTGATGGTGCATCGGATGTACCTATCTTAGAATGTAGAGGACACTGATGGCTAATTTGAGGTTGCTCAGAGGCTTCTAGTTGTCAGGAAGATATGCAGGAGTTGTCTGCGAATGATTTTTTGCGCCATATCATTCGAGTCTCACGCTTCCCTTTTCAATGACACTCAGTCGCTGTTTGTTTCTTCCGGTAACTTGTAATGAGATTCCAAGGCTCGACGACATACCTTGTTTGCTTGTTACATTCTTATGAGCCTGTGTTACACCCTCGATCTTTCCACTATCTCTCTAGCAAATGTCATGGGCCCCACAGCACACCATCTCCCTCATCCTTCCATTTGTCGAATTGACATCAAGCAACATCTGGCAATTCTCCCGCTTCCACGATTTTCCGTACCTGCCTCATGTGCCATATCGAAGAGATGATGATGCGACAGTATTCCGAAGTCATCTATCCTTTCACAGAAGTTCACTTTGGCCATCGCCAGCCCTTAGTGGATGTGGCTACCGCGCGCGAAGTGGCTTCCAGTAGTTGTGGTGGACAGAAGACATGATGATTTTCAAGGCCTCGTGAATGGCCGTGGCGCCTCAGAATTAAATAGTGCCGGTCCACAGAACTCGGGTCGATTCTTTCCAAGAGGATCTAGCTTGTGCACAATACGCTTGTGTCTCTAGAATGAACTCGCTATCTCTTGAGATCAGAACCCTTTGCTACACATCACATACATTCGCAATACCAGAATACGAGGGAGTGACTGGAATGGGGATCGGGCCCATCGAGAGAGGGCCCCACTCGCCAACAGATGATCGGACCCAGGCCACACCAAGCCCACAACCACGAGCGGATGCGTTCGAATCTCTCGGAGATTCCGATGTGAAAACCGGGCACTGCCGGTTGTGGAGATGTTGTCGACAGCGAGTGGAGGAGGCAGACGATTCGGCGCAAGGCAAAGGCCGTCGTAATGAAATTGTTCAATTCTCGTGCCGTATTCTTGACCCGAGATTTGGCAATTGACTCAGTTTCAGCCTGCGATGGCTGGAAACGAAATCGAGGTCTTGATGTTGGAGAGATTCATCATTACGGTAAATTAATCTGTCTCCCACGCCAACCAGAGGACCGAACCTCATGTTCGACCCCTGGGATGGTGGAGTCTCGCAGCAAGCGTCCACGGGCCATGGCATGCCAATGGAGACCATTCCATCAGAGCGGGCGCGTTGGTGGAGGTTGAGGTGGTGGAAGACCTGTCAAAGGCGCCCGTCTCCATCAGATCCGGACCGGAAGGAGCAATGATCACGAGTCGAGTCGAGTCGTCAAATCGGAATGAGCCTCTTAACCCAAAGGCGGTGCAGAGTTGCGCTGCGCTGGTATCAAGAACCTTAATGCGCACGCTTGCAGTGGCCTCGACCTTCAGGTCGCTGATAATGATGCTTTCACGAGAGACCGTGGTGCCTAATTCTACCCTCGCAGGTCAAAGCCTCCGAGTTGATGCTGGAATCCGGTCTGAATCTCTCAGCGAGCACGACCTGCCCTGCCCAGCCCTGCCCTGCCGGGCTCGGTGATGGAAACTGATGATCCTGAGGGTGAAGAGTGAATATTCAACGAAGAGCTCTATCTCCTCACCACTGGCTTTTGTGAAAGGGAGCGACTAACTTTCATCTCTCAGTGGACTTCAAGTGTCGAGTATGCCAAGCTTCGAGCGAGTCATGTGATCGGTGGAGATCCTAATCGGAAACCAGCCTTTACCGAGCTCCATATCCAAATTGGTGGTGGCTCATTAAAGATTAGATAATGTCGGGTGTACATTGGAAAAGACAGAGCGAAAAGCTGTTTGGTTCCAAGGTTGTACAGAGTCAAGATCTGCTGATTCCTCCTTTACATCTAGAAGGGCATCTACGAATTTCACAATACGAACAGTCCAATGGCGAGAAGCATGCAGTGATAACGTGCCAGCAGACTTGTTGCGTGGCTGTCCAGGCCAATCATTCGTCCTGCCTAGGTTTCCAAGACTCACGCTTTTTGGTTGATTCACAAACATCTGAAGCTCTAGAGCGAGAGAGCGTTGTCACATCATGTCGACATGGCTCCCATGTCGAGCAGACGCAACCATATGCAGTGCACCCTTTAGTACCCCATTAAATGTCAAAAGGCTATGAAGGCTAGGTCCATCGATTTCCTTCACCTAAAAGAGCCCCCGAAGGTTTCGAGGCGGCCTCAAAATCATCCATCCATCCATTATCAAGTGGTAAACACCTTATCCTAGTGAACATTCAGTCCTATATCAAGCTTCGTGGAACCATCCAGCAATTCCTAACTTGTGGACGAACTCACCCTCACCAACCTTTCCTTCCACATGAGGTCTTCGAGCTTCGGAGTGCTCCACGAAACGACGAAAAATGCCTATGAAACTGGGAAGAACATTACAGATGGTACAACATTCGATGTTTCACGAAGAAGGATCCAACAACTAAAATTCTGGACCCAACGATGGCATACATACACCGGTTGGGATTTCTAAGAAAGACTTCGCTACCACATGAAGTCGAAGCCTGCTAGAAGCAACTAATGCAGGTCAGAAGAAAAAAGTCAAGAAGAACGGCGTCGAAGTCATGAGCATCTATCCATAATTAAGTCCGATGGTCCAAATTTACAAAGCGTTTGCTTCCAAAAATAAACCTAATCCTAGTTATGAGCAAGAGCTTCCTCAACCTAACCATTCGTTTACCACCTACTTTCGTCACCCTTAACTTCTAGAGGGAAGGTGTCAAACGTTGACCCAGATTCTAACATAAGAAAGTGATGCTATGCGGATGAAGCCTTCGTCGTCCTGACTCTACATCGTTCCTCTTTTGGAGGAAGAATTTTCGATGTAGTGATCGAATGGCACGCATACAAACGACCAAAACTGCCCAATCCCAACTGCCAATTAGCTTCTAGCTCGGAAAATATGCTCTTTTTTAAGCAGTCTTCAGACACATTGAAGAATTGTTACCCCCGCTTCAACCGAAGTTAGTGACGTGGTTTAGGCACCAAATGCCAGCTTATCTGTAAAGCAACAAGAGAATAATCGGTTGTGCTCGAGTGACCCTCATGCAGGGAAGGGAAGCTATCTACATAGGAAACTGTGGAACGGCCCCACTGGGAAGGGCTCCTTGCTCCATCTGGCTTAACGCGTCAATCGTAGGCTTTTACTAGTTTCGTCCATTCAGTAGAGAGCTGTAGGGATCGAAATAGATGGGGCCTCGAGAAAATCACAACACGTTTCCCCGGAAATTGTGCACATCTTCATAGTCACCCCTGGCTTGGGCAAAGGAACAAAAAGTTCCGAGAGCACGAGGCCCGCCTCCTCCTGTCCACTTGGTGTTCCCTTCTGAGGAGAGAAAGGGGCTCAATTCGTAGGATGAGGACATGCACAAGGACGGGAGAAGGTCAAATCCGGCTTTGAAAATGTGTACCCCGAGAAGAGGGAGGGAGGGAGGGTGTCATGTTGCATGCTGGATCACAAGGGTGGACAAGAGCACAACTTCGATGTGAAGGATCCGTGCAGGCCACTGGTCTGGTGAAGCCCAGGGAGCATGGCTCGCCATGGTTATTCCCTTTCCGTCGAGGGCCCACCCTGCACTGCCTGCACTGTACTTATCTCTGACTGACTCCATACGGACTTGATCATTTTGTCTTTCCATCTCTTTGTCTGTTTCTCTGTCATCTGCTTCTTCTCTTGACCAGCAAGGCCGAAAGCTCCGGAGTCAGAAATATGTGTGGCCCACCAGCCTCATCCCAGAGGCGCTGAGATACGATTCTGACACCTTCAGTGTCCGGGCCCGGCGCAGGATGTCTTTCAGCAATTCAGAAGCGGCTCTCCGCTGTCTGCACTCTGCTTTCAGCACTGCTGCAATGATCGACGCAAGTATAAGGTACGCCACTAACCGCTCGTTCTCGCTTCTGCTATATGAATGTAGGTGTACCGATCTCCTTTCCTGGCAAGATGGCAGAGCGAAATACCGGTGGCGGTGTAAAATCGTTGTCACTCTCGCCTCTCACGTGGAGCACCTGACAAATGCTTCGAGCTGTGCAGCCTGCCCTCTTTATTTCCAAAGCTTGCGCACCAGAGAGGATCTTTCACTTACGCGAGCAAGCAGAACGCTTTCGGCAATTTTAACGATTTCCCGAGCACAGCTCACATGCACACTCGATCTCGGTACAATCTCTCGCGCCACTCACAATCTCCCGGGCAAGCATACCAAATCGACACCCCCTAAAAAATTTCAGCATCGAACCGAGAGATCGACCGTGCCGAAGCCCCGAGAAAACTCCTCCACCATCCGCACGAGGATGCACGTCCGAGAGGGAAAAGCCCGAAACGGGAGAACGCATTAAACACGAGCCGGATCCTGCTCGCAAAACCCATGAGACATTACAGCTAAGGCAATGCACTTATGCCCCACACCCCCACTGCTCGTGGCAGTGCCAGGGGCAGGGGCAGTGCAAGCAGGATGGCACAAGATGAGAGAGAGAGAGAGAGAGAGAAGGAAAGTTTAGAGTATGCTCGAGGCAAGCCAGGTCTCTCTCGGGGGATGAAGGAACACCACACCACACCACACCATACCACCTGGCGCCTGGACGCCCAGCCGGCCTCGGGAAAGAGCGAGCTTCTTAATTGCGAGCCTTGGTCAAAGAATAAATGTTGTGTCGCATTGAAGGGACAATGCGAGCGCAAATGTCTCACATTTCCGGGACTTTTATTGCGCTCCGATTCGCATTTCTGCATTCGGCTCAGACGACGGATTCTATTACTGGCGAAAGCGTGAAGCTCGGAGGCCTTTTCTCGAGCTTTTGGGGACCGCCTTCTCTTATCACATGCCGGTGGAATGTGTCCAGGAAGCTCGGAAGGTATGTCATCGAGGAGCTGGGCCGGTGACCCTCGAGTCTTCCCGGCCGCCACCGGGTACGTTTCACTGAACCCGTGCCATGAGAATTGTTTTCTTGGCCTGGATATGGCACTAAAGTGAGATAGAAAGAATTGACCAACCTTGTCACTGTTGTATTAATTGTCACTCCAGATGTATAACTAATGATATATAACTGTATATGACATTAAATGAAGTACGAACACTGCTACTTTACATGCATACATACAAAAAAATTAGTTTGTACGAGAGATGTGAATCGAAATGCGACCATGTGAATTTCCAGCATTTAGAAGAAAAAATTAAAGACTTACTTACCAGAAGATTATGGCTATACAGTCATCAACCGTTAAGACAATCCATTGATTTACTACATAGAGGTAACATTTTTCATGTAAAGAGAAGGATGAGAGTAATTCTTTTTCGATATCTAAGTTTCTTTTATGTTTTTCATTCTCGATTCTAATATACAGTTATTTTTTAAGGTATTTATTCTTAAAAATGATAATTTATAACGATTTGTACCAAACATGATTTCAAGAAAACATCATCCAACGAGCATAACAGCCCAACTCAGCTATTTCATTTCCCTCTCACTTTAGTCTGCTGGGATTATAAGGAAGAGAGACACGTGGAATAAAATACTCCATGCAATCCCATCAGCAAATTTACTAAGCAGAAGCGAAAGAAGACAAACCCGGAGCAAAAAACTAATAAGAATGCTAATCTATCTCGTGATCATGACAACGCGTCACACAAATATCTTGGCTTCCTAGCCTGCATATGGTCAACATGTGTGATAGCTTAATTTTTTCTCTCTCGAAGGCATGGCCAAATAGAGTTTTGATGCTATTAATATATGTTTTCTGAAGAATGAAAAAAAAAAACAAATTAATGTACACAACTATGTCTAAAATCAAGCCTACCACCCTTTCGAACAAAACTATCCCTATCTCATCGCTCCAAGCATCTCGAAGGCAAATGCATTCAGATATGTCGTGATGCAGTGGTAGTCCTCTGTGCACTAATCTCCACAATTTGTCCAGTGTGATATATGTGACGACGGTGCGTCTAGTCGGACGAGAACCACAACTGCAGCCACAAAGGCAAGTTGACGTGTCTACCAATTGCTTGAGCTGCCTCTGACTTTTGCAGCCGGTCTCCCGAGCACATGCCACTTGTCATGCCAGATGAATGTCGTCACGAAAGCCTTCGCGGGCACATGGTCCTCAGCAGATGTCCTACACCGACTTCGCTCAGAAAGGGCTGCAGCGGGTTCCTTCCTGCCCTGCGATTCCTGCCAGTACAGACACTGAACGGAATCTGCAACATTTCCTCACACACATCGGCTCTACGTCGAAGAAAGTCGCAATCGATGAACTCTGCGAATCTGCGATGCCTTTATACGGAACATAACGCAGTACTGCCGAGGTGCAAGTTCGAGACCACGTTACGTCGTCCACGGAGTCCAGGGACTACAAGTCCACTTTCGGGGGACAGGGAGAACGCAGTCCCTGGCCCGGCAAACACGAGCCGGCACGTGCCGGTGTCGAGCTCGCTCGTTACTTCGGGCCGTTCCGAGGACGGGTTCCTTGACACGCTCCGGGCGTAGCGTAGCGACACCCTCGCTCCAAACGCTGTCCCAACGCCTCGTCGTACCACGCCCCCCACCCCACCCTCAGCTCCTCTCGTCAACGTCGGTCGGTCGGTCGTATTGTTTCGGCCCTTGGAACCCCTTCCACGCTTCGGAGGTACAGAACTACGAAGGGGGAGGGGTTCAAAGGCGAGGACCACTCAGTCTAGATTTGACGACTCGAGAAGGAAAGGCCGTATGAAGTCAATGACGGACTGGGTCGTGATTTAGGTGGTGCAGTGCAACGCACTCGAATCTGGTTCTACTTTGGATTGCACCGTTGAATGTTGAATCAGAATCTTTTCAGAGAAGACTCCGAGAGGGGAATATTCAATCGCAGTGAGAATTAACGTGATCCGTCGAGCGTCTGCGTTTTATGCTGCTCGGTGGTTTAGATCGAAGTAGATGGAAAGTGAAATGTGAACATCTTACCTTTCCGGAAAGATGCAAGAATTTGACATCATGAAAGTTTGAGAAGTAGATCGCACTCAGACCAGCTCAATCACATGATGACGTGATTCTAAAGTCCCCAAATTTCTGGAAGTGCACCACAGTAGAACAATGATTTGTTCGCGAAATGAAGCATCGGATCACAGGACTTTACAGTTTTCTTGCAGTAGGCCTTCTTAGGAACTTTCGACAAATGATGTCAATATTCGAAAAAATCTCTGGGAAGAAATGGAAGAGGAATCGAACTCTACTAACTCTGATAGCCGAATTAAAAGAACAATTGGTGATTGTCTTGCAGCGAGTGAGCGAAGGAATGGAGACGAGTACATTCGAAGCAAAGTAATATAGAAGGCTTTTTTGCTTCTCCTCTCCGATACTCCAGATGCTTGATAATAATTTAGTCAGCAGATTTCTGGTCCCCACCCCAACCCTAAACTTGCCCCGAGATTTCTTCAGTTGCAATTTCACGCTACCCATCCACTTCAATACGTTTTTCCTCGGCCCAGAACCAGAGCAATCGAGACTAACTGAACTTGACATCATCCAATTGCAGTTGCAGTGTCCAAAGCTTTCATTAATTGACCATATTATATAATTAATGCTGCATTTAGCATCATATTGCTAATTGTAGATCTTAGAAGCGATGCAAGGTGAGACAATAGTTTGTTCATTTGTACAAAGGGGGCCATGATGCATGAGGTTAACTACATCTCACCTAGAAGGGCAAAACTTCGATCAGTTGGTGTGACCATTTTCTTGGCCTCCTTGAATTCTGCCACTCAATTAGCTGCGTCCTAATCAAACCCAAGGGAGGCGTGCACAGCGAATGGGCCGTCACTGCAACTGGGCCGTCACTGCAAGCAACTCAAAATATTATAGCCATCGATTGTAATCGACGGTGTTAATACCGACACGTCATCTACGTGAGTCAGACTCAGTTTGTGGATTGCCTCCCGATGCTCTCGGTACAGGTTCCCGTGGATTAAATCTGCGCCAGCCTGTACAGTCTACACACCTGGGAAAGCATAGTGTGCCACGTCATGTAGGGAAAAATATGTCCCACAGTCCTTCCCCCAGTACAGCATGCAGCAGCTCACCATCCCAGTTCTGTAAAATGCGTTGTATCCCAGTTGACGAGGTTTGATGGTGGACACCCTTGATTTGTGTTCGGACTATTTTAGAAGATGGGTTCACCCCACAGACAATCTATGCACTGCCCCAAAGTGATCCACAGGCGCCCGAAGAGCTACATTTGCAGTTGATACGGAATTCGGTTATGATTAGCGTTTGATTGAAATCAGTGTGACAGATTAGCATTGGATCTCGAACAGGCAAAACAGGATCCTGTGGAAAGCACGCGAAACAATGTTATCTAGAGGACGTTAGATCCATTGACCATAGTATATTCTATTGGCTGTTTGGACCTTTATACGAAGTTGTTCAGCAAAGCAAGTACAACGTTTCTGATGTCAGGAGTGGCTTAGAACAACAACAGAAACCGAACCCGTCTAAATCAGCTACAGCACTTGATTTGGAATCGTTGTATCAATGACATTGTACAAGAGTAGACTAAATTTGACGATTATTACTTGAGAGTAAAGTTATTCACAAAGGTGGCCGACAAAAAATTGGACTTTCGATGCCTACACGTTGACCTTCAAACATTAAACATTACTTCTACATAAGATTATAAGCTTTATTCAACTTCTCAATATTTGCACCCTTTTTAAGTTAATCAGATGTAACTTTTCAGAATCAAACTTTCATCAAACTCTTCCGGATGATTAGAGCGGTTTCTGGCTTCTTTTATTGCAGGGTTATTCCCAGATGCAGTATTCCTAAAGACACGGAATTACCACTATTAAGATTCCATGAGTGAGGAGTGATTGAGATTTGGATTTTCAGTGGACCACAGAGGACAAACACCATCTGCATCTGTACACTTTCCGTCAGTAGCCGGTATACACATACAAAATGAGTATAATATTATCATGACTCTACCTCGGTTCTGACAAGTTTATGTGCATGCAAATGAGTGATATACTTCTATGTGGCTATGTGTGTATAAGGTGTGATGTTAGCTACGACCAGATACAGCATAAGATTTACAGAAAATATGCAATAGGAATGTTTAGAATCCTCAAACTATTTAGAATCAAAGGATTCTAAATAAGTAATACGTGATCTAGAACCGTGATCATTTAAAACCAAATTAAGAAATTATGTTATTATCGAATACATGTGGGAGAAATTTACAAAACTTAAACGATCATTGATTGTATCTATAATATAACTTAATATTGACAAATAATACTTATATCAAGTATGAATTGGAAATATGTATATATTTACATATTTGATTATCTAAAAAATGAACTAATTCAATTTTTGATAAACATGCAATAGTTTAAGATGTATAACATTCTCCCTCAGTCTCCTATTGTAAATTTGGTTGAAAATTTTAATTTTTCATTAAATAAATAATGTTTATAAAATGAATTAGTTATATGAAAAATGTCTTTATTTTATGAGAAAATTATATATAATTTTCACTATTAGATGTTTAATTCTGATGAAGTTGTTAAAAAATACATGATAGAAGTCAATAGAATGATATCTTTTAAGTGATTCCAAGAGATATAGCTAAAATGATAACAGCACAATTTCTTTTAGACGTTAGCATTCTTGCTTCAACATGCCTCAACGGCTTGTCTACTATTCCAGCAGTCTTGGGAAAACCATTTCCTCATATCCAATACCAAACTTAAATAATAATGTGGATCTAAGGAAGTAAGATGATAAAATTATTTTTATTTCAATGAAATGCAAGTACTGAGAGTTTTACTTTCATATTTTTCAGTCTGGTTGTACTTCATTCCCTGTAAAACAAAGATATACGTTGATATGAACCCGTTGAAAGTGATTTGACGTATACATGCATAGATTCAGAAAAGAAAAGTGTGCTTGATATGTTATCTTTATTCTACAACCATCAACTACGAGTATAGAGTGACAGTCTAGCTGGAAGGGACAAATATCCCAAGAGAACTTAGAGAAGGATATTTTAGTGGAGCACAAAACCCAACACATTCCCTAACACCGAAAACCCAAGAGACTTGAAACCATCTGAACAATTGCTTCCTAGATTTACGTGTATGCTACTGGGAAGAGAAAACGTATGTGTGTTGTCCTTCATCAACTGAAGTTCTCGACTGACACAAAAATATATTCTAAATTATTTTAAAAATTTGTGGATAAATCACTCAATAGTAAATATTGACTTAAACCTATATTTCATGAAAGAAAAATAAAGAAGAATACATTTTAGATCTATGTAGCATGAATTCCAAAACCAAGGAGCAAGAGTTCCATGTTTGTAACGCACGGCTTCCAACTTCCAGTTTGGTTTAATATAATATTGAGGCTATTAAGTTAAAACTTGGTGTTGGAGGTGACGTCTAGGGGTTGACCTAGTTAGGGAATAGCTTCTCGAACTATACAAATGTTTTCCACCAATCATATCACGTAGCTATGGTATTTCTCTTATCCTCCCTCTTCAGCGCTTGCCCACACGGGGATTGACAACGAATAGGCTCCACTTGAAGTAACGGCCTTTTAACGTAAAGAACTTACAGGAAAAACGGTCTTCTCCTTGATATTGATAAATAAATAGATTAATAAATAAAAATGATATGCATCACAAACCTCGTACTTCCACTCATGGAAAATCTTTTCAAGTAGCGAGGATTTAAAAATTCTTGCGTAGATGTATGAATACGTAAAGGAATAAGTCTTGGAAATCATGCCACGCTATTGAATACAGTTGTAAGTGCAAGGTACTCCTAGTGTCCGACTGTAGTTATTCCACATCATCATTTCATTTTGTTGAATATATCCGATGATGTTCTAGAGTATTGTACAGAAGATATCTCGGTATGGCCTCCGTTTCTGGCAGCATGTTTACAGGAAAATATCGGCGAGGGAAACGGCGACATACCCAATACGTTACTTAGTAGTGCCTGCATTTCTGTCTAATCTATGGTGACAGTCCTCGAGATCTTCCTGGTTTATGAAAGGATATACGAGGATAAATATAATCTCCTGCGAGCGGCGAATCAGGAAAAAGGTGCGGTGCTGCACGAATTTACTTTCGTGCAAAGCAAGCCATTTTCGGAATCGAGAAAAATAACCTCGGTAAGCGGAAATTCCCACGCGCCAGTCGAGTCAGCATGGCCGACCATCCATCCATGGCCCAGGGGCTCTTCCTAGACTCCGGGAGAGAACATGGTTGTGACGGAGCCGCCAATTTTGGGGCTCCGGCTTCAGCAGCAGCGCCGCCAATTTGGGAGCTGTGGGAGCGTGACGCCAAGTTTGGCGAGCGGCGGTAGACTCCGTGCGAACGGAGGCGGGGACGCTGGAGCGCGGGAGTCATGAGCCAATGGGAGCCCATGAAATGCGTCCTTCCCACCGCTTCCCTGCCATTCACGTTGCTCCAGTCGTGACAACAGTCGCTGGCTCCGCGGGCACCTCCTAAACTTAGCAGCGCAAAGCAGGTGACAACCACGTGAAATCTGCGTCACCACAGTAGACAGCCATCAACCGCGTGTGATTTTCCCGTGTTTATGCCCCAGCTTAGCATTAAACCGCCATTTATTATCCAAAACGTGCTTCCGGACATGTAACACTGGGAGAATGTTTCCGTCTTCCATGAGGAGTGAGGACATCCGACGAAACGTACACCGCTAAAGCGGCCCGCCACCCCTCCCCCGCCAAAATAGCCCCGCCTCATACTCGGTAAGAGGCGAAGCGAGCGATGGAACATGGGGCTCAGAGCGAGCAGCCAAACTGGCGGGGGACGTCTTAGCGCGGAAGGCGCCAGAGTTGGCGGAGCCCGGAGGAGGAGTAGTACTGGAGGCCGTCCCTCCCTCGCTCGCAGGGAGGGAGGACTGCAATGCGCTGACGTGCCCAGGCAGAGGGAGGGCGGCCGGGCATTCATGAAGGATTCGGCGATCGAGGTCGGTCGGTCGGGGAACAGCAGCAGCACCGCGAGGGAGGAGCATGAGCAGGAGATTTCAGTGGGAGCGAGCATCGGTGAAACTTTTGTCCACTGACCGACGAATGATTGATCGATTGGTCCCATCACAGGGTCCTCTCTCTCTCGTCCCCGCTTGCTCTTTCTTCCTCCACCGTCCCTCCTCTGCAGCAGGAGCAGCAGCTGCAGCACCACCACAACCATCAGCAGCACCGTGACCATCGAGAACTGTGTCTGTCTGTCTTGTCTTGTGAGCTCCGTCCTTCCGGCCTTCGGCTGGATTCTGTGTATGTGTTGTATATTGAAAGTGAGCCGAGAGAAAAAACTGTAAAGAGAAGAAAGAGGAGGCGGATTCGCTCGATTCTTCTGCGGCTGTTTGGACGTGGCTACTCCGTCTCGGGGTGGTTCAATTCGTCATTTTTCTTGGGTGTTGATTCGTGTGGTGGTGATGAGATGAGACGAGGGAGTGGGAAAGCGTGACGAGAAAGCTGTGCTCGTTTTCCTGAGTGAGTGCAGCGCCAATTGCCTCCTGCAGGGCACGCACGCTTGTGCGGGGCATCGCCATCTTGGAACAGCAGCAGTAGAGCAGCCGTCCTTGGCATGAGCGTAATTTACAATTAGCCCAAATCAAAGTGCGCTACGCACGCACGCCCAGCAACGTAGCTTAGCGCGAACGTAAATCTGCCAGATTTGTTCTGAAGATCAAGGAGGTCATCACGGACGGGATTAAATAACAAGAGAGATAAACGGGGCGAGAAGCAGCAGCGGGCGTTTGCGATAAGTCTGCACTGATCTAGGGACGACAGCTACCAGAATTCGGTTTGCGGACGTAGTGGTTGTCGCGATCGAAGGAAACGAGTGGGAATGAAGGGCCCTTGGTGGGGCTTACAAGTCATTCCAAATGGATCGAGTAGATGGTGTGAGGTAGATGCGTGCTCGTGAAATCCCGGTACTCGGAGTCGAGATTTCCCTTGACTGCTGTAGATTGTGGCTCGCCGGACAACAGAAGTCAAGGTTACTCAAATTGCAGGAAGACTCGACGAAATTATACCAGAGAATTCAGACATCAAGGCTCTCGTGAAGCATTTGCGGACGGAGCCGTGGTCAAGTGTCAGATTGATTGCCTGGTGCAAGCGGATAACCCGAACATTCGAGCAGCAACAGGGAAACGATGCAGAAGAACGGAATCCCAGCAGTGTCGGGTGATGTGCCATCCTTACCTAGTTGGGCGCACAGGGCTGAGCACGAGGTATCGGACGACGATGTGTCTCCGACGAAGAAGGAGGAAGTCGCCCGAGAGGCTGCGGAGCTCGTAGCGCAGCAGAAGAGACTTTCCGTTCGCGATTTGGCCAGCAAATTCGAGCGGGGCCAAGCTGCCGCCCAGGCCGCTGCTGCTCAAGTCGCCGCAGAACATGCCACCCACGTAAGCTTTCCAATCCATCTCCCTTTTGCACTTGCTCCCCTCTGATTGTTGTTGCATCGCATGCTTAGGCGAGCTTCTGCAAATCTGGCCCGAGGCGAGCGAGAGACGGGACTAGACGTTGACTGCCGTGGGGGCTCTCGAAGCTCTCGGCCGTATTTTTGCCTCCACCGCTCCTCAATGCCCCCCACTCCGCCCTTCTCTCTTGCTCGAAATGTTTGAAATGCTTCTCACTTTCTCTGAGCACTTCTCTCTCTCGCGCCCGTATTGATTTCGGAAGAACGAAGGCCACCTGCCCTACCTGCTCGAAAGTACATGCTGCGACCTTGGGGAACTGAACCTCGTGACTATCGTGGCCACACAAGAAAGCTTAGCACCGCATACGACCGCGTTCGCGTCATTAATGAAGGTCCCCGTTGTGGAGGACCGAATGGAGAGATCAGAAACTCAAAAGCGGGATCTCGAAATCTTTTCTGGTCGTGGATAGTTAGTTCCTTGGACCGAGGCCTGCTGCTGCTGATGCTGCAGTATGTGAGATTTGTATGGTGCAACGGTTTGCTTTTCAGATCTGTCCGAAAGATTGAGCTGAGCTGGACGGGGTTGCTGTAACGGGATGATCATTAGCAAGTTTGGCTCGAATTGTCATGCGATCCAGGATTCCGAATCATCAAAGCACTTGTGATTCGGTAATCTGCGAGCTGGATGCGTGACGTTCATTCGTATGAACCTCGCTGCTGTGTGTTGTGTAGAAGAAAGTGCGGGAGACGACGGTGGTGGGCAAAGAGGCGGTATTTAAAAAGCTCCGGGGCTTGCTCAATGATTTGCGGCTTCGTGTCGCGGGCCGCAACAAGGACGACATTGAGGAAGGATTGAAAGCGGTACGTTGGCGATGGCTCTTCCCGCTTCTAGTCATCACTGCTGATTAGCTTGTCACAAGGCTTTTCTTTGTAACCAGCTGCTGCCTTTGTATTTTTCTCCATCACCATTTGTTACTTACAGCCGTCGTTTCCTTCTATTCACACTCGACCATCAAGCTGCTCTCGTAGTCCTCATGTGCGCAGGATTTCTTCTAGTGTCATTGCTTCAGAGGTCAGTGACAGGAGCACGCACAATTTGCATTTACAGATGGTGACTGTTACTTGCAGGTGGAATCACTTTCGGAGCTATTTACTCAAAGAGAATCCGAGTTGGCGCAGGAGAGGGAAGAGGTCAGAAAGATGGCCGCGCTATTCAAGCAGGTAACACGGCTCTCCGATGGATTCATCTTTCAGACTGGGTAACTTGAGTTCTGGTCGCTTGGAGATTACCCCGATCGTGACAACGGGACCTTCCTCGTGTATGCAGAGTCTTGCGATTATTGTGCAGATGTGGTGTCTTTGGTTGCGTTAGCATATGAGAGAACTATGAGTCACTGGCGCAACTTACCAATTGAATTTTTATTCGACAGGCATCAGATGACGCAAAGACGATGGTCGAGGAGGCCAGGGCTGTCGCGCACAACGAGATCGAAGCTGCCAAAGCTACGGCAGCGAAGGTCGAAGCCGCTCTCCACGAGCAGGAACAGATTTGGACTGCTGCAGAAAAGAAGGTGAATGTTGGCCCAGTTGCGCGTTGCCGGATCGTTCTCTCTATGCAATTGCTCAATTCGTCCAGCAGTTGTCGTAGCCAATGTTGGACATTGTGGGCTTCGACTTGAAAATGAATATCACTGACATGCTTGGATGGAGATCCGGTGCTTCGAAGGGCGTTGAGCAGAATTTGATCTCTGATTCGAGTTCACTTCCTTTTCTCAAACGTAGAGACTGGATGCCGAATCACAGATTTTTCTTGAAATATATCCCCTGCGCAACTCCATTGTAAAAATATGATTTTATCTCTATTTCGGAAATAGAGAAAACTTTAAAGCCCGTGGGCATCCACAAATATCTTATTGATTAGTTTTCGCCTATAGGAGTTGGAAGATTTGAAACGCGAAGCTCAGGAGGCCCGGAGAATAAAAATGTTGCACGAGTCTAGCAAGGTATGGTCTATTTGTTTTTTAAATGCTTGAGGTATTCTACATTTTGTAGTGTTCTCGAATTCAGTCATTGACCTACTCAGCTTGAATAGGGCAGTAAAGCCTAGAGGATTATGCGAGATTTACTTCTGGGCTTGTTATCGCAGGCTATGGATATGGAACATCAAATTGATGGTCTAAGGCAACAATTGGCCGAGAAAGCTGGAGAGGTCATGAAATTGCGCAAAGAGGTTCGGATCCTGCTCTTTAGCAAGCGACTTGAATTCGCTTTTTATTGGTGACGGTGACTGCACACTCACGTTAGGACATTTTCCACCAACAAATTCCAGTGCAAAGGCCTGGCCTCTCTCCAAGAATGTGGAATTCACATGCGGAATGTGCATCTTAGCTGATCGTTCAAATCTCTTCATTTGCTTTGGTGTCAACACTTCAAAACGTTCCCAGCATTCTTATTGATCGCGGTGTTCATCCGTTACTTGCAGCTTGATGCTCTTAAGCGACAAGGCCAGGATGGAGGAAAACAGCAATTGTACCAGATTACTGGCCATGAGCACCTCGGGACGACCTTGAGTATCGGAGCTGTGGATGAAAAGTTATCGGACCTTTCCCTCTGCAGCGTCCAGTGGTATCGAATCGCAACAGATGGAAGCTCCCCCGATGTGATTTCTGGTGAGATCCATTGAAGGGAGACCTCATAGCTTTCCATTGTCGATGACATTCTCGTCAAATAGGTTCGTGTAGTGTCGTCGGCTTCCGAAGTCAGAAGTGGCATTGTCTAACCTAATTTACTGTCAATCTTTCTTCTAGGTGCAATAAGGCCGCAATATGCACCAGAACCATTTGATGTTGGAAAGTTCTTGCGAGCAGAGATCAGTCTATCTAATGGGAAGGTCGAGGCTGTGCAAACATCTGGACCGATAGACCCTGGTATGTAAACTTCTGAATCATGTCTCGTACAAATTGAACGCTTCTATGTGCATTCGTCGGCAGAGAAGAGATTGTTTGGTCTCCAGGATTGAATACAGCAGATATCTGTTACGTACGTTTCAGACAATTCATTTGTAATAAATGTGCCACAGAACAAACGTAATGCTGCTTTGAAGTATTTCTGAGCTATTTTATTTGTCTTGTTTTGATACGGCAGCTCCTGGCTTGGAAAAGTACGTGGAAATTCTCGTGAGCAAGGGTGGTGCTCAATTCAACGTAAGATTATTCCCTGCTGTACAGCCTTCAAAGTTCTGCTTTAGTCCTCCTATATGTATGAGATTATGTGCGATGAAAATTTTCAAAAGTCCTCTTGAAAAGTCCTCTTGCTCTTGTTTCTTTCGCTCGTGTTTCGCTTACGACGTCAATATTGACTTTCTGAGGACTCATGGTTTTGATTATATTCAGACAAGAATAGTGCTGAAGAATGGAGAAATCGTTGAAAAGCAGTCCCTTCACACCTTGGACGTGAACAAGAACCGAATCAAGCTTCACAAAGGACGAACTGTCAAGGCAAAAGAAAATTACTCAGCGAGCATGCAGGTGCGCTTATTAGGCCAGTTGATGTAGTTGATATTGTTGCTAACTATCGGGGCTGAAGTGTGAACGTCCCTATGGGCTACTTATCTGTCGCATGCTCAGCTGATAGCTGAAGGGCCTCCTGTAAACTGACGCATGTGCTTTTCAACAGCTCTGTGGAGCAAGAGGAGGCGGAGATTCTGCTGCTCAAGGGCTATTTTGGGTAGCAAAGAAGGGGCTGACGTTTATGTTGGTTTTGGAATCCGAGAGAGAACGTAACGCTGCCATTCTATTGGCCAGAAAGTTTTCAAAACTTGGAAATGTGAGTAGAAATTATGCACTCTTCCCGAATCTTAATTCCTTCTTCGAATATGAACGGAAAGTACTTGACTGCGTCAGACGTTCGAATCAGCCACCAAATCTTGATGTGCTCTCACGACAGTGAAATTTGTATCACGTCTCGAGTATCTTGCTTTTACCCGAAGGTGGCCGACTAATTCTTCTCCGGTCTGTGATTATCATTTCGTATATGGCAGATTCAATTGGGAGGTCCTGATGACGTTGTACACCTGGAACCATAAAAAGTTTCGAGGCTCAGTGTAACTTCGAACGTACAACCTTTGGAAATTAGGAGATCAGAACAGTGATCTTCGCAGATCCAGCTTTTCAAGACTGCAACCTCACAGATATAAATGATGCACATATTCAAATTAATGCTCTGCACATTGTGTGAGTTTCAACTTGGACGGGCAGCCGCAGGGATTTGCCGATGCATTGATACAAGTGCAGAGTTACATTCTCACCGTAATGGCCTAACAATTGTTGGCACCCTTTGTACATTAGTCAAACCTTTTGTGGATAGAAGTGCAGGTTATGTGGAACGACGCCACGTGAAGCAGTTAAAGGGGTTTCTGTAATGTGATTTTTTTGGTGCTGGCTTAGCTTTAGAGAGGTAGGCTGCTGCAAAAGGTGGCAAAATACAAGCAGAAGACGATATCAATTATATTGAAAGTTTGTGCTTTTCTTACATGAGTTAGAAAACGCTATGTCGTGCATGATTTGTTAGGGTAGTCTCTCCACTACTAGATAACATAGCACGGCTACGAATGTCAAAAGTGAGGCTCTAAAGAATGTACCACTTTACTTGTTACACAGCTTTCTACCAAGTAGATAGATAGATTCAGTCTTGAAAGGCACACCTTGGTGATTTGAACAGATACCTTCTTATATAATATAATCCACGTTGAGTCTGCATCTGCATCTTGTCCCTGTCTTTGCTGCGCCTTATCTAGTGCAATACGGGAATGTTTTGTTTCAACTTCTCCTGAGCACGCACGATGTTACCAGTGTGAGTAGATGTTTGATTTGTCTACAGTGATCACATTCATAGATGTACCAAGTAAGCTTGTGGAAAGTGGAATTTGCCTAAGCTTGTGGACAAGTTTTTGGATTGTCCTAGTCACGAGCTATCATTGTACGATGCGTATATCACTATCCTCGATTTTGTTAAGACGGAGTGAATGCAAAGCGCTTGATGGGCCGTCTGTACTGTGCCATTTATTGAACATAATATCAAATGTTGCGAGATGAAAGTCACAGTGTGTATTACTTTCCATCTCACTTGGTGAGTGACCATTCGTCTAGCCGTGCTTCTTCTTATAAATCCGGCAGCCCCCTTGTTTCTCCCTAGCGTCCGGAACTCTGCCAGGAGGTCAGTTGTGCTGATGTGGGGGATTACACCTAAAAATCTCCACTTGAAGTTGGTGGGGTAGAGACTGCATTCACGACAACCACATTGATGACAATGAGTGTCGCGATACCCACATGATTACTGGAGAATTGTACAGCAGATACTTCAAGGTCAACGAGCAACGTGCTTCAGAGGAATCATAGTTTCAGATGGAGCAGCTCCAAGGCAGTGGAAATCCACCGAGATTCTCGAGACCATGAGATGACGAAGTTGACGAAGGCAATAAACCAGGAATAGCTGTGCGCTTCCGGAGGTTTCGACCTTCCGCAACCAACTGTTAATAAATAAGTCAACTTGACTTTGTCTCCTTTCTGACGGACAGGTATTGATCCATCGATGACATGGTGAATTGTCGATGCACTCGGAGAACAATGGGAGAAGTGCTGGAACGCTGGGCTGGATACAGTTCCCATGTCACGCCGTGATGCGCAACGAGGTGATAAGTACAGAAGGGTGGGTATGCAAACAAGTTGCATGCCTTTCTCTTCTTTCCTCGCCCCAACGTACATGAAGGTGGCTGATGATCATGTTGATTCCACGAGGGCTTCGATGGAAGGAAACACGCTGTCATAATGTGCATGATTGCTGAGCTGCAAATCGACCGAGGTCCGTAGAGAAGTCCACGAACCTCATGGAGAATTTCCACACCTGCCTTGCATGCTAAAACGAGGTTGGTAAAATTTTCTTCTCCTCCTCCTCCTCGTTCTTGGGTTTTAATTGTTAAGAATCCGGAGCTGATTTCAGGTACACCACTGCAGTCCATCAGGCTCCAGATTCTGGAATTTGAGCATTCTCTGAAGAATTAAAGAATGGTCGATCCCACGTTCAATGAAGTCATCAGACTGAGGCTCAGTCGAGCCTCAGTCTCGACTGCATGACCAAAAGCTTCTACGTGGAGCGAAATACACTCCGCAGCTACATGGGAGACCGACCGACTGTCCAGCTCATGGAGTGACAATTGGAATGATGGATGCCATTGACTCCAAGGTGCAGCCCCATCATCATCTGGTGGACTTATGACGAATGATTGTCAATGTGAATTCTTCTAGGCTTTGGTCAATCATTCGACAGAAACAGGGGAAAGTTCCTGGTGACTTGGTCATCAGCTGTTACATGAAAGTCAGACCCGACAAACTTATTGGCGTTTCTATTTTAGAATCGAGAATGTACTTATTAATTATAAGTAGATTCTCAGAATGTAAGAAGAGCATTTGGGCTGGTGGTATGATTCTTGCTTATTCCGCAAGATGTCCCGTATTTATTTCTCGGAATAAGCCAGAGAATGGATCCTGGCCCAAAATAAGATACTTCTGCATCTCCTCCCTACCAACTCTTGTAGTCATACTCTTCATGTCTGTTCTACTCTTTTGCCTCGCACAATATGTGTTCCTTCAAAACCAGATTACACTGGAAGCATGGACGATTACGTTGTCTGATCGCATCGCATTTTTGCCGTGTGAGTTAGATTTCAGAGCGTTACAGGCGTGATTACCTACCACTGAATGAAATCATTCGAATGTCTTCTTTACAGTGATTTGCAATGTGGCATTTGCCGATATACTTGCTGGAACTGCTATTGATATCAACTTTTACTCTATTCCCCTGATATTCAGAACCACTCCACACGTGCGAGGCAATGCGAAGCGGGATGCCACCATTCAACTTACTCTGCAGAGAAAGGCCGAACATGCCTACCCACGCGATTGAGGGTTTTGATGTAAATTTGCTCGGTGTGATTTCAGTACATAGTCTTCAGAGTCCGGAGTTCAGGCATTCGGAGAGTAACTGTAGGTCGTAGGTCTCGCAACTGTCACACCATTTCCCACCCTGCTCGTCTTTTCAGACAGGGACTTGATTACGGCCATCGAACGGCCTTGTGAAGTCAGAAGTCAAAGTCAAGCGACACCAGCATACGCCGCAGTGCCTCACGAATAGACCTCACCTGTCTCGCAGAGGCTCAAATATCCTGAATGGACAGTCGACACCTTCTGTCCAAAATCATAAGAGTTAACAGTGTAGACATATCCTGACAGACGTAATCTTCAAGCCCACTGTGTAGACATCCCTTTACGTTATCGCCCTCGATTCCTGATTGACTTTCGGGGATTTTGTGTAGTGAACCAGATGATCAAGTACAGTAGTAGTAGTAGTAGCAGCGGGGACGGTTTTGGCATAAGACCTGGATTTGAAGATCAATGTCAGCTCCTCGTGAAAAGTACGAGTACACAACAGCTGGCCTGCTCGACATGGCTCGTTTGCATCGCTCGATTCAGAATGTAACAGCAGGAGGGAGGAAGCGGAAAGCTCATGCTCTGGTGACCGGTTTGATAATCGCCACCCTTTCACTCATTTCTGAGACAATCGAGCTGGACCTGCATGCGAGCACCGGATTCGGGGCTTATCTTTGTTGAGCATTTATGAACTACACTTTGCTGGTGCTCCTCAGGAGAAGGAAGGACAGACTCAGTGGAGTGCTATCAAGCATTGAAGGGGAAAGTAGATAAAAGTAGGATTCTGCACTTGACTGACTGCTTGGTTTGGGGCTCTCATATCTGCCACTGGCGAGGAGAAATTCGTCAATGGTTGCTGTCAGTGAACCCGCGTGGGGGTAGACGAGATTGACATGATGTTCCACGAGTCTACGGCTACGTGCAGAAAATATTATAAGGCTGGCTACACTGAACGCGTACTACTAGGCAGGATACTTTTAGCTCGATCTGCAAACTTCATAATCATTTCCTTGGCCCTTCCGGAGGCAACGAAGTATCGAAGTATCGCACTCGACCTCAAAATGGAAGCAGAAGCCCAGTTTTCTTCACACACTCTTAAGGAAATTAATCTTCCTCCGAGTCAGTAGAAGATCGAAGCCTCAAATTCTCTACTCGTTTAGTTTCCCTTGTTTTACCTCACTGAACGTCCGAACCTGATTTCAAACATGTAAATTAGGCGAGCAATGATTCGTTCTTCACAAACTTGAGCTTCCTGTCCCAGGAGAGCACCGAAACGATGCTCGAACGGCGTTCTGACTTTCGGTGCTTCGAATGCTCTTCGGCCGCGCTTGCTCGCAATACATGCAGACGTGCTCATGCTCGTGCTCGTGATTGTGACGGCGCAAACCATCTAATGGACTCTATCGAGGACGACGGGAAGAAATGAAAACATTCAACACTCGAAACGCTCTGTATTCGCCTCACAGCCCATGAGACCACGACTCTAGGCATTCAGAGACCAGGTCCATCGACCAAACCGAAATCGCATCGGGCACGTCGGAAGCTCTGAACTCCGAACATTCACCAGCTCAAAACTCCTGCACACCCACTGGGCATTTCACAGGAATCGCCGGGAGGGGAAGGAGACAGAACTCCCTTCCGACCCCACATTGGCGAAAACAGAGCCCCCAGACTCACTCCAACCGAGTTCGAAGTCCTACGAATCGAACTCCTTGCAATCGATCGATTCGACTCGACTGCGGCTGCAGAAAAGCGATTCGAGCGAGGGAGCGAGCGAGTACTCAAATTCTCAGGACACGAAAGGCATGCCCGAATTCCTGGCAAGGCATTAATCAGACTACTGCCATTTATGACAACTCGGAGTGAGTCGGAAGAATACTGGAGCTGACGAGCGATTGATCCTCGGACCTCGACGAGTGAGGATCAGACAGACAGCCACAGGCACAGGTGCCGAGTTTGACACATCGACGGGAGCCAATGACGAGAAAACAGCGAGCCCGCGTCCGACACAGATTCGGGCGCCCGCTGTCGCCAAGGGCCTCGGCGGCTCGTCGGCGATGTCGACCGGATGGCGGGGCGAGCCGGACGGTCCCATGGGGCGATATTTTGCCAGCAGCTTCGCTCGCTCGGACTCCAGTCCATGGCGGCCACGTTATGGGCTCTCGCCCGTGACTCATCATCAAGCTCCTGCCTCGTCCTCGTCCTCGTCCTCGTCCTCTTCTCCTCCTTCTCCTCACCGCAGTCGCATCGACTCACACCATGGTCCTCCCGATCCCCGATGCCACTCCAGCACACACCGCGGTCTCTCCAATTGCGCTCCCGCTGACACTCCTCGACGGCCCCGAGAACAAAGAACGCTCGCCAATTTTCCTCCAGCGAGCCGCAGCAGCGAACGAGCGAATTAGCGAGGAATCGATTGATTGATCGATCCATCCATCCATAGGAGCTGTGGGACATTTTTCAGCTCGACCCTGTGCGCGCAGGGTTGCTCGCGAGGAGCGAATCGAATCGAATAGGGTGGGGGATTTGGAATTTGGAGCAGGTGTGATTTAGGGCGGAGAAGATGGATCCGCCGATGCGGAGGCAGGTTTCGAACATACAGGACTTCCAAGCGCTGCCGCCGATGAGCGAGGCGCCATCGTACTACGCCGAGTGCTACGAGGCGTTCGTCAATGCGTGCCCTCGGCCCGAGCGCGATCGGCTGGCGTATCTGCAGAGGACGGTGCCGGCGTTTCTGTCAGCAGCCGAATTGGCAGCAGCGGCGGACGACGATCGAGGTCCGCTCAGGGTTCTGAGTCTGGGCACGGGCAATGGGGAATTCGACATCTGGTTCATCAACAGCCTGCTGCTCCTGCACCCCGGCAGCCGCCCCATCCACTACGACGCCGTCGAGCCCAATGCGGATCAGTGCGAGGAATTCGCCTGCAGGCTGCGCGAGAATCCGATCCCGGGCGTGTTTCTGCACCAGAGCTCGTTCGAGCAGTTCAAGCCCCCGATGCGCTACGACATCGTGCTCATCGCGCACTCGCTCCACTACCTTCCTCGCGGCTGCCTGAGCATCGTTCTCGATTCTTACCTGGTGCCCGAAGCTTGGGGGCTGATCGTGGTTTTGCACTCGTCTCTGGCCGGCATCGCCGGCGTTTACAGGAGCTTGGGAGTGCGAGGTCTGAATTCCGTGCTTCTCGTGGACGAGCTGGATCGACTGGATCCGCAGCTCTCGTGCCACGAGATGGTGAGTGTGAATCGGTGGATGGATGTTGAGGACTGCTTCCAGGAGAAGGATGGGCTGAATTTGAAGCTGCTGGGATTCTGCGTCGGCAAGGATCTGCGCAATGCCGAGCCCGAAGTGCTGGAGAAGATTCGGAAGCAGATTGCCACCCAAACCATGCTGCGAAAGGGGAGGCGGCACTTGTGGGAACCTGATGCCATCGCCGTCGTCTACAGGAACTTGAAATGAGAGAGACAGAGACAATCTCCGACTCTTGCTCCCGAGCGAAAGCGCCCCTCCACCATATCTGTGCGCCAAGGGACAGGGAAGAGCGAAGCTCGTGGGAATCTTCACTCTGAGCTGCAGTCTCGCGCTCTGATTGAACTGATTCTTCCGCTTTGAATGTCTCTGACGTGGTGGGCCGCAGAATCTCCTTCGCCTTTCATGTCTCGGTGTGTCTTTCCATCTTCCATAAAGCTTCGCTCGCACTCGCCCCATTCAAGTTGTAGGATCATATTTTGCAAACTGGAACCGAGATTTCTAGGATTGAGAGTAGAGGTTCAGATGATTTGTACAAACGGCTTGTTAATATCTTTAGTTCCTCAGGGCTTTTCGTTCATGGGGCTAAGCTTTGCCGAGCCACTTGCCTAACAGTTGGTTTTGATAGAAATTTTATTTCCAGAAAATCTGGATTGAATTTTGTACTCTATTGAGACTTTCTCCATATTTCCTTGTGCCCTTCCATTGATTATTGTTCCCGTTTCGCTCTCCAGTTTTGTTTTTCCTGACACTTCAGTGTCCAAAACTGCTTACCCTCAAATCCGAGGACAGGAGATTCGAGCAGCAACTTCTTCCAACTTCGAGTCGTTTAAAAGGTTGTAGATCCAAATTGTTGCCATCAATTTTCCTCCCAAGTGTCAACATTGTCTTGCAGGATCATAAGAAAACATCACAGAAGAACTTCCTCGCTGTATGAAAGTAACCTCCACGCGATACGAGCAGGTTATATTTGCTTCGCTATGTCTCCAACTCAAGGTTCCGCGGATATGTTTACGGCCGTCCACCTGATTCATATTTATAAAGACTGCAGTGTCTCTGCCAGAACAAAATTTCGTCCTACCGATAGACCATCTACGAAAGTGGCATGACGAAGCGATTGTTTGAGACTGTGAAACGCCACCATAAGTGCGCTGACGAAGGTTCATTGGTGGGAGGGAGGGCCAGGAGGTTTTTGCTTGCTTCACAGCTGGCATACTTGCGTTGAGTGCCTGCCTCCTCGAACCGAAGGTGGCAGAAATCTACAACCGAGTGAGGGCTACAGCGTGGGCTGATAACATCTTCTTCAGATTCCGATTTCTGCAGACGATTTCGAGGATCTTTTGAAGTTTACAAAAGTAAGTAGCCGTGATCTTCGGGCCCAAGTGAGTCATCAAGAGAGGACCGAGAAAAGATCTCGCAGCCTGGATCATATTCCCGTAGTCCAGACGAAGTCCGAGTCGATGGCATGCGAGTAGTCTTCTTCCAGCAACTCGACCCGTTCGAATCTCTCTATAGATATGGTAGATATCTCTATATTCCTCTTCTATGAGGAGTTTCATTTCCTCTGGATCACGGAAAAATACCGGAAAGTTGAATGAAGATGAAGATCCCGAGTCCTCCGTGAGGATGCCCTGACCAAATCTTACACCTGTCAGTTCAAGCTGCGGCCGGACCTTCCTTGTGCAGGCCTGCGAGCTGCAGGTGAAGTAATACAAATTGCAAGAGGATGTGAGAATACCACCTTGCACCTTGCACGTAGATGCACTTCAACGATCACTGGCATTGTTTCTCTTTGACTCTGGCCTGCGACGACTTATAATTCAAGCTGCTTTCTGCATTCTAGATATGGCGACTATCATGTGGAGAAAGAAATCTTACGTTACCAGTTTCCGGCTCTTGGATCTCAGAGCGACGGATATTTCAAACTTATCTATCAGTCCGTAATTCCGAGGACTTTCATCCTCCTAACTTCGATACGTAAAGATTCTCGATGAATGGAAGCAGAGGAAAGGGTCCTACCTCTGAAATCAACTCCTCCCATGCAAATTCCATGAGCTGAGAGTACTGCAATGATCCGGGATGTCGCACGCAAACAACCCATCTCCATCTCCAGCTATCACCACGATGATAAATTTTAGCCCTCCTGTCACCAACTCCTCCGCCCTGGAGTCCAAGAAGTTTCTCAGGTCTTCCATAGACTGCTTCCTGAATTCCTCCACTACGCAGGGTGGAGCTCCATTCAGCCACATCCGTGTGCCATTGTAGCAAGCAGAGGCCTTGTCCGTCACTGTCTCGGGAACCTACACTCCACATGTCATCAGACCCACTTGTGAATGAACCTCTTTTGCTCAAGTTTGCTTCCAACAAATTTCAGAGAGAAGAGAGAGAGGGAGAGAGAGGGGCCTGGCAAATGTCATCAACATGGATATTTCGGAGTGTCTGCCTCCCCCCACCCTATTTCCCAAACTCGAGGACTACGAAGCAACACAAAGCAATACATGTACTTATGCAAGCGAGTCAGTCAGTGGCACCTGAAAACCAGTTCGCTTCCAAGGTTGATATCGAGAGGATAACGACACACACCTGCTAGCAATTGGAGTGAGAATCATGGAGTGCCTGACAGCACGTCAGACCGGTCTCGTTCATCACGGTGGCGAGACCTTCACAGAAGAGTGTGTGCCTGGGACCACCTCCCTCGGCTACCCTTTCCAGTCTAAATCGACGAACGACGAATCGACGAACCTATCACTAGCCGCAGAATGATAGTCCCGGGGTTTGTACCCCGGGACTATCATTCGCAAGTTCGACTCTCGATTCCTCCTCGAGCTCCACTCAAGGGAAGGGGAAAGTGTAGAAATGGCGTATTTCCACACTCACAGATTTCTGGCTGAATTTCGGAGCGATGGGCAGCGGCCACACGAACGCACTCAAGTTCCACATTGTGCAGATCTGAAGCGAGAAGAGCTGGGTTCGTGACAGTCGGTCGGACCTTAGAGAGCCACTGGACGCAATGAGATGCCAGAAAGATGTCGACGGACGAGTGAGGGAACAGCCGATCGTGGAAGAATCCGGGAACGCCCGCAGCGTAGAAGTCCTCCTTGGTATGGCGACGAGAGGCGGAGGCCAGCTGCTTGAACAACGAGTTGAATCATTCGACGGCAGGTCGTTGAAAAAGACGTGAAATTCCGGAACTTCACGCCTCGATTCCTCGAACCTCTGCCTCAAGCTCTTGACGATGGAAGTGACATTGTCGATGGTGTCGGCTCCGCTGGAGCAGCCCAGATCCGACACCACGAGGCTGGCTCTGGCTTTTCCTCCGACAGCAACTCTCGCAGCCGAGACAAGCACTTCTCATCCAATGTCCGGTGCCACCACGAGCTCGTCGGCCTGCATAGCCACTCTCGTCTTCTACGGGCGCCATGCCCACGCTCGAAGCTCCCGTGGCCACTGCATCGACAACGGGACCCGGCGGGGCCATTTCTCTTCACTGCACAGGCTCCAGCCAGATTCGCAGACCTTAGATTTCCGACTCTATTTCCACTCCGATGTCCCCGCTCCGCGAATCGCCCGGCCATGAGAGGAGTCGCATGCCCAGCCGAACGAGGGCGTCTTAGGGCGGCGGCTGTGAAGGAAAGCGCTCGGGTCACCACCACCACCACCACCATGTGATCAAATTCCAGCATTCATCCAAGATTCATCGGGTACAGATGCAGATACAGCCGCGCAAAAAAGCAGCGACAGCGACATCGCAGCCTGGGATCGACCAGCGGTAAATGGCAATTCCATATCCCTGGAACATCCGATCGTCCTTCTCCTTCTTCGCCACTGCATGCAATACAGTACGCTGTCAGTCGTAAATGTGTGAGACAAAATGTGGGATTCTCGTCGTCGGACGTCGCTCGGATGATCGAAAATACGAAATCCGTTCCGTACTCCCGTAATTTCACGTTGATTGCACTTACATCATCCTTCTGCGCTCGTCCACCGTCGACCTCGACGTCGTGCCAACCGAGCCAGAAGAAAGAGCCATCGGCATTCCGGGCCGTGCCATAGATTGGAGATCTCTCCATTCGCCAGAGGGCGGCCGAGCTCGAGAGCTCCGAAGGGTGGACGGGAAAACCTCCTGCCAATGTCCCTCGCGGATTTTCGTACTTAATCAGATTATACAATTCAGTGTTCTATGATTCACCATCTGGCCGTTCAACTTCGACGCTTGGTTGAAGTGATGTGCGTCTGTGGAGGCCATGGGGGAATGAATGCTCGAAGAATTTATGTCCCGAACTCGAGGCAATCGGTGGTGGGATTACTTTGGGATTCGGGATTACGCAATAATTCGGGACAGCGAAGCGTGATGTGGCTGGAATGCCGCAGTTCCGGGCTCTAAGTCTCTTCTTGCATTCTCGGGGACGCTAAGTATCGTCCACATTCCGAGCTCGATGTGCCATCCGCTGACAACGGAATCTTACGACATGAGGAGTACGAGCTTTGAGCCTTTCAGGGTGAAGACGAGGACCGTACTTCCATGGCGTACACGCTAAATCCAAGTTTCTAGCAAATTTTCAGTATGTATATACAGGATGGAATATGCTAAATTTAAAACTTTTATATCTCTTAAATATTTGAAGTCAGCATTATATTACTGTATCTCCCTTGTATTAGCCTCAAGTGAAAAGCTTCAATCGGATTTTAACTTTTCTGTGATTCTCACTGAGAATTTTCAGTGAATTGATTATAAAAAATTTATTCAAATATTTAACATATTTTTATGCATAATTTTGGACAAAAAATTATCTATATATAATATTAAAACTTAAACAGCAAATATCTGTAAACAGCAAAAATGTGACTTGCAAAACTTTAATGTTTGCTATAATATTTATATCATCATGAACCATGTTTTGTTGTAAAGTATGAAAAAAAAAATTACCTATCTTCTAGATTAAAAGACAATTTTTTAAAAAAAATTAACTCAGTATGTCGTGATTAGCACAAATAAACTTATATAAGTCAAAGACCATATTGAAAATCCAGTGCCAATATATAACAAAGAATCAAGTAGCACGTAAAGACTATGAAAGGTCATAATTTGAAACATATACTAATAATTTAAATTTTATAAATTATTAATTTTTGATTACTTATTGAAATATATATTATCTTTGCATAGGCAAATCAATTTAATAATATGTCCAGAGTATGTAGTCAATGTAATGTAATTACGTCCATCAACAGATTTTCTTGCATATTTTAGGATATCAAGGGTACATGTCTTATACGGTATAAAAAGTTATATGATGATTAAAAGGAGTACCCTACGTTAAGGTATATATATTTTGGGTAAAAACATGCTTTAATTCTTTCTTTCATCCCATGAGATGATCATCTCATGTTTTTATTTTCAGATGAAAAAACCTTCCGTATTGTAGGAAGTAAATTTGGCATTGTAAATCTTACCTATAAGTTTTTCACTAAGACTCTATATCTCATCCAATTGATGCCATGTTTCTTTTCTTCATGCGTCATCTTCCTGATTTGGATCTGGAAGCTCTTGGGTATTGGGGCGATATTATGGTTTATGGGAATTAAGAGTCACCTCGTTTCCTTTAGCTAGATGTGAAGCTTTATCACCAAATACTTTTGAAGTCATGGATGTTCTTGCCCATGCGATACTGTGCCCCATCAACTTTACCAAGTTAGTTGGGTCCATATGGCTCTTATATTGTGCTCTCAGTTCTGCATCAGTGATTGATCCAGAGCATTTATCAGAGTTCGAACGTGAACATTAACCTTCGAAGTCTTCACTATAAGATGCAAAGGAAGATATGAGCTTTCAACAGGTGAGAATCTCCATATACTGGCTGGAGTCACATGCATCACTAAGTAATGCACACCATGAAACTATACATTATTGTCCGTAATACAAGGCGATTGTATACTTATGGTAGCACGGGCGCTACAAACATCACTCATGGATACACATCAGCAAACTATATTAGGGTAAATATACATATATTTATATATTGTAAAAAAAATTGTAAGTTTTATTAGAATGTGTATTGATTATTCCTTCCAAAAGGAGTTATAATTAACTTAAATATGTGTACTCTATTTATAGGTAGAGACTAGTTATCACTCAGTTGGATAAATTATCCTTCATTACTATTCATATTATGATATTATGTGTTTTCTTGAACTAACTTATTACTTTACTTTTGTGCTTTTCCCTATGAGAGCTAAATTTTATTCACATCTAAAATCATGTTCCGCAACGATCTATTATATACTATTTTTGTTTGTTGGCACATTTATCACAATCATGAGCTTCCTATGGCTATAATCTGGCGATTTGGCGTCCAGGGTGTTCACACGAGAGTGTGGGCCATGTTTAGATAACTCCAAGATAAATTTGAAAAATTCTTTCGGAGGTATGATATCTCTACGCACAATGTAACTTATTTCATTGATCGTGAAACTGGTCATACGAGGTTTCGAGACCTTCACTAAATGCATAAAATACATTCTACATGTCTACAAAGATAAGGTTACAATTGCCCAGAACTGATGTATAATTTAACGATACATTTGCAGGTGACACTAGAGGCAAAGACATTACTCGTTTGGGAAATTAGTCATCTCCTTTTACTTGGGACCTTAAAAGGGGCTTTTATATTGAGGATCCCTTGTACTCCTGCAGATGGGCTCTCGTCTAGCGATTTACTTGCACCGAACAAAAAGGGACCAACTCTATAACAAATACCATGGAAGACCCATCAAACCGAGCTAGATCAGAAATATATATTACATATTCCATAATATCATAATTATTTGAATTAAGCCAACTACATATACATTCGTGGTGTTGAAAGAAGGAAAAAAATTCTAAATCGTTCCCAGTGACGAATTATGTTGTAGCCGAGCGAAATTGTTCGAGGGGCCGAAATAGTGGGGAAGCTGGTGGGAGGAGGCAAGTGCGATGGGACAAGTTTAGGGTGGAATCTTTCCCGTGTTCTTCTGATGAGTCGGCCTTTTTGCAGCTACGAGGGTTCCATGTCGATGTGACAGTCTTCGTCCAGGCGAATTGTGAATGCACCGACGAGAATTGAGCTGACAGCAGCAGCCACGAGTGACCTGAATCTGGTAGATCGGAATTGTGAGGCGCAAGACTCGAGGAATTTCGAACAATGTCGGGGGCAGGAGGGAAGCTGATCATGGGAATGAATGAGGTGAAGGTGAAGAATTTCGTTGTCGCAGGGGGCCTCTCTGCGTTCGTGGCTACCGTGTATGTGTACACGATGAAGGCCGTCGGCGGAACTGATGAATTGCAGGCTGCGGTCGAGACTTTTGAGAGAGAGAAGGCCACCAAGGCTCAAGCTCCAACCTCTACTTGATTTCTCGTCATGTCAGGATAGCATTGATCCCCCTGGTACGCTATTTGGTCATCAATGAGAATTTTCTGTTTTTGGTAACTTGACCGAACGAAGCTCGTGTTTTTTAGAGTACGATTTTTTATGTTCATGGCGAATGCGATGGAATATGCTTCTGACTGTCCAAGTATGCGAATCAACCCAAAGCCGTGACCTCGAATCATGTCAGACTCCAGTCTTGGTCAAGGAAGAGTTTATGAATTTTTCATTTTCTTTTTATGCATCCAAGACAGGGCTTTCATCTCACTTGCGCCAGACAGAATCACCCGTTTTAGAGGCGTTCTATAATTTGTAGATAACTCGATTGATCGAAATTGGGTTTCGCGGAGGAAGGTTAGATTGCGGTAATGCATGTTGAGTCGTCTGATTACTTCTACCGGAAAGCATTCGACTCGTGACATTCTTTTCCGGTTAGAAATTTCTTTTCGAACGTCTGTGAACATTTCATCTCATACGAGATGAATGTTCACATAATGTGTATAGAGATTCTTATGACGACTGTCGTGTCGTGGCGAGACACTCGCTAAGGACCACAGAGAGGTTGTCAATGGACATTCATTTCTGTCGAGATTTCCCTTAATTTTACTACAAACTTGATCATATTTTGTTTTCTAGGTGCATCATGCGTAGAGCTTATGCTCTTGCTTAAGCCTCCGGCGATACCATATTTCAGTAATTAGTCGCAGTCAGTTGTAAAATGTGTTCATGTTTCAAAACTGACACAGTTGGTGACTGCTCTTTGTAGTGGATTATACTTGGACTCGGAGACAGAAGGACAGTTGTTGACAGAACCGCTGAAAACGTGCATGTTAGCTTTCTCCACACAAGACACAAGACAGAATACGAAAGTGTTTGTTTGCTTGTAAGAACAGTTTCTGGAAGTCAAGCCATTTTGGAAGACTCATCCAGACTCGTCACTCACTGTGCCCTATCACCACATTATATTAAAGAGGACGGCGATAGGGAGCTACACATTTCTGATTAATGCCTGCGAAGTCTATTTGATCTATTTGATGTCAAAAATCGACAACTAGCGATTCTTGTTCTCTGAAGTTCACCTATCTTCCATTTTTCTCTTCACTAATAGTCCCACTCGCAAGCTTCTTGCTTTCTATTTTGTTGTTGCAACTGCCTGAAGATGTGAGATGTGGGAAGCGATGTTTTGCGTTTCCTTCAAGCTCGTCTCTCAAAAGCCACAGTTTCTCCATTTTCTTTTATTACGGTCCGGCATTTGCCACAATAACTGAAGAAAATATTTTGACCTTGTTCAGTGGTATCTTCTGATTTCAGGTCTCTTCTGTGTGGAAGAAGCAGGGGAAGGGTATGGGCCAGAAATCAACGTCTATCATTTATCAAAAACATCTCCAATCTTCCTTCAGGAGCACCTGTGCACAGACAGTTCGCACCAAATGTCACGAAGCACAAGAACTAAGTATTGTTCATATCGTGAAGGGGTGAGGAGTTGTGGAATCTAGCAATCGAGAAGCATATTGGATCAGACGCCTAAGGCCAGGGGAAGAGAATTGCAGCTGTGAACCAGACTGCAGTGTGTATAAATGTTGTAGTGCCAAGGGTGTTGTATATTCTCTATCGAGTAAATGGATCATGACCTGAACATCGGTCGTTTTATCATCCTACCGGTTGAATAGGATTGTTTGCCGTCTGGATAGTATCGTACATACATGTCAATCCAGCATGGAGCTTCAATGAGCAGCAATTGTGTCCATTTCGTCTATAGCACTGGCTTTGGACCTGCCACAGCTCGCAGAGTGATTATCTGTGGAAGTAGTTAACCATGCCGGAGTCATAAGTGGGGAGGAAGTGCATGAACATTTACAATTGGATTTAAGGCGTGATAGTGGCGTGCTACTATCTATGGAACCGCATTGCAAGCCTTTCCGTGGTGGCACATGCCGAGGGAGATGGAAACTTGTGCCTACACGCAAAGTCATGTATACATGGTGCTCTGATAAAGACGGCCCTGCATGACAACTTTCTCTGTACTGGTTACTGTTGCAACAGTGCGCCCAACGACAGTGCGATTTCTTCTCGAAGCTTATAGTTCATGGAATTTGTAATATTCTTACTTCATTGTCTTTGCTTGCCCCTGCCCCGTTTTCCTCTTGATGACTGAACGGGTTCTTTGATAGATACGTGTCTTGAGGGCAATTTTTTGTCCTGCAAGCATTCATCAACACGTTTGTCATGCTCAGAAATCTGAAGGGTCGAATCATCTTTGGACCCGTGATGTTTTGAAATTCCGTGCAAACCATCAGGTTTAGACACCTTTGAACGTCCACAAAATGTCACCTGCTACAATATCGATGAAAGTAAACTGCGCAGGTTAAGATCTGATTACTCGGATTTACAGAAGAAAGCTAATAGCTCGGATGAACCCCGCACGGTTTCGTAACTAGCCAGGGCAATTTCGAAAAATTACACGTGTCCTTGAGCTTCGCTCGAATGTAAGTGCCTACGATACTACGATGCTGCGAAGCTACAAACTACACTACAGAGAAGCGTGTGACACATGGAGCAAACCAGACGGTTAAAAAAGAAAGGCCTGCACAATGTCTCCAGAGGACCCTCTTTCCTCCAATATAATCCCTTCAACCTGTAGGAGCTACCCTGCCTGAATCCGGGCGTTGACCATTTGTACATATAGTTATTAAGGGCGTAAGGAGAACTAGGCCTGGCTCGAAACCTCAACAGGGGTCAAGGGTGCAGGTGCTGAAGATGGAGGGCCAGTATTATCCTCGACCGACTTCCTCCACGCGAACTCTCGAGCTCCATTTTCGTCTACAATCTTGATAACAAAATTTGGAGGAGCACCCATCAACCTTGTTTTGATTTCCAAAATGCACTTGTCAACCAGTTCCAGTGCGGCATCCAAGGACATGTTCTTCGAGTAGAACTTGTCCATCAGCGATAATATAAAATATGCACCTGCAAATAACGGAACAGAGGTAGTAAGACAAGTTACCAAGAAACTAAAGTCATTGAAACTAGAGTCATTGACGTAATTTTCACTTCTAGTGGTCGATAATTGATTGTGGCTGCAACGAGCACTAGGTCTAACCGTTTGTAACTTGGAAGATAGGGTCTCCTGGAGATTTCTAAAGGGAGGGTCTCTCGGCGTGCATATGATGCTATATGTCAGCTCGCAACGCATTGCGTTCACAGGGGTTACTACTTGTGTGCAACTAAGATCCTTGGGAAACAAAAGCATGGAGATAGCTTTCAGCATCCACACCAAACGCTAATGAAGTTTTCCTACTAGTCGCCAGGATTCATGCAAATGAGAAAAGTCTTCGAGTCCAAGCTTCAATTTGCTCCAGCAGCTTTGGTCACGTTAGGTCACTTGGTGTGAGTACCCAGGCGTGCGCAATCCTCCGATATAATTATCTACGACGAGAAAAAGTGCATGAAGTGGGATCATGCCGCTTAGCACTGATCAAACCAGGTAAACAATAGCCCCCAGATTCTCCTAACGTAATTGTCAGCAAGATTCCTCGCCATAAACTAAATCGAATATATAAAGGGCAACTCTCTGAGTTCTATTATCGCAATATGCCAAATCACATTTCCTCGCCACGAACTAAGTCCAGAATATATGGGGCACAATAAGTTATCCAATATTTCTCAGGCTTTCGAGCCCAGAAAAACCTTCAATATATCATTCAACGTAGACAACCTAGGCAATTTCCAATCTCGTGCAACATTATCAAGACCTACAATCGAAGCACGGAGACTTACCATAACCTAAGGCGCCAGTCTTGACCTTGTGCAGAGTTGCAATGTAATCCAAGTAATACAGAGAAGGGCCCTCCTCAGAATCGTAACCAGCAATCATCATGTTCACAAAGTAAGGGTTCTGTTGAAAAATAACGATAAGCTGTAATCAACTCTTCTGTAGACTTCAGATTGCGTTACACAAAAATTCCCAAGACCTGACTTCACCTACTCAACCACATCGAAGCAATGAAAAGCATTCAAAACTTCCACACACGCCTCATGCACATTCGGCCTTTGAAGCTGAAGTAAACGAAAAACTCGAAGTTAAGCATGATCTAACCTTCCGTAAAGCGTGCGCCAACTCGCCACACGTAAAGTTGGCAGCAGCCGAAGTTGAAAGAGGAATTCCATTGCGGAACTGGTATAAGAGAATGTTCTTTTGGATGAACTCCGAGAATTGAACCCTACAGAAAGGTACCAGGGTCAATAAGTTCAACTGACCAGAATATTCAACCAACATAACAAACGAGAGCTACATTCTTCCCGCTCATCCTGGGAACTAAGACGCTCAGTGGCAAGTGGATCGGGAAGCCTGAAAATAAATTGAAGGCTAGGATCAGTTGAGGAGACAATATGCTGCCAAAAGACACCCTAAGTCTCAGCTGGAAACATCCTATAACGCCAAGCACACAATCAAGGCCTCTAAAATACTCGTTTACATTTCTGAGACAACAAGGAAACGCGAGTGCACGCCCTTCGAATTTCTCCCACATGAAAATAAAAGTATCACTTTTTGCGAAAATCAGCAATCCTCTCCTCACTGGCGTCAAACAGGTCTTAGACATCCGTGCCCTAATTTACAACTCACATCACCTTTTTCTCCACACAAACCAACGCCAGCAAAAAAATTGTCAAAAAACTTCGAGAAATACAGACCTGTCGCCGTTTTCACCGATGGTAGCGAGAAGCTTGTGCGAATCGAGAAGCATGATCTTGTCCTCCTCGGTCTTCTGTACGACAATGCTCTGCACTTGAGAGGTGTCCGCCACCAGCAGCGCGAACTTGTCGCCTTGAATTCCAAACAGACACTCCATGGCTGTCAATCGATTCCCCGATCGCTCTCAAGCTAAGCCAAATTCGCTCGATCCTTCCTCACCCTCTGCTCTCCTTCTCCTGAGAATCTCTTCTGTTTCTTCCTTCTCGCATTCCGCACTCTGCAGCAAATGCGCTGCTTCTCGTGCCTGCCGTGACCGTAGGGCTAACAGGCTTCTGACCTTCACTTTAAAGTCATGCCCCATAGGCTCCCCACTAAACAAATAAACCAACAAATAACGATTCTTTCCAGTTTCTACTTTTAACCCCTCTCTACTTCGTGGAATGGGAATGCCTTCGCAACGGTATGTGGTTATGCTAAATGTTAGATTTCTTACTTTCTTTTACTCTACGTTTGGAGTCGTAATAATAATTTCAATGACCCGTGAACTCACAAGTTCTCATTCTTTGACTAGCGGGTATGAGGGTATTTTATTTACGATTTTAGATTTTGAACCCTTCAGATAATGGCTTCTATTGATCTGAAAACAACAATAACTCGTGAAATCTGCAACAATTCATGCGAGGAGATGTTTCAATTTTTTTATATATTCAGTTTACGCAGGAAGTTATACCAAATATATCAGACTAGGATCACATGTTGTAGAGCTTATACATTTATACATATTATCTACAATTTTTTTATTTTTTTATACATTCAGTATACGCAAAAAGTTATACCAAATTTATGAGACTAATATCACATGGTGTAGAGCTTATACATTTATACATTTTATCAACAATTTTTCTACGATGTAACTAAACATATGTTTAATGAAGAGATGAATCTAGATTCTAGGTGAAAAGCATAATCAATAGATCTAAAATCTCTAATTTTTTATTACACCGGGATCGCTAACATAAAATCAAGCACTAATATGATACCCAGTAATGATATCACATATGACACATAAATAGTATGGAAGGAAACATGAAGTTCTGCATGTAAGAATACAAATAAGTTTCCATTGTGATGCTCCGTTTTTATCTCACTGGTTTTAATCTATTAGTTGAAGATAGCAACACATCTAATGCTCAAGTATTACATGTATTATTGTAGATCCGTCCGTGCTTGTCAGGACATCACATTTATAAAACCGAAATGTTAAGGGTTAAAACTATGAACCATAATGCAAAAATGCACACGTTTAGCGTGGATGGATATGATGTTAAATATAGATACCAAATGAAACGCAACTTGAGTAGTGGTGTTTCTATTAGAATAGTGGCCGTAAGTGCACTTATTTTGCATGGACGCTTTGGAGGTTAAGAGTTGCGTATGATAGCGAGAATTTGACATACGGATGTCTAGATACAGTTAAACAGATAGTGAAACGTAGCTTCCAAGACAGGATAAACTGGGCCACATTGTCCGAACAACAAAACAAGTTTTTTGGATTTCTAAATTTGTTGTAAAGAATAGAACTTTGATACAAAAATTTGTTATGAAATAGAAAAATTTTGTAGAATGAAATATGTACATTTCATAGATGTCTTTACTGAAGGAGATCTAAATGATCTTTACATCACCTTGCTCGTTCCATCTTTACAGCATAGTAATTTTATGAAATTCTCATAATGTAAGCCATTGTTGATTGGCTTCATTGCCATAATTTGCATTGCTATTGTTACATTGTGACTCACAATTCACGAACTACATTGACATGTAAAAATAGTCAACCTAATATTATGATCCCTTGGATTATTTAATATCCAGAACAAATTTATTGAACAGGATCATAAATTTTGTGATAGACGAGTATTCATAATACTTGAATTGATAATTGCAAATCTCTAATTTCTAAGATGCCTTGTTTGATAAATATTAATAAATGCGATTGGAGTTTGTTATTTGAAATCAGATAAGCTACATTTGTGTCAGAAATATTTTTCCAGATATATCCATGTTATCGTTTTGTCAAATATAAAAGATGAATATAATCATACAAAATTGTGTAGAACATGGTGTGTGACCAAAATGGTAAAAAATTTGGAGTAAAAAATTTACGCGGCTAGAAGCCTCGTAAGAAGATGCTCTCTGTTCCAGAAAACCTCAGCTCTGTGAAACAAGAACACCCACTCGATAGAAGAGAACAATTACAGGGACAAGTTGAAATTGGCTCGACAGTGGATACCGGGGCTCTTGTAACGAGGGGCACGGCGCTCGATACTGAAATTGGCGGTAGAGCGTGTATCGATGGAGCAAGTAGAAATGCTTCTTGCGCAGGCGCGAGGATTGAGCCACGAGCATCTCAAGGCTTCAATCCATCGAGGGTTTTGTGAATTTTGGGGGGATTTTTCGATGGGAGGCTTGAGGTGAGGAGCGGATCTGACATGCTGAATTCGAAAGCAGTAATTTGATAAAGACTCCAGGCCGTGAGAGCCATGGCTGGGGATCCTGAGAAGCGATTTGAACGGGCGATGGGCCGCCTCTTTTCAACAACCAAGTCTTCGACTTCGCCACCCGCCCCCGCTGCCAGGTATCTGCCACTAATTCTTGCCTTGCATGTTCTCTGCACATTCTGAGGTTTTCATATTCCCTCGAAGTTGCGTCGACTAGTCTCAAATGTCGATTCGACAAGTGCTCATGCTTGGTAACGATCAATTCTCTGGATTAGAATGCTGATTCTAATAAGTCTGTTAAAGATTTCAGGGGCAGTGTCGTGGATTCTCCGAGACTCTGCCCTTGGCATTATTCTCATTTACAATCCTGAACCATTACCATCGTGTCAATTGACCTAGCTACTCTCCTTCTTGCATTCATGGAGATGAATCTAACTATGCCTTCGACGCCGTTGAAGAACCTGGTAGCGTCAATTTCATAGCTATAGTGCATTATAAGGGTCTCATTGGATCGTATATCTGCATTTGCAATCAAGTCAGGACAACGCGAACCATATCTGTGTGCGCAGAAGTGTAGATGGGTTTCTTCTTGGATCATCTTGAAGTTGTCTAGAATAGTCTCTTGGGTTTCAGTATGAAGGAAGACATTATTTGGGACTTTCAGAGCACTACGGGAACTGAATTGTTCTCTTCAAGGTCGTCATTTCGTCTGCAGGCACGGTGTACCTCATGAAAGATCGAATGATTTCAACATACAAAGGACATCTTCATGACCATTGGATTATGAGATAGATGTCCCAGTCGAGAGGAGACTTGAGAGAAGTTTGAGACAGTCAAGGTCCCTCATACAGGGGTTGTCTGTTTCAAACCATAATTGTGCTCTGTTTGAACGTTCTGCGCAGTTCAGCGGGAGCTTCTACCCCATCACGCATCAGCAACATGGCTAGTGTAGATCGACGGGGACAAACCAGGGCAGTCACACCTTTATCGACCCCGAGTTCACGACCTCCTCGAGCAGCCGTTAGCACCAGCACCCCAGGTCATGGTTCTGCACAGACATTTTGCCGACCTTGGGATCGGGGAGACCTTCTCAGACGTCTTGCAACCTTCAAGTCTATCACTTGGTTTGGCAAACCGCAGGTGCGTTCTCAATTTGGAGATGCGCATCGTTGATTATTGCTTGCTTCTTGCGTATATGTCAATCCTCTCCGAACTTTATGCCGTAATATCGTAGCGGAGTGGTTCACTTGGCAACTAAGCTCCCCCATTCGATAATGCCTTTGTGTTTGATGTTCCCAGGTGGCAGGTCCTGTAGCTTGCGCCAGAAGAGGTTGGGTGAATGTAGACATAGATCTTCTTGCGTGCGAGGGATGTGGTGCACGTCTAAGTTTTCCGGTGCCTCCCTCGTGGACGAGAACACAAGGTATAAATTTTTCCAGATGGGTCAACTAGTCGTTTTCTATCACGCACAATCTTTCTGAAATCTGTCAAATATGTGGAATCATGTATTGTCTGGAAATGGATGTAAAGTAGAGTATAATCCTTGAGTCGCACAAGTCGGGTCTACAGGAGTGTTGCAGTTTAGGATTTTGCATACTTAATGATCTCCTGTATTGCGGATCACTCAGGAGGGGTTTGACATCTTTAAGGGTCTCTTTTTGCTTTTAAGGTCATTGCATAATCTTGCACACATTATGACAAAACCTAGGATACAGTCACGAATCCACTCTCCGTTGGAATTGCTTCATCTTCTTATAGTTGCTTAGCATGGTCTTGTTGACAAAGTTCATGTCATTGGTGATGAGAAAATATAACATGACTATGATACCTCTGACATGATCCCGCTGTGTTTTTTTGGATGTACACGTAGTTGATAGTGCAGCAGAAGCATTCGGGGAGCAGCTGGAATCAGGACACAAAGCTTTGTGTGCTTGGAAGGGCAATGCTTGTTCAGAGAGTCTTGCTCTCTTTCCTCCTACTCCGCTTCCCGATCTTGTTGGAGGCTATAATGATCGCTGCGAGGCTATTTTACAACTTTCTGCACTTCCGGTCATCTCCAGTACCGCAGTCGATGTCCTCAAGGTTTCCAGAGGGTCACAGGTGGAGAACATACTTGCTCAGCCTCCTCCATTAGCTAGCGGGTTTCCGTATGAGAACGAAAGATACGTCTCTGGTGCCGAGTCTGGAGAGAAATCAGAAACTGGTTACAGTTACAACGGGTTCTATCAGGTATCTAGTTCACCTTGGGCTTTTAATCTATTTTTGTCACATGAATTGGAAAAATTACTTTCTTCTGGAGTGAAGGTCTAGTCAAGTACCGAAGGTTGTTGTTTATTTGAGCTGACAAACGTTTGAAATGGGATCTGGTGCAGGCACAGAGATTGATCGCTCTTTGTGGTTGGGAGCCTCGGCTCCTCCCTTACACAGTAGACTGTGAGGAGCGTACCGCGCCTTCGACAAGAACCTTCCGCTCAGTTGGTTTTTCTGATGAAATGAAAGCTCGAACGATCCGAGATCCGGGCCCTAGCGTGTTACTGGTATCCAGAGGGGAGAGAGTGGATGAGAAACAAGACACCGATGGCTTCAAAGCCAGCCCTGAGAAGAAATGCGACCCCGCTTCAGCTGTTCTGGACTGCAACCTGTGCGGAGCAAGTGTTGGATTGTGGGGATTCTCCACAATTCCTCGTCCTTCAGCAATCATGGGTTCTGTTTTGGCAGACATGCCAGTGACACCCAAAAGTTTCCCAAATACACCGATGTGCGGTGCGAGTGCAGCTAGTGGGATCCATGGAGGTAGTGGGCTACGTCATCGAGGGAAACAGCCTGCAGAACAGCAAGAGGAAGCTGGTGAGGCCACTACAACTCCTGTTCGTGTAAGACCCTCTTCTCGAGGAGTGCTGGACTTGAGTCTCACAATTGCTGGGGGTCCTCCACCCACCCAGCTAAGCTCTCCCGCCATGATACCTCCAACCTTTGGCCCCATTCCCGCGTTTCAGCCTAGATTCGGACAAGCGGAGGCCAGCGAAATGGGCGATTGGGTGGCATCGTATGAATCTCGAGGTCCACAGGTCCGGGATCATGGTGCTCATCAGGTTGGTAGCACAGTGGATACCTCAAATGGTAGACCATTACCAGCTGATAGTGCTGAAGGCACTGTTGTGGACCACAACATGGATGATGGTGAGGTAGGCAAGGGGGCTGATTCTCTTAAACGTAAGCGGAGAACAGATAGCTCTGCCGTAGATCAATTTTCACAGGGAGCTGCTGTTACGTCCGGAGCTGCCAATGCCAATGTAGAAGTAGAGCCCGAAGTTCAAGGTACTCTTCGTAAGAGGAACAAGAGAGCACAAGGTGCGCTTATGTTTGCAAGGCAGGATCCGCGAGATTTTCCTCGTTCCTCCTCGGTGAACGCGATAGACACTTATTATACCCAGAAGCAGGAAAACTCTATGGAGAGTGTAGAGAATCATCGTGAAGATAGTGATGGGCATGAAACAGCAGCGAGTGGTGAGACCCACGATCTAGTGGATCAAGTCGAAGGAACCGAGACAGTTGTGCAGGCTCAGCATAGTGGCTGTAGAGAAGCAGGGAGTGGAAGAAGTGTTCAACCTGTAGAACCAGGTCTCAGTAAGAGTGATGAAGTGGGGTGTGATGAAGGGGCTGAAACGAATGTAGCTGTTATCAGTACTGGAACAGGTACTGGTGGAGGAGCTAGTGTAGCGATGGGGGGTGGAAGCGTAGGGATGGAGGGCAGTCATGAGGCTGAACTACAGGGAGAAGTGAATGGTGCTGATTTCTCTGTGCATCGGACACACAGTGTTGCTGGTGAGGCAGAATTTGTGACTGAAGTGAATGAGAATCAGGGTTTGATGGGAGAGTTCGTTCCTGACCGAGGCTTGATGGGTGAATCTGTGGCAGAGGACGCAGAAAAGGCAGACCTCCGCGATGCACGTGGAGATAGTCACGAAGTTATGCTTGCAAGTGGACCCGGTAAACGACGATCGAAAGCAAAAGGTCCGACCGAAGGTGAATCTGGAGAGAGTAGAGGGAAGAGAATTTGTGTCGATGATCGGGACCAGACTGACGACGAAGGCACCGTGGACACTACGAAGGCTGTTATCTTTCATGGTGACAGTGCCCTGGAAAAAGAGGCTACAGATGGGCACATGGCAGCTGGAAATGCTGATGAAGACAATGGTTGCACTACGGTGAATGGACCAGGTATGCGTTGTAGAAAACTTATGCTGGATCCTGTAAGCATACTCGGTTCACGAATTTAAGTTGTGTTACAGAATTTATTATGTGTCTCATGATTTACTGTGCTTGAATTCCTCGCTTCTGGCGAATATCTCATAGTTCAGCTTCAAATTTTATTGTTATTTTCGGTCAGGTTGATCTTGCTCGGTTGCTCATGTTTGGTTCCTTGGACTAATCACTGTAGCAAGTCCGAGTCAGTGATTTTTTTTAATCATGTGGATATTCCGTGACCTTACATATGGTCGTTGTTATTGTCCTGCGCAGGACGAGGTTTGGAGGAAATGAGGATCTGGGAGACCGAGACTGGAGAATTCGATCCGATCAGGCAGCATCGTCATTTCTGCCCTTGGGTGAATGTACAGGTTGCTGCGGCGGCTAGTAGCAGTAGTTCTGCAGCGTGTGGCTGGCAGTTGACCGTGGATGCCATACACACGTCTCAACCTGGTGGTCTTGCGGAAACAGAGTCCACCGCTTCTATGTATAAAGTATGTATCGGGACTATTTTGGTCTTCTGAGCATTCTGCATTCTAAGACTTCATCTGTTTTGGCAGTTTGAGCTTTCACTGTATTCTTTGCCACGATACATCTTTTTCTACCGGACATCGAAAGATCGTTCGTTTCGCTGCTTCGAAACAATCGTGTGATAGTGCCTGGGATACTTCAGTCTATGGATTAGCCTGTGCTGCAGTTCTAGGTCGAAGAACGTTGTGATAATGAAGGGGCTGTGGTTGGTTATTCAGAGGGAATGAGTATTGTATGCAGGCAGATCCTTTGCTTTCCGTCCGCAAGATGCTGGGTACATCTCCCTCCAAGTTATCACCACCCAAGCAGCAAACAAGCCGTCTTGTGACATGATTAGCACTTGATAATGGAAGAAAGTCAAAAGTGGTACGCATGTGCTTTCAGGTACATTTTCTTAATCTCAGCTCTGTTTGTCTGCGATTGATCTAGTGGTTCCCACTATGTGGTCTTCCTTTGCTTATTTATCAGAGAAGATAGATCATGGTTCTTCTCTAGCGCAGTTAATGTGTAACTTTTAAAGTTGTGGCTTAAGGAGGAATTGTAATTTGACTAGATGGAGATTTTATCTGCTGACATCGAGCCCATCAGAATGATGTGCAATTAGGTGACGATGTCTATCGGGTTTAGTTGTGTTGTAGAAGTTATAATCCTTCTAAACATCATTTCCCGTGGAGAGTATTTAAGTACACATCATGCCGAGTCCGTCAGGATCGCAAAAGGCTTTCCTTTCATAGTAGATAGTGCTCATATTTTCTAGTTTCAAACCTTTAATGTGGTGTTTCTGTCTGTATTTTACAGATTGCTGCTCTGCAGGTGGCAGTATCTGAGTAGGTAATGTGCGTCTCGATCTACCTTTCATGATGATTATATCCAGATTGTAGCGATTTGCCGTCTCCAAACAGGAGTCTATTGTACTTTTTCAAATTATGTTGAATTGGCTTCTAAAATAAGTCATGAAAAGAGGCTGCCCATTATGCTTTCTATTCAAGAGAAGATTGTAGTGTACTAGGTTACGTGCATCTACTTGTAGAGAAGCAAGGCAATTTTGGTACTTAGTTCAGTACGATTTGGGTTCAGAAGGCCCAGGTCCATGTATACCTTTCATTTAGCTTCAACGCTTCTGTAAACAGATCACGAGATTCTGTAATGTATTGACGTTGTCCTAGTGACGTCGAGCATTTGAAGTTTCGTCCACTATGCCACTTCATCCTCGGTATTGTTTTGGTTTTGAGGCGTAATCCCACGAGTTGCTGTGTGATTGTTGGGTGGCATTCCACGTGGCTGATTCGTCAACGATCAGTGGAAGATCAGGCCTTGGTCTGTTTATTTGTGACCTGATTTTTGCCTCAAGCACTTTTAATTCGCCCCATAAGGCCAGTCGAAGATGCTTGTTATTATAGATTGAGCAAAGGAGTAGCAACAAGTGATAAATTGGTTATGCCTACGGTGTACGCCATGTTGCCATATTTACCTCATGGGTATATTGAACCAGATGAAAGATAGTAAGAAAGCGCTTAGAGTTTGAGTCTTGGAGTTCACTCTGTTCTGGCATAAAGAGAGGAAAGATCCTGGAAGAATCTACTCTAATTCGGATAGATGGATCGGGCTTGTTACGAGTACACGGAATTATGAACTGTGAGGAGGTATCCAAACTCAGATACACGTGTGATGTTAAGTGCAAAGTTTGGAACTACGCTTACACTACCAGGTGTAATCTCCATGACTGCACGTGCATATGGGAGGATGCCATTCATTCATCATACCTGCAATTATACAACACTGGAAAGACTGACATTGATTTCATGCACTATCGTCCGTCCCTAAGGTTACGATACTCATCGTTAGAAGACTCATGAGTAGTAAACTGCTTTGAGGGCCGATATTCCTTGAGTCAGATGTATGTTCCGTGACCAGTTAATAGTAGGAAAATGGGAAGAGGTTGACCAGTGCATGTAGCTATCGAAGCCACGGCAAGCTCCGAGTGGATAGATTCCATGAGCATTGTGGCCATCGCCAGTCTCTTAAAGGTTGTGATTCCAGGTGGTTCCGGGTCAAGACCGGCGCATTTCAAGATCCTGGTAGGAGTTCGGAATATTTGTTGCTAAGATATGACGTGTTAGTGACACGGCTGAATACCTTTTGTCATGTCATGATTTGTACTTTCGCTTTCTTGCCTTGAGCACCGTTAGCATTCGCGCTGCCTTGCATGCCCAGTCGCCAAATGCACACAAGGTTACACTACCGTTTCGATCTATGGTTTAGGCTTCTTCTCCACACAAGGCGATGAATCACCGTTTCGATCATCACCAATTTCAATATTAAAAGTCATTCCTTGCTTTTAGATATACATAACATCATTGTAGACGTGTAGAAGCTGACCTGAAATGATAGTAATCCACAATCCGAGAAGGGCCACGTGATTACACCATAGACTACGCCACGACCATATTCATTTCATTCACTTTGACCCTGAAGCACAAACCAGGGAAATTGAAGTTCTGAAAATGACGTGCGAAGAGTGCCGAAGGAAATCCAAATTTCATGGACGCTAAATGGAAAGTGAAGTGTTCTGTGAACTGTCGTCACGCGCAGAAAAGTCTACTCCATTTTCAGTAGAACTATTGGGATAGATATATAAACTGAGATACAATTATGTTCATCCATATCTTTCTTCTAGCAAGATACCTGTAACATCAGTACCTTGTGAAGGTTGTCACCATGTCATGGAGGAACTTCGATGAATATTTCACCTTGGACTAACCGTGTTTACTCCTATGTTATAGTTGAAATTGAGAGTTCCATTGATGTGGAACTTGGAGTTCAAGAGTCAAGTCTTATATCGTTTATTCGTTTTAAACACACTGCGGTTTTAACTTTAATTTCAATAGAACTGATGTTGCACTGATGTTGATGATGAAAATTTGGACTTTGCCAAGCTTACGAACCGACTGAAGGTCGGTTACTCATAAGAGGGACAACAGATAGAGAGCACATGTTCTCAGTAATCAGCTTGACGGTAGGTAGCTTACCCTCGCCGTGGTGTATTTTCTGGTCTTGAACTGAGGTGAGGATGCTAGAAGCCTTTTCCCACTGAGCTATGTGGTGTACTCGGCCATGCAGGAGAGAGAGAGAGAGAGAGAGAGAGAGAGAGAGAGAGAGAGTCAGGGCTTGGAACGCTTGTTCGTCAGATTCTCTCCGCAGCATAGGTGTGAAGACTGACACGAGCGCAATATCTGTTCTAGATTCACTCTGTGATAGCCATGCATTATAGCTAAGGTGGTCACGGTTGCTGGATAAAGAATGTGTACCATAGCATTCCAGTGGTGACGGAGTCAAAAGAAAATTCGATATGTAGATCAACGAACATTGCTTGGATCTAGTTCCAGGAGTGTGGTCACAGCATCCTCGGTTGATCTGATCGCCACTTAGTCCAGCCGAGCCGAACTCATCTGCAGCTCAAGCAGTAATCTTCTGGTCCAGGTCTCTGGAGTCTTGCCCATGCTCTGTCAGCTGCCACGCGTGGCAGACTCTATTTCCTGGTTTGTTTGCGTCGTGGTGTTTCCTCGTCTTGTCTGCCGCCTTTCTGCTCCTCTAGCAGCAGGGTTGTGCTGGAGCTAGTGTTGTCCGTGCAATGAATTCTCCGGGTGATGCGTTTGTCTGCTTCGGATCTTCCTTGCCATCAAGCTTTGGATTGTACTCGGGATCTGGTTGCCTCCACCGCAGGACAATGCAGGGTGCTTCAGTGCCTGCAAAACCGCAAAAAAGAAACATGGAGCAGAAAAGAAGCGGAAAAAGAAGAAAAAGATCTGGAAAAAGAGGAAGAAAAAGCGTCACATATTCTTCTTTCCGGGTGCACGAGAAGAGCATACTGCATCATCTCTTTTCCACAGAAGGTCTTCCCTTCCCCTGAGCCTCCCCCACAATGGTCTAACCAACGCATTGTTGTTGTCAGCCTTACGTCAATCGATGGAGCTCACGTGTCACACATGTACAAAATAACAGAATAGATTCGTAGCAGAGCACTAAGAGCAGCTCACACCATCCACATGTCACTCGTATGGGGCTCCATAAACCACCTTCTCTATCGTTCGATGGTGCTAGATTAGGTACATGTCGATCTCTGCGTGGAACGGCTTCTATACCGGTAACTCCAGTCTCTCCAGCCTCAGCATTGCTCTCGCTCTAGGCATGCATGCATGCTCCTCGGCTTTGCGGGGTACATTAAATTGCCCCATCGTGCAGCAATTGAGAGAAACTGCCTCACAGTCCCCAAGCCATTTCTGAGCACACATAGATCTAGGGAGGGAGGGAGAGAGAAAGAGAGGGAGAGAAAGAGGAGGCTGAAGGAGCGGGAAGGAGAAGAAGAGTACTCACTATCGCGATGTCCTTCTTCTTTCATCTCAGCCCATGAGCTGACGGAAAAGAGGAGTCTTCTTTCCCAGAGCGAATGTTAGTGCCATTATAACAGGAGCCTTTGACGAAGTGAGTAGTACCAGCTGTAGGCTGCAGATCGATAGATACACGAGGAAAACCCAATAAATTATGTTTTCAGTGAGTAAAGTACTGGGATTTCTCGTGGTTGAGCTCAGACGATGAGCTTCCGCGACATAGAGTAGAATATGACCAGGACCATGTTTCTGGTGTCAAACTCCTCCCGGAAGCTGATGACTTGCACTCTACGTGAGGAGGGAAGTGTCTATTAACGTCAAGGCACTCTGCCAAATGCGTTTCCTTGCCTTTCCTTGAAGCCGTAGCAGGGATGTGGTACAAGCCTATCTTCATACTGCTCGGGAGAGGCAGATGTTCAGGATGTGGAGAGGATGTGGACTGAGCTGGGGAGGGAGGGAGGGAGTGAGCGAGCGGGAGAGAGCATTGAGCAGGCAAGTTGCTCGGAAGACGCTGCACTGACAAGAACGCAGGATAAGGTTGAAAGAGGCCACGGACTCATGAGGCACCATCCTCTGAGTTCTTGACAGTACAGCATCTAACAAGCAACAACGACAGAGGAGCTGAATCGCTTCGATTTTCATTCTCATCACCTGCTGTTCGAATTCATTCATGGCTCTGTCGCATCTGCTTGTGGAGACCATGTCCACGACAGGAATTCACGCCCTTACGGTACCACGAGGCACAAGGAACCAGTCGCCCCTTCTTTTTCATCCGTATCATGATTCCTTCGTTTTGTTGTCGATTTGTGCTCAGAATTGTGGAACAGGGCCTATGACTCGAGCATGCTTTTGTGTTGATCAGAATGCGTTTGGACTGAGGCCACTTTCTCTTCGCATGGACTTGTATTGAACATTGACTCCCGGATGCTTGGAACATTGATCTGTAACCGAATTGTTATCCTGCAGGTTCGATTGAAGACGTGTCTATCGTCCTTTCGTTTTCATAGACCCAGCAGCAATGAATTGCAATGGATAGCCTGCTTTGACGATAATTAGGAACTAACTCGGGTCATTATGATTGGGTCAAATGCACTCACGTAAATAGAGGCTAGTTTTTTTCTATTATGTTTATAAATACATAAGTTCACGCTATTGACATCCGGTTCTATGGTCTAGCGGTTATGACACTGGACTCTGAATCCAGTAGCCCGAGTTCAATTCTCGGTAGAACCTCGTGCTGCGCTACTATCACAATTTTGTGATAGGGTATGCCAGTGCAACGGACTATAAGTTTCAGGGAGAACTGCCGAATGAAATTTTTTTCCTCCAGTACAGTACTACATTGTTTGATCGAGCTGTTATGACACTGGATTCTGAATCCAGTAGTCCAAATTCAGTACTCGATAAAAAGTTGAAATATGCTGATACTAAAAATGTTGCTTAGCAAGTGTGAATGCCTGCAGTAATTCCTTTCTGGAGAATTACGCTGGCAGAACTTTTTCGTGCGGTACGATAAATAATAGTATTTATATAAAATAAAATTCTTCCTTGGGATCCATCGAGGGCATTTGGTCTAGTGGTATGATTCTTGCTTAGGGTGCAAGAGGTCCCGAGTTCAATTCTCGGAATGCCCCGTGCAGAATTTTGCCCTCTGTGAGGGTTCATCCATTGCCGAGCTGAAATGTCTGTTTTGTTGCATTCTGATTCCTCATTTATGACTATGATAGATTTCTCTCTTTTCCTTATTTCTTAACCCGATTACCATTCTTTGCAGTTGTGCTTCCCATTACGTCCTTCGATTGCTGTCTTCACTGGCTTCAGTTCGTTGATTGCTGATATTTCCAGTCTGAACAACAGATTCAACGATTTGAATCATACATTGACGATAAACAACGCTGTTTGTCATGTATGATGACATGTAACACTATTATTTACCAATCGATCAGATTGGAAGAATGTGATCATTGATGAAAACTATTATTCACCCCAGTTTCTGGGCAGGTTATCAACCTCGAGAAGGAGCTTTGTTTACATCATAATTCCACGGCAGTGTGCGCCATGAATATATAGCGAGAATGTGACTTTTCCAATTAATCTTGCAATATAATATCAAAATTTATAACTCTGCCATAATTGTATTCACTTGTAATTACTGTAACGGTATATCGAACATATTTTCACCTATTATTGACGCTTTTAATATTTATCATATAAAAATTTAATATTGATGTATAGATTTTTTTTGAATTTACATTTAGTAAACAATGAAAATTGTGCAAATATGAAATTTTTTGATTTTTATGTACATTTGTAAACAAAATGTCATAGCAAAAACACGCTAAAATTTGTTAATGTTTCAAAAAAACATTCAACACAAACTATAGAAGAAAATACGAAAAATAAACCTATTTTTCAATTAGTAGAAGGAATATTCAATTGATTAGTTCAACAACATATATACCTTGAAAGGGTTTTAAGAGGACAGCAACATCTCGGCATGTTGATAAAATCTGTTCTACACGAATTAATTTACTCTTTCTCTACTTACGTTATCTAGATATTTGACCTGAGTTCTTAGACCAGTATTTTTGTACACTTAAGCACCTGTCATCAACAGAACAAACATTGAATTGTATTTTGAAAATCATAATTTATATATATATATATATATATATATAAAAGATTTATTTTCAATGAACCATACTATAGTAATTATTTTCATTGCATCAGATGTAAGAGATTCTGCACTTCTGAGTTTAGTGTCTTCAGATTTATTCATCTCAAGCCTGCAATGAGTTCATTCTACTATGACGTAAGAGAATTGATCATGAATGAGAAATGAGCAAATAGTACACAAATGAATACAATCAGAGGCAGCGATAGAACCTAAGACAGTTTGAAAATTATGTAAAAATGGGAATACCAATATGATATATGTACAATACTGATAAATATTATCTCCCCTTACAGAAGGGCAAACAAAGTAAAACAAAGTAAATTGAGATTCACTTTGTTGATTTGCAACATATATGGCTTGCGTTGTCTACCATCATATAACTTTTCTACCTTTTATCAGTTCCTCAATTTGATAATCATTACCAGTTAAGAGTTTGAAATAAATATGCTTGATAAAATTGGTTTTTACGTGATTGATTTGAGCTAGGATAAAATGAATACATTTAAACATGTAAATGTATTAATTTTTATCATTTTTTATTCATTTTATCATCATCACAAAATTAATTTTTTTTTCGTAAAGTTTATTATTGGTGTAAAGAAATATCTAAAAATTAAAGGGGTTTTAAAGATAATAGTCTAAATAAAGGAATTTTTTTTTAAAGATTCATTCATATCTTAATACATTTCTTAAAAAAATTTCAATCTTTTATATTTAAGATTTTTCAATCCTCAAAGTATAATATGAAATTTAAAAAAACATAACATCTTGTGTAATTAATGAATTAATGTATATAATTTATCTAATTTTTTAAAAATTATTCATATTGAATGAGTAAAAAATATGAAACTATGAAATATTACTTTTGAATATTTTTTATGGAAAAATTTAATTCTCTGATTGGATAATATAATACAACATAAGATAAGTAAAAAACTCAAAAATGATGTAAGTAAGCTTTGAACTATCTCCTTGTTGTTAAAGATTCTCACTAATTATGTATTTGTAGATTAAAGTTGAGTATTGTTAAATTCAACTTCTAGTTGTTATATTCTTTGTCATGGCAACAAGACTGTTTAATATAAATGTTGATGCCTTGCAAAACTCCATTTTGCATCTCTATGTTCAAATCAAGATAAATTCCAAGGACAGATTTAGCTGTCTCCAGCAATACTATTACTGCACCAGACACAGTACTTTCTGACAATACACCACGCAAGCGACTCCAGGAACATCTCATAACAGTTTTAACAAATGTTTCAAAGTGTTCAAACATTTGCACATAGCGAAGCCTATGCAATCTCTAAGTAACGCACATATTGGAAAAAAAAGAATTGCTGTTATCAATGATGTAACCCATTAGCAGCAAGAGAGGCAGAACCTATACTCGACCGCGATGAGAAACAAATAATTAAATTTTCACATGTCTTGTTACCATGAGAACGGATGAATTTAACCTTAAAATCTGATAAACATTAGAATACATTGCTAGATTGATATCATTTATCAGAAAAATAACTATGTCAAATCTATCCATAATTTGATGATTTACTATTTGGAGTGTTTTTAGAAATGAACAAAGTGTACTTTTTTGAAGATGATTTTAATACTAATTTATCGATTAAATAATCTAGCTGCTTTTAACACACACAACATACAATATATCATGAGATGTTTGCTTGATGGGATCCCATCAAAACATAAATTACTTGATGGTACCCATCAAGTTTCAATTTTTCCAATGGGACCCTACCGATCAGTACACGTCATAGTAAAATTGGCTCCTTAAGAACGCACCGTTGTTTCAAGGATGAACTTGTCCGCAGAAAGCAATCTGGTGATGAAGATCTATTGGAGCAGAAATCGATGGTTTAACTAAAGAACTCACGATTACTAGAGGTGAAAGGTGTATTGCTAGTGACAGTGCCCTGTATCTCAAATCATTGTTTCGAGATCCAAAAATGATTTCTCCGATTCAGTGTGTTTGTGCAAATTGTTTTTGGGACGCGAGCACAATCCTTAATGTCAATAAGTTTAGATAAATTCGGTTGGGTTCGGAATCTTGCCGACGAGAGCATATCCAGTTTTGTTAAAACTCCAACGGCACGCCATAGCAAAAACACAAATTACAACGTATTCGTAGAACTCATTTGTACAAAAACATACCCGTACTAGAACACGTATTAAAATTCACCTACGGTACACTATAGATGAGTTTTAATACGCGTGGGGTACTATCGGGCAAATACCTCAATATATCATCAATGAAACTAGATTATAAACGTTTTGTAGTCAAGGTAAACCGTAGTAATCAAATCGATCAAGTGAGTTTTTTATAGCGCTGGCCTGCACTGGTACAGTATAAACTCGAGGAAGCAAAGATCAAAAGCAAGTTCAATATATCATCAATGAAACTAGATTATAAACGTTCTGTAGTCAAGGTAAACCGTAGTAATCAAATCGATTCAAGTGAGTTTTTTATAGCGCTGGCTGCACTGGTACAGAGTAAACTCGAGGAAGCAAAGATCAAAAGCTAGGAGGCAACCAGGATTGAACTGATGACCTATCGGACTGCAGCCGATTGCTCTACCACTGAGCTATACCTCCGCTTGTAATATACTTGTGAAAATATAGATTCATAAACCAAAATTCACTAATAGAATCTGTGCGATGCCATAGAATCTGTGCGGGGATGTTAGCGAGCATTGAGTTTGAATCCAGAAATTTGAACTCCGTCATTCGTGCTCGAAGGACGGAGCTCAAATTTTTTTATTTAAGGTGAGTTCAAATTCCCTAATTTTAAGCGAGACATGGACGGAGTTCAAATTTCGTGCATACATCGACGTCTCGTTTGAAAACAGGAAATTTTCTGAAACCAAAGGCCGCGGCGTGAACCACGAGGACCGTTCAAGATCGAAGAAGGTCTCGAATGTGGTCTTGACGCATTCGATCCTCCGGCTCTTCTTTTCATTTCGGCATCGACCTGCACAATTGCAGGTGTTTCTTTCTTGCGATTCAAGGTTTCGGATTCAGACTCGTCTGTGCATATGCGAGTACGGAGGGAGAGATCGGGAGGATGTGGAGCAGACGAATGGAGGAAAGCTCACGCTAGATAAGAGTTCGTGGAAGCGATCTGACCCTGAATTCGGGCCACAGGCGCAGGACTTCCATTTTGGAAGCGGTGAAATCGCTCGAGAGTGAGTGAGCACGATTCTCCGTCTCGTGCTTTGGCCGGATAGGCGCTGTCCGATGGGAACGGCTTGGCATTTGGGAGAATCTATGGGGCTTATTGCGTTCATCGGGTTCTCGCGCAAGATGCGCTCGATGGTTCTCCAATGACGGCAGCGGCGCTCGAATTTTCAGTCGCAGCCGCGGGAAGCAAGTGCAATATAAAATACCACAGCTTTCGGCAACATTTCGTAGAACAAAATTTGTGGAACAGGGCATTTACCTTGGCGATCGTCACCATCACGCAGGTGGTGGATCTCATTGTGAGCCTCTGCCTGCTGTGATCGGCGTTGAGGACTCGGCGACACTGGGCTGCTTCGAGTTATCCGGATGAAGAAGTACGGTCTACGCTTTCAGTCGATTTGGACATGGTTTGACCAAGAGAGATCTTCATTGACGCGTGAGTTTTTTGGGAGACGTATCATTTAGGGGGCGGCTAGGTGTCACTCACTTGGGGTTAATTAAACTTCACCATTCATCACTCATAGATTCATTGTGGTGAAAACTAAATTTCGCGAGTTTTCAATGTTTTTTGTCTTGGTCAAGTTTGACTCCATTCATATCTACTAGACCGTCAAATTCACATGTACTCAAAATAATTTTGATTCCCAAACGAGTTTTGTGAAGTAAGACACGAAACCTCATAAGTCTCCTTGATAGTATATCCAAGACTTGAGAACAAGTCAAGAGTATGCTCCACATCCGGCGCTGACCTTTTGAATCTGACTTGGCAGTGCCCTCCCCTTCAACCTGATCTCTTCCGAAGCGTAGTTACTCTCGGCGGGGAAATTCATTCTAATGAGACCGTCTCGGCTGCCAATCTTTTGATGTGGCTACTCGAACGTGGAGGTGGCAGAAAAAATTACAAGCATGAGGAAGATTTGAAACAATTGGAAATTCGCGAAATTTAGTTTTCACTATAACCCAAGTGACCAATAACGTGAGTGTTAATTAGCTTCAGGTGAGGGGTAACTAGCCGCCCCATCATTTAGTACAATCTCGCGAAATCGGTTCCTAGAGCTCGTCTAATGAATTGCCCTTCACACTGTACGATCTTGAATCACACCCCCTCACGATTTCACTGCCCTGGCGCAAGATAGCCATTTTGGTATGTGTTGTTCACGGAGTGTTTCCAGAAACGTGCTACTCGTAGCTCTCGTTCTCGGCTGGACAGAAATCAAGACACTCCGTGAATAGATAGATGTTCCGCTAACTGTCCACTACAGGCCGACATGGAGTAAGATGAAGACAGCCGATCAAACATAGGATGAACGGATTGCATCTGCAGGAAGCATCCTCCACCGACCCATTTTTGTGAGAAGCCAGATGAACTTCCAAGAATTAGCATGACTTCATGACGGAAAGAAGAGCCGACTCACATAAAAATAACTGCTTCCACTGAATTTTATATATATCCTAGGTCAACTCCTACTGTATACTGGAGACGAGGACTGCTTCACTGCCCAAGCTATTCAGAGCCTTTGTACCTCCTTTTCTGCAAATGGAATGCTTTTGACAACTTGAACAACCCCTTCGGCCTCCCTTTCCTTTCTATGTTTGTTTTGTTCCCTGTCGGGCTCGATGGGCCCTTCCCCTCGTTTTTGTTATCCATTTGGAGCCCCTTTCCCTTCGATCGCCATGACGTATTGCCGTGGACTTGACTGAGCTGTACAGACACAAACTCTTTTTCTTCTATTTTCCATTCCTCGTGCGGAGATGCGGCGTGATCCAAGTTGAGTCCTGAGGTCTGGATAGCATGTTCCGCACTCGCACTCGGTGGAAGGTGCTCCGCATGAAAGACAGGTGCTCAACTCCTCAGTTCCGCGCATAAGAATGATGATGTGATTTTCCCTTCATCTCCTCCCCTGACGCTTGGAGAAACCGAGTACCCGGTACTGAGAGATGACACTGATAGCCTGACCCTGGGTCATATGAACAACTCCTGTGCTCTCGTCGTTTCTTCTTCTTTAAAATCAGCAGCAGCTGACGTGGAAAGGAAAATAGTCGAGGCACGCAGATTAGAGATTCGAACTTTACATTGAGAGCGCTTTTAGTTTGCAACGAGTCAGTGGAAGACTCGTGGCAAACCATTATTGATTTTTTTAATTTTTTTCCCCTTGTTTTCTGCTGCTTGTTTAGTGGAGCGTCGATTCTCTATAAAGTGAACGCATTACTGAACGCGTGGTGAAAGTAACCTGGCCCTAGCCGGTAGGAGAAAAGGGTTTTGTACTGTTGTACCGTGAGTGTGTAAACCCCAATTGTACACTTCCTCGAACTCCAGAGTCAACCAAACGTTATCTCGCACACTTTCCAGCCTGTTTCCCAGCGTGGACCTGTCTTTAGCAATGAGTGATATAGCAACAAACAGTTGAAGATCGGGTATCCCAAAGCATTCTAAGATACGGTATAGAGAGTGAGAGAGGACAATGACAGAATAACGAGATTATATCTTCACATATTGCAGGTCTTTATTTGCAATGGAGAGTACACGTAATCTCCATTGCAAATAAATAAATAAGGAGAATAAACACACTCTATTTCGGAATAAAAAAGGTTCCGAATTCCGAATTGAATCAATTAAAGATTCTAAAATTATAAAAAATAGTTCTTAACTATGAAGAATTTTCATTATCTGCTATGGAAAATTGTACTACGTCTCTCCTAAAAGTGTTCCTATATAGTTTTTGACCTATTATTTATCCAACATCACAATCTGCGGCTAGTAGCAAGAGGTTAGCGGCTAACCTGATGCTACTAGTTTGGTTTCATCCCCGTTAAAATACATGGGTCCAGTCCATTTTACTGTGTTTGTTGCTAACTGGAAAGTCAAAAGGAAAGGAAGACCCTTTCAAGCGTTCTAAGGATGAAACGGGCAATACAGTGGTGTCACAATTATAGCTCAGAACGGGAAGAGTGGAACTAAGCGACTCCTTTGTTACTGCTGAGCTTAGAAGAACCTGCAGTATTCCACAAATTCCGAGAATAATTGTCGTAAAGGAAATCAGTATGAAGGTGGGCGGGGGAGCGATTTCGAAGGCAAGACCCCGTCAAGCCGTACAAGTATGAAACCAAAACGATAACGGAGGAATTCTCTTAGAGAAAGTCCACTTCTGGAATCTCGGGACGCAAGAGATTGATGGACGACAGGGGGATCACATTCGGAGAACGAGGGCCGTAGATGAACACATCGGGTATGAGCATTGGTCAACTCCACTAAGGCGTGGACTTAGTGGATAATTGGCAGACGTCCCAGCTTCGAGCCTAGCCACGTCATCACGTCGGTTTGAACCGTTCTCGGAGATGGCTCGGCTCGGGCGGGCCTGTACCCAGCACGACGGGGAACGCGACGTCGTGGACGACAGTCGCGGTGGAGGACATGGATCGTCGATCAATGAAGCAGAGCTCAGAGGGAGGGAGGGAGGGAAGGGAGTAAGGAAAGGATGGCGAGGAGGACGCATGATTGACTGACTGACGAGCGCATCAATCGAACCCGCGAGCTCGGCGGCACGGAGAGGGGATTCTCTGCGGGTGCATCATGGTTTCCTCCCGACGCTCGTCGGACGCCCTTGCCTCCCCAACAGACGCAGAATAGTGAGAGGCCGTCTCCTGCTCAGCGACTTCGGGGTTGAATCTCGAAGCACGGGTCTCTTGATATCTCCGATACTTGTGCCTCTCTCACTCCTGTTTCTGTTGTCCCGGCGAGAATGTAGCTTCCCCTCCGCCGATTCGTAATTGGGGGAGTATCTTCACGACAGGGACACTCTGAGACCTTCTGCACTCGAGCTGGGCGAGGAGCAAATCCTGTCTGTGCCCCGTACAGAAAGATCACAAAAAGGACATTTCGTAAGCATCCGAATTGTCCCAGGGATCATCGCTTCAGAATCGAGCGGCTCCGAATCTCCTCCGAATCAGCTGCTCCTGGAGAGAGAGAGAGAGAGAGAGAGGGAGTAGACGGATATTGGATGTTCCAAAGTGCAAGCGGGTACAGGTTTCAGTTGAAGCCCAAATTGATTTCGCTGCAGTCTCCTCTCGCTTGTTGCAGCACCGAAGATGGGCAGGCTCAGCACCAACAATCAAAGGGAGTAACTGCATGGACAGTAGCGATGGTGGTAGTGGTAGTAGCGGCAGTAGTAGCAGCAGCAGAATTGGCAGTAGCGAGCGGTGCTCAGCTCAGCTTAGACAGGGACGGTCGAGTGATAGGGAATTCTGCAAATGGATGTCTGAACAGGTGCAGAAATCAGGCCTGGTGAGGGACTCGCGAGACAGGTCCGTAGTGGTAGAAGGAATCCAGCGCTCGCGTTTGGACGGTGCACACTTGCATGAAGCGGAGGTTGCACAAACAGATGCACCTCACGTCAGACTCAGGATTCTGGACAGGAAGCGTTGAGGATCCCGGGGACTAGTAGTAGTAGTAGTAGTACCAATCACCAAGCACCAAGCTGGGCCTTGAAATCCGAATTCCCCAAGCAGTCGAGAATTCTATCAGAGAACACAAGTCACAAAGCACACTATTGTGAATCAATCAAGGGCTTTACAGCATGTCCGGAGGACGAGCTGGATCTGGGATTTTGGCTCTGACAGTAGCGCTGTCATTGCTCTGCTCTCTGGACTTGTCATGCGCACAAGAGCCAGGTACGTCGAAGCTGCCGAAGCGTTCAACTTCCATGCTATGTGATTATGAATCTGAATAAATTGACTAATTTTATTGATTTGGTAACGAGATTATGGGAAAATGGTGGGGACCAACTGTATATATTTTGCAGGCATTTTCTCGCTTTCACTTACTCTCATTTGGTCCAGTCCAGGCCACGGGACAGAGGATGCCACCGTCCACGCTCTCGAATAGTATGTCGTTCAGACGATAGAGATATGACATGAATTATGATTCATGATGACGGGTCTCTGAGCACTCCGGGTGAGGAAATGTCGGGCGGGTCGAAGGTTTTGAGCCAGTCCAGTTAGCTCATGCTGCTCTGTGCTGATTAGAAGGCTAAATCAGGAACCGACCAGTTTGGAGAGCCTCGAGGAAAAGGATGGTCGGAGGCTGAGGTGTCGTCGTGTCGGAAGTGGCGAAATAAAACGCCCTGAAAGCTGATTGCACTTCTGAACCTTTGGATTCGTGCCCCGCAGGTTTCATCAGTATCGATTGCGGTGGGAGCAAAAATTACACCGATCTTGTGACGGGCATAAAGTGGGTCACGGACGACGGGTACATCGAGACGGGTACGAACGTGGATGTGACTACGAACTTGGCCAATACCGACAACCTCGAAGCTCTCAAAACCAGCAGATGCTTTCCTTCCACGGCCAGCGGCGCGAGGAAGAAGAATTGCTACACGCTTCCGGTCACTCCCGGCAGCAGCTACTTCGTGCGAGCTTTCGCCCTCCATGGCACGGGGCCCGCAAGCCGGAACATCATCGTGTACACCGCATCGATCGACTCCACGAGTTGGATCAAAGTCTCCATCTCCGCCAGCGACAGAAATTCGCCCTTGTCTGCAGAAGGGGTCTTCGTCGCCCAGAGCAACACGACTTCCATTTGCCTTCAGGACATCGGAGAAGGAACTCCATGCATTGCATCTCTGGAGTTGAGACCTCTCGGCAGTGCTTACAGAAACGAGCTGCAATCCAACATACTCGGACTGGTCAGACGGTGGAGTTGTGGCACTGAGTTGTCCTCGGTAAGCATAAGGTAAGCTCATTCTTCCTCGTGCGGGATGAGATATGACTCCTCGACTCCGTCGCACTCCGGACTGACGCCGTCAGTTCAGCGATGTGACCCAGAATCTGGGACTCATAATTGACACTGATGCGCAGATGCCAGAGTAGACGCCGCTGGCCTCGGCTTGTGGTCTGTTGAAAAGTGAATCTGCTCGTCGGTGGAATGAGAAGAGAAGCCAGTCAGTGCCTGCATATCTGGTCAGTCGAGAACCGAATCTGCTCGGGGCAATCATGGTCATAATCCGCAGAGATGCTCGAGCTGATCTGATGACTCGGCGGGTAAAAGTTTCTCCTTCTCTTTAGCACTCCGGGTCGGATTTTCAGAAAACGCTCACCCTGAAATCAGTTGTTCTTTTGCCCAGGTATCCTCTGGACGAGTTCGATCGAATCTGGCAGGGCACGCACACAGCCAGCATCTCGGTGCCGCGCATCAAAACCACGTTGCCTTTACCGGACAATGTGATGGCAGCTCTGAACGAGGACAGACCTCCGGTGTCCGTGATGCAAAATGCGATTGAAAACAATTACCTTCGGCTGCCGGCTGATACCGGTAAATATGCGCCTCAGACGGACAAGTTCCGGGTGAGGTTGTACGTGTGGGACTTCGTTCCGTACACCACGAACGCCACCTCGTTGCGGCAGTTCGAGTCACGTTACACAATGGGCTCGACGGAAGAGCTATTTACCTCATTAAGCTTTAATGCATCGAATACGGTGACCATCGATTCCACCAAAGTGACACTCGACACCACTTCCGAAATCACGATCTTCCACTTTAGGTCAACGAATCAGAGTCAACGTCCTGCTCTGATCAATGGATTCGAGGTGTTTGCTGACATACCTCTGCAGCCGTCCTCGTACCCGAACGACGGTGCGTTTGCTGCTCGTCTGGCTGGCGTCCGGATTCAGTTTGGGTGATGGTGAATTGAGGGCGTACTTCTTACCGCTTGAGTTTTTCGAATCGTTTTTTGATATCCTTATTCTGGGCTCTGAAGATATTTCTATGTAATGTTGCTCGCAGTCAGCGCTCTCGTGAAAGTCCAAAACGATTTTGGCCTGTCACCACTCTGGGCCGGGGATCCTTGTTTGCCCAACCCCTGGGACTGGATCAAATGCGGCACTGTCAACAGCGTCCTGCGAGTCATTTCAATGTAAGTAGTACGGGTGATGCGATGTTTGCATCAGTCGACGGTACGCCCTATGTCCAAGAGAATGCAATCTTTCGTCGAATGTTGGCTGGACATTACTGTCTGTCGTCTAGCTCGTGCACGATGCTGTCCTACTCTTGCTCGCAAGGCCGAGCTAGATTCTTCATCAAGGAGCTGAATTGATTTGACGGCTTGTTGATACATGAACAGAGACTTGACGAATGTCAAACTCAAGGGCGGAATATCGTCTAGCCTTTGGAATTTGACGGAGCTGGTCGATTTGTAAGTCAACAACCTTTACCTTTATTTTTACTTTTATATTTATATATATATATATATATATATATATATATATAATGAGAGAGAGAGAGAGAGAGAGAGTTATTCAATGCCGCCAATCAGCATAATGAGTCATGTCCTTCTTCTCAGGTGGCTTACCGGTAACGGCTTGCAAGGAACGATTCCCAGTGAATTAAGCTCCTTAAAGAAGCTTCGGACTTTGTAAGTAGCGATCTCTGTAGTGAATTGTACAGAATTTCTGCAAACTATGTTATGGTAGCAACGATAGACACATCAATTTTAAGCACTGTGTAATAATGTATAATCCATTTTCTGTCTATGACTGTGAATTGCAGGCATCTAAACAATAACAGCTTGACGGGCTCAGTACCTGCATCACTGGCAAATCTTCCCGTGCTCGTCGAACTGTGAGTCATCCCTGTCAGGCACCTGTTCTGATTCTGCCATCCGCTCTATGAGTAACTTCTGAGGACGGATCCCCAATATTCGACTCACTTATTTGTCTGCCAGACTTGGAGAATCTTTCCCTGATATCTGAAAGCCTGTGAGTTAATGCAGGTATATCAATGACAACGACTTAAGCGGAACAGTGCCGCCAGAACTTTTGAACATCAGCAGATTGCATATCAAGTAAGGCAACGAGTCTTTTCAGTCCTTTCCGCGCTCGTCGATTCTCATGTCATGCAGCCAAAAATTATTCACCTTGTCTGTACTTGCATGACAATCTCAGTGAGATCTGTAGAAGTGAACTGGAATGTCTCTCGGAAAATAGAGTTAGATGGATATCAGTGAAACACGGTGATGGACACAAAGTCCACCGGGGATTCGTCTTTTACAGACGGCTAGCACCAAGTCAATCGACTTGGTGCTAATCTCGATGTAATCTGGCAAACATTAGTGTTTCTTTCAAGTAAAGAGCATTCGGGTTGTAGGTGTAAAGAAACAGCTTTCTTCAACTGCCAAGTTGTTGCAAAAAAATGAAGGGCACTGAAATGCAATCCAACGTTTATCATGAGTTCTTGGGTTACTGGGTTTGTCGGTGAACCGAATGTCCTTGTGTTTAGATAACGTCATCTCGTAGTGGAAGGCCTATCTTCTCCCAAGACAAAAAATTTTACCAGACCTTGAAATGGTATCGATATGCTCTGGCTGCTATGTTCATTAGAAAATTAACGCATGACTGACTGTCACCTTCACCTTTCAATACGACACTCATTCTGAATCTCTTTTGTCTAGGTCTGATGGTAATCCCAAACTGCAGTGTGTTGGTGCCTGCGATACGAACAAAGGAGGTTCCAAAACGGGGCTTATCATCGGTGCAGTTTGTGGATCTCTAGTGATTTTCATAATCGCTATCTGCGCATGCATGTACTTCTATCTACGACCGGGGCCAAAGACTGACAACCACGCCGATCTCTTAGAAAAGAATGAACTTTCGTCAGTTGGTGAGTATCTGATGTTATGACATGATCAACAAGATGAAGTCCACATATCCTTCTTGATCACGTTGGAAAATGTCCGTAATTTTGATGCAGAGAAGGCACGTCAGACTCATCTTGTGCTTCAGGCAAATTCAATCTATGCGTGTAATGAATCTACTTGATATATAGAATATTGTCACAAAAGTGAAGGAATCTAAGTGCGTGTCGTTTCTCCAGCCCTGGTTCCTCCACACCCAAGCCACAGGGTTGCTGTAGAGCAAGGTTCAAGAACTTTCACCCTGGCGGAGATCAAAGCAGCTACGAAGGACTTTCATACCATGATTGCAGAAGGTGGCTTTGGTCCTGTATATTATGGTAAGCTGGCAGACGGACAGGAGGTTGCTGTGAAAGTCCACAAGGGTTCAGGCAGCCAAGGAGCTACGGAGTTCTTTATGGAGGTAAGTCAGAAAGCACGAAAACCAAGAAAGTAAGCGTGAAGTTTTTCGAAAAGAAGCTCGCTGAAAAGTACAACTCAGTGCAGCACATATTGTCGGCACCAGTTAACAAGTACTAGCAAGTCAAGAATTGTGGCGCATTTCAAAGTCGTTACTGCCGTTCATTTTTCAGAGTCAGACTACCCAATCTGTCAAAGTTTGATATTCAGATCGCGTTGTGGATTTGTGACAAATCTTTTGAGGCTAGGTCTAGGACGAGGTTTCGTCATGGTCAAAACAAACGTATCCTGACTCTGTTTTAATGCATGACAGGTGGACTTACTATCGAGAATTCATCATAGAAATCTCGTGTCCCTGGTCGGTCACTGCCAAGAGTCGCAGGAGCAAATCTTGGTATACGCTTACATGAAGAAGGGAACCGTACGCGATCATCTCTATGGTAATGGATGTCATCATTGAGCACCATACGAGTATTTAAAACTTTTTGGCCTTCTCGTAGTGATATGCTTCAGAAAGATATGACCTTAAGGTTGCTTGGCGGTGACGACGATCCTTTACGTGAAATTGATAGGTGGGGGAAGGCGGGGTAGTCTCGACTGGCGCACGAGACTGGAAATAGCTTCCGATTCGGCACGAGGTAAGCTCAAAACAGAAGTCCACCTACCTTGATGCATACTCACAGCAGGTTTATCTAGAGGCTACCGAGAATCAGTGCGTCAGTGTATTACACATGCTCAATCTCTTTCTGCGCCTGTTTTAGGAATCTTCATTGCATAGGGCAAACTGTCAATCGCTTATCATAACTTGAAACTCATAGACCCCGGGCCTTGTCTGAGAGTTGCTTCAAGTAGCAATCTGGGAAGAAGAACAAGAACTAAGATGAGCTGAAGGGGGTCTCTCGTACAGTAGGATGTGCATATGCGATACAAAATGAAACCCGATCGCTAAGAATACTTTGTCGAATGCTGTGGTACTTCACTGAACGAGGTTCTAACACCGGATAATTGTGCAGGGTTGGCGTACTTGCACACTGGTTGCCAACCGCCCATCATCCACCGGGATGTCAAGAGCAACAATATCCTATTGGATGATAAGATGAGAGCAAAAGTCGCTGATTTTGGAATCTCTAAGGTCCATGGGGATGACCAGACAGCAGTGGAGACTCGCATCAAGGGAACAATAGGCTATCTGGATCCAGAGTACGTTCGATTTGGCTGATCTTGATGTATCCTAATCTCCCTTAGCTAGATGCACACATTTCTTCGTTCAGCTTGATCCTTCGAACACCTGATGCCACGGAATGAATGTTTGAGTCGAAGTTGAGAAGGGCCCATCGATCTGAGAACACTAGGCTTGCTTCAAAGAGCCAACAGTTAGATCATGAGATCTTCTTCGAGTCCGTTTGTGACGGCTAAGTGCCTTGCTCATCCATCCAGGTACTTCTCAACGCAAAGGTTAACAGCGAAAAGCGACGTCTACAGTTTTGGTGTCGTGCTCTTAGAAATCGTCACCGGCCGGCCTCCAATTGAGAAAAATAGCCACCTGAAGGACATGGTAAGACCCCCAGGATTGTATTTTAGGCCCTGGTTCCGCTTTCCAGATATCTTCATCAAGCTCGACGAGCTTCAAGCATTGATGGGTATGGATGATATCATTTCCATCATCTCATGAACTGGACTAAGACCTGACCTGATTAATCACATCATTTGATGCAGGTCCAAGGGTGTTTACGGGACATTGATATGAAAGCTATAGCAGACCCAGCTCTGGAGGGAGATTATTACATCGAGGCTATGTGGAAAGTCGTTGAACTAGGTTTGCAATGCCTTGAAAATGATCCAAAAGACAGACCAGACATGATCGGTGTTTTAAGAGGACTCACGGAAGCTATGGAGCTTGAACGCGGGGCTCGTGCTTATCAGCAACCATCTAGCACAAGAATGAACGCTTCATCCAGCTCCTCTGCAGCCCCGGGAGGTCGGAAACCATCAGACCAACTACATTTCAACCTCTCCTTTCGTCCTCGTTCGTCTGAGCCTTCTGCGTCTACTTCGACAGACTTTGTAACTGGGCTGATCCCTCGATAAAATCACTGTGAAAATGAATTGGCAGTTTGAATTTCATCAGAGTATCACCGACAACGTTAGTGGCTACTTTCGCTCAGTCCTCGTTGGAAAGGTCCCTTAAGTGTGTCAAGTCAGGACGAGCATGCCTCGATTCCTTATCGATAATCTTAGTAAAGACCACGGGATAGGCTTACACACTTGACACACGTGAAACACTAAGTAGTCCGTATTTCAGTTTCGATCACAGAGTCAAACATCGCCTGCTCATTGTTTCACGTGTGTGAGATTTGTGACTCTATCCCGGGAAATTCAGAGAGGGCCCGTATACCCAGCACAAATTCCAGGTTCAGTGTTCTCCCGTCAGCATCTTTCAGCTGCGTAATGTTTGGGAATTTAAAACACTTTCCAGCTTCCAGTAGTCAATTATTACCTGTGTCGAGAAGAATATCGTTCTGATGATCCCAGTGAATGTGCAAGCAGAGAAAGTCGGTGATGCGCAAGATATTAAGAAGTGATCTGTTATGTACGTCGAAGAGCAAGGCTAGAGAGTCTGCTCTCACCCAGTTGGAGGCTGTTGTTCCTCAGTGAGGCCTCTCTTGGTTTTCAGTACGCAGCCAAACATCCAAACATCGTGTGAATACCGATCTGATCTGCAGCTATCATTCCAAAGTGCCAACGTCATGGTGACTGTAAGGGACGACAGCAAATCTCGTTCGTAACAGAGTCCAGGCGAGGTACTTTGTAACGGAAATACCCGCTTGGATTTGGGTGATGGATCAGACACGGATATGGTTCCATTCCCACATGTGCATCGAGGACAAAGATATGAAGAATGTTGAAGAGCATGTTATATTGAATTTTCCGAACACGTTCTAGTCACTTGTACATTTAATGAGACAAATATAATTAATCACATGGCACCAAGAAATACCCCTCCGAGTTGTCAATAGCTTCTTCATCATATGCTAGAATTTCTGGACCACCATGGAAATAGATGGCAGTGCACGTCAGATGTTAATGTATTTCTCAGTTTTGTTCTTTCTGTGTAAAACAAATTTTTCATCTAAGAGTTCAAATTTTCACAAAAGTATTTCAAAATTATCTCAATAAGAGCTTGTGTCCATCAAAAGTAGTGATCAATGATGAATTTTCATAAATTTTCCCACAAATATCCTTCAACTTTTGGTCGGTTTTACATCCATCATGTCAGAAAATGTATCACAACACCTAAATACATACGACTTTATAGTGTAAAAATCTAACAAATTCAGTCAAATTTATAAATTAAGATTTGTGCACCTTTAAAAAATTAGGAATTTCTTTTAAAGGTAAAAAAATATATTTAAATATAGATATAACTTCTATATCACAATTTGAAAAACCTAGGTCAGTACCCATGTTCAAGAAACTTACGTCAGTGCTTGACTTTTCATCAGGTCATTTATTTCCAAGGTTAAACTCAATACGTGAAATAGAAGATTGCTTTCCCTTCATGAATTGGGGTTTTTCCCCAACATAAATCAATTTCAGACTTAAGCACACTCTCACATACACACAATCAAGATTCTCCCAGTGATTGATATAATATATAGAAGTAATTTTTAGCAAATGTCTTTATATCATGCATTTTTTTTGTCTGTAGTTTTTAAACATTGAGATTGCAATACAAGTACACTCTTGATTTTTCAAGGTGACCAATCCACCAGCCCCTGGCATTAGAAACGTGTTTGTTTTTCAGCAATAGACCTTCTTTAACGATGCACCTTTTTATAATATTCAACAGAACAGCCAAAAACAATTCATCTGAACGGGAATGTCACATTTTGAATCCGTTAAGTATCGTGAGATGTCATTCCCGCTCTGTGAAAATTCTTAAATCTTGATATCATTTTATTTATCGGCTACGCAGTTGCCTCAGAATCCAAACCCCCCGCATATCAGCTTTCAGTTTAAATTGTCATGCATGCGACTGAACACCCTCCGTCATCCCTGATCACTCGCCTCCTTCCCCTGACGTCTGTAGACCAGACCAGGTGCATGAGATCGAATCGAAGTTGGCGATATGAGAAAAATCAGAAAGTTTATCCAATTGCATATGAACATGATCTCGAGCTCGAGCTCGAGCTCAACCTCAAACTCAACCACACCGGCGAGTGAAGAAGGAACTGCAATCAGGAAGTTGGCCTATGCAGCCGGTCCGGTCTGTGTGCTACATGCCTCGCCTCAAAGTAAAGCCTTGGGATCGCTCGGACTTGGGATTATTTTAGGCCGGGTTGACCTGATGTCAGCCGAGTTCGGTATGCCCAGACGCAGTCAGCCTGGCAGTCATGATCCCAGATGGCTCGAATCGTCCACACAGGTCTGTCTGTCTGTCGATTGTCCCCAATCCGTTATCCTATGGACTACTTACTAATCATGAACTTCATTGATGCCGAGCTCATGTCAGCACACGAGTCTCCAGTCATCCGGGACTGCACGACCCCAGTCGTGCCTCTTCGCTGGCTTGGACTGGCGCAACTTGAGAGCCAGCCAGCGACGGTCTTTATCATCGCAAGACCAGCCACCCAGATATGGGTGTATGTGTGTGTGTTTGAGAGAGAGAGAAAGAGAGAGAATGAGTAGTGGCCCCGTGAAGAAAAGATGAGATTTCTCACTGCTGGGAGATGACCACGATTCACTTACCGCTACAAAGTGGCACACTGTTCAGAGCTCGACCAGAGTGTAAATTATACAGAGCCTCCTCGCGCTCGGGGGAATTATGGCGTAATAACATGCATGCAAATCCAGCACGCGCAGCTTTAGTGGGGACGCCGTACGTGAGTGTCATCCCCTTCCGGGAGAGCTCGGCTCACAGTGCTTCGGCCAGTGGAGCCTTTTCCAGAAAAGCTTACAGGCTGTGGTAAAGAAAATTGCGCCGTACATGATTGGCTTCTGATCCAAATATATTCCGACTGCTCAGTGAACTTTCGAGGCCGAGGGGATTCGGAAGCGAGCGCTCGGAGTGAGTTCGTTCGTTCATGAGGCAGACGACGGACGCAATCATGAGCCATCGAGCGATAGGAATGTGAGCCCGGAGCACTACACCGGGTGCGGCAGTGCGACAGTGATCAGGTGCTGTTGCCCAACTGTACAGTGCTGTTGACGTCGAGCGTGCATTCGGACAAACTCCCATGAACACTGCAGGTTTACGTGGAGGCCGAAGGGTACAGCGCGACGTCGTTGTGGGACATATTAGTCTGATTCGTTTTCGAGCTATGTGTGCGGCGGATTGTGTCTGAATATTCTGATGTATTCTGAATTGGTGGCAGTGGCGACTTGCTGAACCCGATTTATGAGATCTCGACTGGCATGAGCTGCTGGAGCGAGAGAGCGAGGGAGAGCCAGGATGGGGCGGGGCGAGGAGGGGCGGGGTCAGCCCAGCCGATCTCACGTCACGTATTTCTCTTAAACAACTGAGACGGAGAGGGCTTCCAGTTGCATTCAGTGACCGCAGGCACCGGGAGCCCGGACGCGAGAGCATCGTGGAAGTATGTTGGCGCATAAAAAAAGGGTATATGAGCGAGGAGACATGTCCATGTTCGGTACACTACGTAAACAATGGGAGCTCTGAGTTTCGTCGAGCCTCTATTTGAGCTGGCAAAGGCGGGCAGAGTGTAGTCGCTCAGGAGCACGTGTGTTCAGCTCACCATGGCGCACTGGGGGATCACGAGGCCCACAGGCCAAGCCAGGCGAGGCTCCTGTCCAGTGCTCGAGCACTATTTCGACCAAAGGGCCGCATATGAGCTAGACCCTGTGAAAGGGCAATGAGCAATTGCAACAGTGAGCGATCGATCAGATCCCCACCACCACCACCACCACCTCACCTCCTCCTCCTCCTCACCTCCATCTCCGGCTCCTTCCTTCATCATCACCATCACCATTGCTGGAGCGAGCGAGGGAGCGAGCGAGCGAGCGACATCAGAGATCGCCTGTACGAGGTCCTTCATGAAGTACTTAATCGTGGACTATTCAGCGTCAAACCTTTTCCCAGTCGGCGTTGGTGTGGGAGACGTCAGTCGTAGCGCCTCCGGGTGCAGGTGCAGGCACAGGCTTCTGCTCTCGCCGGGCGGGGTCGTCGATCGATCTCGACGAACAGCGGGCACAAATCGGATCATTGTACAGACCACGCCTGGCCACGATAGTTTTAGCTTTAGGAGCAGCAGTAGCAGTAGGAATCGTCGTAGCAATTCGATCGGCAGCGGTAGTCGTAGAAGAAGGAGAAGCAGCAGCAGTAGCAGCGATCGAGAGAGAGTGCAGGCGCTGCCGAGTGCAGCGAGCGATGAGAAGCATCGTCGGCGCCTCATGGCCGCGGCGCAGCAGGAGCACAAGGAGGCCTTGATCTCGCAGAGCGAGCGGGATCGCTGGCCCGGGGCCGGACGACGACATGGATGAGACGGCCGCACCACGGCTAGTGGTGCAGGCCGGGAGCGACTGCGAGGCCGAGGCGGTGGTGGTGGGGGTGGCGTTCGCGGGGGGCGGCAAGGGCAAGGGCAGGGCCGAGCAGCAGCACGCGAGGTCGCCACAGGCCGAGTTCAAGTACGGGTGCGGGGTTCGGAGGCTGGTGCGCCGGCTTGGAAACTCCGGTAAATGGCTTGTGGACCAGTGCATTTGCTCGTGCTTGGTGCGCGATAAGTTGAGGGGCATAGTTTCTGAGCTGTTCGCTGACGACAACCCGGAAACGCAACTGCAGGGGGCGAAATCTCTGCTGAAGCTGTCGAACGCCGACGAGGATCAGGAGGACAAAATCGACCGCGTGCGCATCGCCGAGTACCCGCAGGCGCTGGCCGGCCTCGTGAGGATCCTGACGCTCAAGACCGAGAACCCGTACCTGCAGCGCCACGCCGCGCTCACGCTCTACATCCTCGCGCTCGTGCAGGAGAATGCGCTGCGCATCGCCAAATTCCCCGGGGCCCTGGCGGCTCTGGCGAAGCTGCTGTTCGTGGACGCGGGCTCGCGCGAGCGCGAGGAGAGCGTCAAGCTGCAGGCCGACGCGCTGTCGGCGCTGGCCGTGATCGCCGTGGTGCCCGAGGCCGGGCGCATGATCATGGAGACGCGCGACGCGCTCCGAGGGCTGATCGGGCTGCTGGCTGACTACGAGCGCCCGGACGTGGTGGACGAAGTGTGCAAGACCTTCTCGCGCCTGTCGGACGGACAGCAGAACGCCGAGATGCTGGCGGCGTCGAGCCAGTTCCCAGCGGCGCTGGAGGGCCTGGTGAATCTGATCGGCGTGAGCCGCAGCCGCCAGAACCACGAGCTGCTCAAGTCGGCCATCCTGAGCCTGTACAACCTATCGGCGACCGAGGAGATCCAGGTGAAGATCGCCAACTTCCCGAAAGTGCTGGACGAGCTGGTCATGTGCCTGTGGAGCGACTTCGATAACCTGCTGGTAGAGCACGCGGCCAGCACCGTGGGCAAGCTCACCATGCCACAGGAGAAGCGCGCGCTCATGAACTGCCCCGAGGTGCTGCCGGCGCTGGTCGACATCCTCTTCAAGGACTCGAACCCCGACGCGCAGGAGGAGGCCGTCTGGGCGCTGGCCAACCTGTCGCACGACGAGCAGGCCAACCGCAAGATCGCGGAGCTGCCCGGCGCCGTGGCCGGCCTCGTGCGCCTGCTGGCCAAGGCCGACAGCCCAAGCCGCCAGGAGCAGGCCGCGCGCGCACTCGCCAACCTCACCTGCCTGCCCGAGAACGACCGCTACATTCTGCTCCCCGACGGCACCAGCACCGACGTGCTCACCAGCATCGTCGCGCTGCTCACGCGCCACAAGGGTGGCCACTCGGGCATGCAGATGTGGGCGCTCAAGGGCCTGCAGAACCTCGCCGCCACCTTCCACCAGGACGCCTGGACTGCTCGCGCGGCCGCTTGCGCCGCACTGCTCGCCCAGCTGCTGGCCGGTCCTGCGGCGTCCGAGGTCCTGGAGGCGGCTGCACGAGGCCTCGGCAACCTCGCCATCCCTCGCGCCAACAAGCTCCCGGTGGCCGAGTGCGAGCCGGCGCTTGGCGCCCTGCTCGAGCTCCTGCACCGAGCCGAGCTGCCGGGCGCGCAGCGCGAGGCGGCCTGGGCGCTAAAGAACCTCTTCCGCGAGGGCGACGAGGGCGACGGGGCGCCGACTGTGGCCGCGCTCAAGGGCCCGCGCGCCGTCCCGTTCCTCATGGTCCTGCTGGCGGACGACGTCGAGGCGGCCGTGCTGGAGGAGGCCACGGCGGCGCTCGCCTACCTGGCGCGCCACTCAGGCAACCGCGCCGACATCGTGGAGTTCCCCGGCGCTCTGAAGCGCCTGGTGGCCGTGCTGGCCAAGGCCGACAACCCGGCCACGCAGGCTGAGGCGCTGAAGATACTGCGCCAGCTCACCCGCACGCCCGAGTACCGGGCGCGCGTGGCCGACTTCCCGGACTTACTGGTGCGCGTAATGGGCTTCCTCTGCAAAAGCGGCAGCCCCAAGCTCGTGGACCTGCAGCGTGGCGCCACCGCCGTCCTCTGCAACCTGGCGCTGGAGCCGGACCTGGCGCAGCGCATCGTGCAGTTCCCCGACGCCGTCGACGGCATCGGCGACCTGCTGTACCACTACGACGACCTGCAGGCGCTGGAGTCGGCGGCGCGCTTCTTCCAGAACGTGGCCTCGGCGCCCGACGTGGCGCTCCACCCTCTGCGCCTGGCCGAGTTCCCCCGCGTGCTGGCCGGCCTGGAGCTGCTGCTTTGCGCCGACGATGCGCCCGTGCTCACGCAGTCGCTGCTGGCGCTGCTGAACCTCACCTTCGCCGAGGCCAACCAGCGCACGGTGTCGGCCTCCAAGGCCGCGCTGCTGCACCTGAACCGCCTGCTGACCAAGGACGAGACGCCCGACGCGCAGCTGCTGGCGGCCATGGTGCTGCAGAACCTGTCGGCGGCCGAGAGCAATGTGCCCAACATCCTGGCGCAATGCTACTACGTGTTCGAGGGCCTGCTGGGCCTGCTCGCGGGCGGCGCAGGCGGGGCGCTGGTGCAGGAGGTTGCGCTAAGCACGCTGGCGAATTTGGCAAAGCTGCCCGAGTACCAGCTGAAGATCGCCGAGTTCTCGAACGCGTTCGAGAGTGTGGGCAAGCTGTGCGCGAGTGAGAACGAGGTGGTGGTGGAGCAGGCGGCGAATCTGCTCGGGTCGTTGGCCTCGGCCGAAGAGAACCGGCTGCTGATGATCGAGGTGCCCGAGATCGTCCGCGGGCTCGAGTGGCTGCTCTCGGGGCGCGACTCGGGCGCCCCGGGCAGCGCCGAGGCCCAGGCAGCGCGCGAGAAGCAGCGCGTGGCCGCGGCGGTGGCGGACCTGGAGCGCCTGGGCGCCGGGTCGCTGCGGGCCGAGGCCATCGAGCAGATGCTGCGCGTGCCGTCGGGCAACGCCGAGATGAACGCCATCAAGGCCCTGGCCTACATCGACCCGGCCCGGGCCGTGGAGGTGGCGCTGCACTCGGGCGAGGCCTTCGCCACGCGCGGCATCGTCCTGCTCGAGATGGAGATGTTCGAGGACGCCGTGGCCGACCTCGAGGACGCCATGTGCCTGCTGCCGGGCCAATACGACGCCGATTTCACGAGGTAAGACCCGTCGGCTTCGCCTGCGTGCCTGATTCGCGCTTCGGAGTTCTTCGGAGCTCCGATCGCCAATCTTCCACTTCCTTTCCACTTCCAGAATGCGTTCGTTCTCGCCCATGCTCCAGTTCAATTGTCCAGCTTTCTATCAGCAGCAAGCAGCAGTGCAGTGCAGTCGTGTCAGGCTCAGGATCATGCGTGTGGAGGTAGGTGTTGTAGGCCAGCACTGCATGGATGGAGAAGTCTTTTTGCGCTCCTCTTGTCAAATCGTATTTGACACTCGCTTTCGTTGATCAGTGTTCAAGCGTGTGAGCTTGAGGTATTTGACCTTTGCTGGTCTGAAAGAATTCAACGAATAGATGCTCTCAAGAGAGGTGATAAGGATTAACTTAACATACAGCCGCTGCTAGATCAGAATGTCTCTCCGTAGAACAGCTGCTAGTTTCTTTGCACCATGTTCTCTCCCCTCCCTCGTCTGCTCGTCCATTGAATTCCATGCCCGTCTAAAAGTTAACCTCCCCTCCGCTGCATGAAATGCAACTCCTCATTTGAATGGCAGCATCGTTTCCAGTTACTTTGCTTGATGTGTAGATAGACTGGATTTCAAATGCTTGTCAGTGATCATGTCGACGATGCAAGCACTGGTTGATTGTTTGATTGATTGATTGGTTGATTTCTGTCATTCCGTGCCATTCATCCATTCGCTTCGATTCTGTGCAATGCAATGCAATTGAATTCATTTCTGTTCAGTTCAAGTCAATTCAATTCAATTCAGTTCGAGCGGACTCAGACTCTTGTCGTTGCGACAGACCTCTGGGACGGCGGATTAACGGGAGCTTGCACGTGGGATTGATTGATGATGGTCGCAGTATGTGTCGGTGGGCGAAATGGAAACTTCAAGATTACGAAGGTGCTATCGCCGAAGCTGACAGGGCCGTAGATCTGAACCCGCAAGCGGCGTGGCAATGGCAGGAGAGGGGCGTGCTCAAGCGCCATGCGGGCGATCTGGAGGGAGCTTTGGTCGATCTGAACCGAGCCCTGGAGCTGGAGGCGGACGACTACGAGGTTCTGAAGCAGCGGGGGTATGTGAAATTTCTCATGGAGGACGACGATGGAGCTCGAGAAGACGCGGAACGGGCAACGAGGATAAGAGCCACTACTGTAGTGCACGTGCCCGAGGAAGGGGAGCTAGTACCCTGCTTGGGCATCCTACCTGTAGAATACCTGGATTACAAACTTTAGCTGTAGATAAACTTTCTTATCAAATGCAAACAATTGCGTTCGATTCGCTCCAGTTTCATCTTCATGTTCATCTTCTCCTTCTCCTCCACCTTCACCATCACCAGCAAGGACCCCGAGCCGTGAGTCTCCAGCTAAGGATCCCTTCCCAGTATGTTGCACCCGTGTTGACGTTGATGATCATGATCGCGCTGGACCTTGCATTGTGTCCGTGCGCCAGCTGTTGTCTGTCACCAGTGCTCGAGCACTTTGCTGAATTCTTCTGCTTCTCACCGAGCAGAGTTCCGTCTCTATTTCGAGAATCAAGCTCACGTGAATCAGCAGCTGCCTGCCTGTTTTGGTGTTTCCTCTGCGGGCTCCGCATCCGGCTCCGAGTCTCTCCCCTGTGTCTGTTGTCATCTGCTTGGCTCGCTGTCTCTGCTCGATCGATCCAGTCTGTGACTCTCCCATGCCCAACGCACGCACGTTCGCAGGCATCGATCTGATGCTCAATATTAGGCTCCCGTGCTCGCAGCTTGGGCAAACAGCCACGGGAGTTGACTTTCAGGTATTTCATCTCGTCATTCCCTTCAGCTTGTCGTCGGGCTCTTCTCTACGTCCACCGCACGATTAACCAGCACAGCAGTGGTCGACGTTCCTGCTATTATGGAGATAGCTATGGACACTCCCGAGGCATCGCCCGTGCCCGTGCTCGCGCTCGCTCGAGATGCATACAGTACATACAGTACCCGGAGCTGCAATCTTCTAAGTATATAAGACTTTTGGCTAGACTTATATAAGGCCACCGTCATCCATTGCAGCATCACGCCCTGCAGTCACTCCGAATATCTCCGGACACGGCTCCGATTAAAACTGGTCGAAACTATCGTAAACAATTGGATCGTGTGCAGTCCGCTATTCTTTGCCTATTCTTTGGATCGTGTTTGTTCGTGCAGGCGATTCCTCGTCCGACTGACTCGCCTGCTGCTCGAAACGCTCCTCAGAAACTGCACAAGACTCACTCTCCTCGCATCTGATTCCACAAAAGTTTCGGAACATCAAGATTCTGGACATCTTTTATTCGCTTCATTGGCAAGCTTGACACATGAATGCTACAAATAGCACCTTCACACAACACGAACGCCACGCCACACTCTTCTCTTCTATATAAAGTGCCGAGAAATCTAGGCTACTCGTACCTTCTGTTGGAGAACTATACAGCTTTAGCCTCCGTATGTCCGGGGGTCCATTGATTGTGATGGGCGGTGAGGGGAGGTCTCGGTTATGGCTTAGATTCCGAACCGGTTATGGCTTAGAATCACAGGCAGACAGCAATTGACACAGGCTTCACACCTGTCTGTGATTTCAGCTGCTATTTGAACTATTTAGTTCTGTTAAAACCACAAGAACATACGTAATCATTATTCCCGGAGTGCTCTGATAAGAATAAACTCCTAATCTAATTATTGTAATAAAAACACGAAATCACATTTGATAAATATGAACAGAAGAAAAAAATCTAATAATTTTAATCTTCTAAAATACTCGGAGAAAAAGAAGATATAAATTACTTCTATTTTATTAAATCACATTTGATTTTTATTCACAGAATACTCTGAGAAGAATCACAATCTGAACTCACAGTGAACACAATCTGCCGAATTCTCTACTATTCCCACGTATGCCAAAATAAGAATATCAGAGCTTATGTTTGCCCATAGTAAATACTATTAAGTTCGTTCCCTGTATAGTAGACCAACTGGAAGGGAGAGAGTAGTTTAAGCTTCTTGAGAGCACTCTAGAATAGCTAACCCGAATCGAAGTTCCCCACCTGACTCACTCACTATCCGACCAAGTTACACGACCCAGCAGCCAACAGAATCAATTTCATTATATAATCAGAGAAAGAGCCATCCCTTTCGTAAGTTGAAGTTGAGGCTAGAGCTCGGAGAAGTACTCCTAGAAGAATGCATCCAGACGTGCCTCGTGGGTCAGTGTCATGGTACATTCAAATATATTAAGCTCGGGTCCAGGTCTAGTGTATCTCACACCAGCTTCACGAGAAACGAAAAACATTATTACACCATTCCTGATCCTACGTGTTCACTATACTGACACGTATCTTGTGGATACTTCGTCGGAATTTTCCCTGTTATTTTATAGGCTTCCTTCTTGGTTGACCATTTCATTTTTTTTGTTAAAACTGTTGAGACAATTGCGTTTGTCCTTACCTCCCCTGTTGCCATTCAATGGGTGGGTCTTTCTTATGAAGCTGAGTCTTATCGAAACAAGACTTTTTTTATCCAAATTACTGTATAAAAGTCCCTACACATGACTAGTCATCATTTGATCATGTGAGATGGGATTTTCTAATTATATTTGTTCTCTCCATAAAGTCTTCACATTTGAAAGATTGAAAAGCTTTTGTTTAGAGAAGATGAGTTTTCTAATAATCTTAAATATATAGTTCTTAAATTTCTAACTTATAATCCTCTACAAACGTCTAGTTATCATTTACTCACATGACATGAGTTGTTTACATGTTTAACTTTTGTAGATGAAAGAATAATTATAGCATAATAGTCATTTTAGACTATGACACATGAGTGATAGATATTTGTCATTTCTAGACGATAAGAATTTGTTTACCTGATGTAGGTAAAAATGACTTATAATTATATGAGAATTGTGTTCTAGACAAACACCATATATCAGTTTTTGATGTTGAAATTCACAATTTCAAAAAATTACATATATATATATATATATATATATATATATAGTAACATGTGAATATCTTGTACAAAAGACTCACTCTCTGAAATTGCTTTGATGTTTGGAATTCACAATTCAAAAACTTACATAATTATATATATAGTACCATGTGGATATTTTGTCCAAAAGATTCACTCTCTAAAAAGACATTGATGCTTTTATCTAGAGTTTCAAAAAATGACATAAATATATATAAGAACATGTAAATATTTTGTTCAAAATTTTCACTCTCTGAAAAGACTTTGGTGTTGGAATTCACAATTTCAAAAAATTACATAAATATGGATAGATCTATTAGAACGCACGACAGTCACAACACCCAGATAATGTGATTCACCTTCCACAAGTTAGGTCCATGGGCAAGAGCAAAAACTTCACTAAAACATAAAAGTACACATGCCCCCTAGCCAAGCTCTACTCCTTCCTGTTTAATCTTTCAGTACAATGTTTAACTGTACGTAGTGATTGTCTACTTCTTTCTTCTATACAAGAAGAGATAAGGTGCACATCTTAACTAATATAATCATATTTAACTTACTAATCATGATTATCAATAACTGAAATTAATCCAAGATAGAGTTAAACTAATATACATCTTTTCTAAAAATCTAAATCTTTGAAAACTTTTATTATGTATTATTTAATATTTGTGTGAGCTTATTTTTATACATAAAAATTTGATACTTTATAAACTTCAATACAAAATATAGTAAAGTAAATATATTCACATTCGGATAATGGCAGAAAATATATTTTAGAGTAACTTTGGGGTTACATGTATATATAAAAAAATTATTTGTCATCTCACTCACGATTTATACGTTGCAATATTATGTTATTTTTTAAAATGTCAATTGAATAATGTTGGCGATTGGAATCTCTTGAATCAATCTAGTTTAACATAATAATTTTAGTTTGAAATTGTCAATGTATTTGATATATCTTTTTTCTTCTAGTGCAATTAATTTCTTATTACTATACAAAAGAATTTCATCTATGTTACATGTTATGTGCACTTGATGCAATTGTTTAATTATGGATCAAATAGATTTAATTATTGCATTTCTTTATAAATTTTTAAATTTTAAAAATTCACATGAAATTATTGACTTTGAGTGATAAAGTCAACAAAAATTAATCTATAAACTTCATCCACGAAAATATCATTATCATTTATTTACTAAAGCTAGTGATATGCTCGAGATCAAACAACACTTCAATCCCATACGATAGAGTTTTACCCTCATGGTGTTATGATGATAATAAGATCAATCGCCTTATTTTTTTATGTTTCCAAATTCATATACAAGAATTCAATCCCTCACACATTTAATAAATATATTCGAGAACAAATGACACTATGTTCTGGATCGATCGTTTCTTCAATTAGTTTTCGCGCTGTAATAGTTCAGATCAAAAGGAAACGCACAATTTAATGTTTCCTCTATTTGCTTCAATCTTTAAACTTATGAGTGATCTTCTTGTTACACATTGCTGTACAACGTTTCTTGGAATTAATCAAGTTCAGATTAGATGGAGAACAACTTCACAATCATAGAGCCCGCCTCCTTGCGGCGAGTTTTCAATACCTCCACCCTCTTGAATATTCAAGTGCAAGCAAGCTCACAATTCCATTAGTTGTTTATAGATAGGCCTATAGAGACCATCTTATCTAAAAGTTATCTAAATTTTGATTTTGCCTCCAAACCCTTATCTTTTCTTTACCACTTCTACCAATGGATGAATAAAACGTATCTGAAAAGCCCATTGGATAGAAAACTATGCAGGACATCTATGCAGTTATACCCTCTTCTGACAATAATCAACGATGTTAGTGGAAATGATATGAAGATATTTGACAACTGTCCAACTTGACCGTATAAGATAAGATCTTCAGGGTTAGGATTTAGTGCTAAAGCTTAAGAACTTTAAGAACAGAAGTTCTTGAAAGTAATAGATACCTTTCAGAATTTGAAACTGAAGTAAACAATTTGGGAGGATTTCTGCATTGATGGAAATAAGAAGAAACCAAGAAACCAAAAAAACCAAAAATCATATAAAAAATCAAATCCGTTCTGGAATATTGTGCTGAAAAAATCCAGGCCTTTTCCGAAATCTTCCTCTCCAAATACCTTGCATTCCCAAAGAGGTCCTCGGTATCCAAAATTTCTGACGTAGAAAGTGACCGTTTCTGAAAGTAGATCGATCTGTCAAACTAGCAATAGGTGAGACAGTAAGAATTAAGAGATGAACTGCTCTCAGCATAACATTCGATCTACAGGCAGTTTGGGACCTATAACCTGAGTTCGACTTGCCAGTCTAGATAAAAGATCCCCGATAATATTACGATCTCACCATTTTAAAACATTTACAGTGTACACTTCTTTGTGAGGCAGGTTGGGGGACGTGTTGACAGTTTCAAACATCATATACGTAAGCTGCCCTATACTCAATTAACGAATTTGCTGATTGAGGAGAAATTGACGAGCACATATTTTTTATCTACACTCTGTTTGATGCATACTTGATCCTCACAGCTTCCTGATGACCTGCAATAGAAAACAAGTGCTATCAGAACGTGCATAAAACGTTGGGTGAGTGCACCGTCATTTAAAGGTTGGAAGTACGAGAAGTATCTTCACTTACCCAGCTTGCCGGTATATGTTAGGTTGGGTCCAGCTCGAGTACTGAAAAGACTCCTTGGAATATCTGGTAAAAGTACGACTCTGATCAACGAATTGTTGATATATGCACGGCCATGCCAATCGCCGTATGTTCAATTCGGGTTATCAAGGCGTCAACACTCGTTCCGAATGGCAACCGACTTCCATCACTTCGAGATGAGATGGACCTTAAGCAATTTTCACCAAGAACCTGAACTGAACAAGTTTACACCAATCCAAATCTGCTCATGATCTTCAACTGGCATTGAGCAATTTCATCTTCCTCTAGGTCCTCGGTATGATCACTGTCAAAATCTGCTAGATCCCGTGAGTCCGTATCTGAGATGACCTCTGTTGCATCGTCATCAGTACTTAGACTATCCTCTTCGGTGGGAGCACCCAATCCAATCTTCTGAATTTCGGTGGTGTATATAAGTTTGATCCTCTCTGCTTCTCTGACCAGCCTCTCCGACTGATTAATGTGGCTCAACTCCTTCTCGAGCTCTTTCACAGCTCTAGGGATGAAACCCCAATTGTCCATAACCAATTTCAATCCCTGATATAAAAAGTACATCGATGTTTAGATTAAGTTACCAACTATGGGCACCAATCCGAAGCTGTCAAAAGAAATACTAAAACAAAAATTACAGATGCATGTAGTTTTCAAAAACAAAATTCCACTGAGTTGGATTAAGCTAGCATTTTCAGCACATATCTTCTCCCTGACTCTAGAATAGAGAATAAAAAGCTAAAATTAGACTTTAGTATAACATGAAAAACATACAAAGTAAGTAGAGTACAATATGTGTCTCAAAGGATATGAACCTCATAAACCTTATAGCAACTTTGATCACGTCACTGAAGGGCAGAGCCCATATCCCTAAACAGGGCCTGTGTGCAGATGAATGGTTATGTACCGTGTTTTCTTGTAGACTCTTGACTGCATCTTCCAGACAAGCCACCAAACCTTGTGCAGCAACGTACTCCATCTGATCTTCCTCTGGCTGCGAATTTACGTAGTAACAAAAGCATATGAAAAGTAAGAAAACAACGAGTGAAGAAACTAATTAAAAACACAAACAAACTATATTCATTTTCTCCTAGCCCAAGACGATTTCACCTTTTCATCTTGCTCTGCCAACCATGTCCGCAGGGTTGCCAGATCCTCAAACAACCAGTGCTGAACCTCATCTACAGTCGCTTTTAATCCCCAAAAACGAGGAACCTGAATTCAGCAAGGTCCAACTGCCATTAGTTTTTGTGAGCGTGAACGATCTGGCCATACTTGCTGGGGACAGTAGGTCTCTACAAACTACCAATTCAGCAGCAATTATGCAGACAGTTTTTTTGGAACTGAAAACTCAATGTAAAAAAATATAGGACTCCCAGATGTGTATTTACTTTGGGTATCTCAGCGGTGTCTTTCACTACAGGAGTTGACGGCATCGTTTTGTGGTCGTCAGAAGCATTTCCTGTATTATGGGCTTCCACTTGTGCAATCTGATTTGGAGATACTTGTTCTGTACGTGCACCAACGGAATGTGAGATAACCTGAAACCAGACTCCATCGGTGCCTCTGATTATGATCGACGTATTGTGACATAAACATTCCCTCATACCCCAAGAGGTAATAAAAGACACTGAACTGCTTAAGAGAAGGATTACCTACACCATTTTCAGGTGACTCGTCCACATCATAACCTGCTCTCCAAGGGTTGCCCGCGTGCAACATATATTCCTCGATTGCTACCAGCTCCTTACGCTTGTGGCAGTCCACTATCCAATCCTGTATAAAGCATTCTCAAAAGAGTAAATAGGAGCACAGATGCACGTTACAGATCAGAGAGGAATCATTTTACATAAATATGGATAATGCTCATTAGAAACGTTAGCTAATTTGATTCAAACGCTCTCTCACCTTATGAACTATGGTACCGCCTACAGCTTTGACTTGATTGAAGGATGGCGTGTTGGCGAAAGCGGCAATCAGGAGAGTAGAGTCACTACTCCAGGATGGCTTGTACTGAGCACCCATATCTAACGCCATTTGTCGTAACTCACCTCTTTCTGGATTTACGAGTCCAGAAATTGAAAATACCACTCCGTCCTGCAACAGAAAAAGCTGGATCCATTTGAGCGAAAGGAGTGTTTTGAAATTCGCCTGGCACCAAGTATGATCCTGGAACCACATGAAGTACTCAGCAGATTGACAGTCGAAACAAAACTTACCAGAAGTTGAGAAAATTTCCGAACTGAAGGCTTTAAGCTTTTGTTCTCCCCGTTGTAGGCGGATGCAAAGACATCCTTCTCTTCACCATCTTGGCCGCCGTGAGTTCGCGATTCGTCTTGGAACTTCGACTGCACGCTAGTATTTTGGTGTTGCTGCGATCTACTATTGTCAGCATCCACATGTGCGGTGTCATTGTATTTCCCCCTGTCTGTTTTCTGCTTCTCCAACGCATCTTGGAACTCACCTCGAGAGCTTTCGCTTGAAATTCCTCTCCTCGTTTCTTCAATGTCCTCTGACTCATTAATCGGAAACAGTTTTCTCCGATCTGGTTCATCTCCACACACAAACACATCTTCCACCCTGTCTTCAGGTTCCTCTTTGACCTTCGCTTGACGAAAAGACAGTCGTTCAGGTTTCCCATCAGGAATTTCATTCTCCTTATGACCACCTTTAGTGGTTGAAGCCTTCGCAATTTTTCCGATGACTGGAGTGGCGTCAGTGATAGGATTCAATTCTTCTTTGATACAAGGTTTCACCTTACAGTACTTGTCTCCATAATCAGAATTGGTGCTAGCTTCATTTAACTCCACTTTGGAAACATAAGTTTTAGCAGAACTTTTGGTCTCATTGTTCGGAGCTGGACTAGGCCTGACATCAGAACGCTCACCACCACTTGGGGCCTTCACCTCCTTGACTTTTGTACTGGAAGTAGAAGATTTGGTCTCGTCTTTTGAGTCTGGACTGTTACCAGACGTGGCCCAGAGAGGCAGCCTCCGTTTCTTGGTTGGAGAGGACATGAACGCCAATCTTAATTCCCTCTTCTTTGATACAGCCAAGCCTCTTCTGCCATACGAGACGGAAGGGAAACGTTGATTTTTAGTTAAGTGCCTGTCAGATCTCACAGTTGAGATTGCAGCTTGAAGAAAGATAGACGGATTACACCCTCGTGCATTCTCTGCCCTCCAATCATCGGCGCGTATGCGCGAGATTATTGAAAACGAAAATGCTGGTCTGTTCGAGGATTTCGAGAGCAAATAGTAGGACAGTTAAAAGTCTATGCATTCGAGTTGATCAGAGCTCCTCACCGGCTCAATCATCTAGACAGCCACTCAAAAGCAGAGCACTTTCTCATTTCTCTAAACACAAATTGGTCACGCATGACGAATCTGCCCTAGAGAACGAGAGTCGCTGATTCAACGCACCAGCTGTCAACAGACCGATCTCGAATAACACGAAGCGTCGAACCCCACGTTCTTCTCCGCGACACTCGGTTGCGACCGAGAACACATTCTCGTCCGTCGGTTCATGGTGCTGCGCACCTCGAAACACGATCGACCCACATCACGTCGTCCAGAAACTCTTCGTCGACATTCCTTTCGACGAGGAATTCGAAACTCGAGCACGACCTCCAGCAGGCACAAGGTCGCCAGACCTCGTGGCAACGGTCTGCCAGCAAGCGCAGCTTCGAGCGTCCATTGAGGAAGACGGTCGATGCCGCCACCTCCCACAATCTGCTCGGCCGTGCTCTCAATTCGTCGAGCCCGCCCCGTTGCTGAGTTGGAACTCGACGTTCGACCCTAATAAAAATCGACACATTTTTTGAGATCATTTGAAAATCTATAATTGTATAATTTATTAAAATAATATTTAAAATATCTATATTTTAATTATATCCATAAATAAATATTAATTATTGATTAATGCAATATAACAAAAAAATTAATTTTACTCATAATTTGAATTTTGGTAAATTTATCTATATTTTAAATATATATGGATAATCATATTACTATAAACCAGCATGAAATAATTTTATATTTTTTTAGTCAATGAAAATTATAACTTGTAAACTATAATATTAACATATTTTACTAACACAAAAATATAAGTGAACTGAATATTGAGTTTGATTTTAAAATAGTGAAAGAGACTTATACATAACTATTTTTCTAATATTTTTATGTACATTGATATTATCAAATTTTAGTAATGATATATAATAATTTGGATGGTTTATTCTTTGAATGTGCATCACACAATAAATCAAATGTCATACTCATAATCTTGATAAAAAAAAGCTTATATGTTCACTAAAGTTGAAAATGTAAGATCATATAATTTATATTTTATTTCAACATATTAACAAATTTTCCATTGAAAATCTGAAATGTTGTTGAATTCAAGAAAGGTCACTTTAATATATTTCAGAATTATTTTACTACAGATGTATATGTTCATTATTTGTACAATGATAAATTAAACAGTTCATTAAAACTTAAAGAAAATCAAAATATTTAACTTTACATTCATCTATAAATGCAAATGAACGGGTATAGCCATTGCATCCTACACTTCAAAGCTCTTGTATTTGGCCAACCAAGTAACCACCAGTATGCAAAGTGCGGATTATCTGGGGCTTATGTCTGCCCGAAAGACCGAGGAAGCCATTGATATCTTCAAGATCATACGTTCCATTTTAGTACCTTCTTGCCAAGCTGTGGATCTCACGCACTTAGAGGAGAATACGCAGTCCAGTGTCAAGCAAGTAGTCGCTCAAGCTGCAAAGAAAATACTGTTCTCAGAAACTCAGTTCCATGCTGCCACATCGTTTTCGTGAGAAAGCCCTGCTCAAGGTGGTCGATGACGTGCCTTCCTTCACTTACATTGCCGGTGCACCTAGTGCAGCATATCCGCAGATGTAGAAACCCAGACTATAGCTGGTGAGTCATGCTTTGAACAATACACGTGCGTTTGGGAGCTGTTGCATCTTACAGTCCTCGAAAAGCATTTGAGGAATGAACTTCGAAGCACTGTGCCCATGGTGAGGGCCGTAGTAGCAACACAATCATCGGATGCAGCGTCTTCCCCGTTTCGATTTCATCAAATCTTTGAATACACAGCCTCTTGTTAGCACGGATATTAAACATGAAAAATGCAGCTCATTTAGCCGGAGAGGAAATTTATCATCATTGTGAATGTAAATGCGCATGATCTGGAGCGAGAGGCTAACAGATGTTGCGCGTTGCAGTTTTATTACCTAATCCTTCACATTCCTCAGTTAGATGCTCATGCAAGTATTCTTTTACACACCAGTTAGAATTACATAGTATGAACTTGTGATTTTCATTTTGATGTATGACAGTTTATCATCTTCCAAGATGAAAGGTTTTACCCATCTCGAAAAGTGTCGATAGAGTGTTGTTTACATCTATAGGTACACATCTTAGGCATTGTCAAACACTCCGTTAGATGTGTTGTGGTATGCCCCTAAAGCGAAAAGCCTAACTGACATATACTTTCGGGGCATTATCTTCGGCAAGTTGGCATCTAAAAGATGACTTTTCTCTAGCTGAGGTGCTCTTTACTAGTCTGCTGACGTGTAATTTGAGTGTTCATTGAAGACTAAAAAAATGATTGTTGTTCCCAAAAGCATGCTTCTTTCCTTAAGCGAAGGCATCATCCTCCTACAGCATGTTTTAAGTTCTTCATGGTTCGTTTGATCAAGCATCAATTTTCGGAATTCATCCACTGATTTCCGCACAGATTTTCAACCTGTTCCTTTAACAAAAAAGAATTCATACCGTTATTGCAAACTACGCCTTCGACAGCATGCAGGTGGGGACTGCTCGCCGACGGCTCAAAAACCTACTTCACCCATGTGGGGTTCTCAAAAGATACGAAAGTAACGCCGATCTGATTTACATCGAACTAATTTTGATTGACAAACTCGACTGAGAATGAAGGCCACAGATTAGGTGAGGTAGCTACTATGGATTCAGTCCTTCCGAAGTTCACAAGGATTCAACCTCCGAATTTCGCATTCATCTCCATTTAAACCAATTGAGTATGAGACTGTCCAGTCACTTGCAGGAGAGGTGAAAGATGGAAGGGCAGGAGGAAACTAGATGTGGATCGCATGGTCTGTCCCAAAGAGTCACAGCAGCGACGCCGCTCTCCAGGGCTATGGAATATGCTGTCCTACCCGGAAGCAAACACGCCACAAGGGCGGCTGCCATCGACGAGTTATAGATATCTGACGTTCACGCAGGACTGTACGACGTGAAAATGTCGTTGGACATAGTCGCCCCATTGCGTAGAGGGAGCACTCAGCCAAGAGTGCAGAACCTCCGTCATCGAACACACAATTCTATGAAGCAGCAAACAATGTTACACTACTTTGAGGTTTAGAAAGCAGCAAACAACCTGTGATTATTTGGAGGTGTGGAATGCATGGTCTGTCCCAAGGAGTAACTGCGACGACGTCGCTCTCCAGGGCTATGGAATATGCAGTCCCGCTCGGAGGCACACCACGTAAATGGCGGCCATCGACAAACGTTTACTATATGACGTTGTCGCAGGATTATATGACTATCGGAAGCCGCATAGCTAGTCGTTCCATGGCGATGAGGCGGCACTCAGCCAAGAGCACCTAACCCCCGTCAATCGATCAGCAATTCTACCTGGTGGGCATCCATCTCGCAAACAAATTCTGCAGACCTACAGATTTACGAATCCTCTCACCACTCTCAGCCAGTTTGAAAAATCAGTCACAAGAAGTCTAAGAGAAGTCTAAGAGAGGGCAACCTGCTTGACAATCCACGTAAAAACAACCAACAGCCTGGAGCTCAATTCCTCAGAATTCGAAAATGGAAGCATTGGAGAGCAAATGTGCGAAAGTCGACCACGTATGAACATACTCGGAAAACTGTCTGTGACAAATCCTACTGAAGACCTCCAAACACAAACTGGCCTTCAATCTGTTACCCTGCCATCTGGTGCACCCGGCGAGGCTAATATGCTTCATCCGCTGGCCAAGACCAAACCCTAATTCTCCCTCAGTGCCAACTTCGACATCGCCACATTGCAAGTTTGGTGACCGGGCCTCGTAACCTAACGTCCACACCCGTGTACCAAACTGCCCGTGACGGCTTCCTTACATTCGACATTCATCAACCTCTCATTCTCTATTCTTGCATGAGAGAGAGAAAGGAAGGAGTTAGTCGTTCAGATGAGTCCCGCGACTCAAGAGATAGCGGATCTAAATAAGTAAATTCACATATGAAATGAGAATTTTATAATATAAAATTTAGTGGATAAAATAGATAATTATTTTCTTGCTCATATTGCTGTTTCCTGATTACTTACACTATGGATAGTATATTGAAGGTTATTGGGAATTTGTTTCTAAGTGAGTTCCTAACAATCTGACACATAAATTGAAACTTGCTTTCATGTATTTTCTTATTTAGGTTTTATACGATTCCCATTGAAATAATTATGGAGATTTAAAAGTTCTATTTCTTTCCATTTATAACTAATTCTTGATGATTTTCATTCCTCTTGTGAGTTAAAGTTCCCAATAGTTGAGGTTTTGAAAACATTAATAAATACAAGCAAGGAATTAATGTTATGCTATCTGAAAATGTTATGCTAGTTATAATTTCATTAATTTTTCTTGTAAATTTCTCTAGATTGTCATGTCTTGTTTGATGTATAAAGTCTTATGTAGATTACATACACAAAGATGATGATTGAACCTTTTCAGATATGTATGTGAGTAGTTCGATCACATGGACGTCTATCCAGGTTGCTATCGCATGGAGTTACGTATCATTTGTTAATAGTTCCAGGTATATCAATATAATAATAAACACCTCAATCAATTTTAATTATGATATTATTGTAAATAGATTTTATGCCTATATTTCTATTTATCACTTGATAGATTAGAACATTATATCATATACGATTCTTGTGACATTTGTTTCTTTTCTTTCATGTTACGTTAAATAATATTAGTAGTCTGCAAATAAGTTGCATTAGAAAGATTCTTTGTATTTGAGTATAATATATATCATCATTGAATTTGTGAGAGTCAAACTATCCGTAGTGATTACTTTCTATTTATTTTTTTAATACTTCATCATGAATCAAGAATAAAATATTGTTTTGGATATTTATGATATAAACACATACTTACACGAACTCTTCTTTCATAACTTTACCATGTGATATCAACACTCTTTTAAAATTCAAGTGTAATTCAACGGATATAGAAGTTCACTGGTAAAATGTCATCAATATTAAGAGTTCATTCAGGTCTTTTGGTAAGTTAGGTTAGTTTAACCACAATTTGTTAGATGGGAGGATGTTATTATTGAAAAGATTTCACTAAAGCTCACTGCCAAACTTTTAAAGCGTTGTTAGTAAAGTATTATGAGCTTCATGAACCTAAACTAATGTGATGAATCACTTATGTCTTCTGTCATGTAAGCCGTCAACTGTGCATTTGTATCTGCATTCTTGTGTTCACAGTAAGTAAGTAAGTGATTGTCTTCCTTGTGACAATCTATAAAAAATATTTTCTTCTAACTTTTAAGAAGAGAAAACATTGTTACATTTTTTTAATTTAGAGTATATCATACGAATTAAAACAATTTCTATGATAATTTTAGCCATATTTGACTATAATAAATACCTTCAGTTTATATAATTCAAATA